AGAGGAGCTGACATTACAACGCAGTCCTTCCTTCATTCCCTTGGATCCAAAACTAAATGTCACAAAATTGCATGACCCTGAGACAGGGATCACTCAGTGCCGCCTGTCAAATGGAATGGCTGTCAACTACAAGGTACTTCTTGGTTTTAGTCCATTTGGTGTTTTCAACTCTCAGCTCAAAACATAAGAACTTTATGGACCATTTTCCTTTTCTTTCCTGTTTGATGTGTCAGTGGTTCTAAATATGTATCATCGCATATAATGTTTCGGACATTTAGTTAGCTAACTCTAAGCTGACAAATTCTTCAATCAAAATGTTATTCAGATATCCAAATCTGAATCTCGTGGCGGTGTAATGCGACTTATTGTTGGTGGAGGGCGAGCAGAAGAAGGTTTGGAATCAAAAGGATCTGTGATTGTCGGTGTTCGAACTCTTAGTGAGGGAGGTCGTGTTGGAAACTACTCAAGAGAACAAGTAGGTGAACTATATTATGACTATATCTATCAGTCTATTCTTCACAACCCTTTCCACTCACAACGATGATGTATTCTTCATCAGTATGCATTTATTCCATATCCTATCGCTTTTAGTCCTAGGTTATTTAAATCTCGGTAATACAGAAACGAAATGTCAGATAATATTCCAGAATGTCTTGTGGCTCTGTTTCCGCATTCCTTCCAGAAACTGTGTCAGAAATTAGTCCAGGTAGCCTCTGGCGAGTTAAATCCGATGGAGGAAGGTTGGTCCTTTGTTTAAACTCTGAGGGGTCCATATGGCAACAATCCTTGTTATTAGGCAGTTGGAAGATCCTGAGCAATTTTTTTGCCACGTGCATTTAATATATCATCTTTGAACAGCTACCTTTTCCATTTGTGCATAGACACTTGAAGTGTGAGAGCATAAGGACATAAGCTTTGGATGAATCTGTCTCATAGTTTCACTAAGTACAGCTTTTTCAGGCAAGAGTTTATGAAAACATGTAGGTGGACAACATGTTAGGGCATTGACCTCAAGCATTTTCATCATTTCTGAATTCTAGGGATCAGACTTACCCTTTCATCTTGTGGTCGGGTTTTTTTCTGCATATTATAGCTTAATTGGATGCCTTACACATATTTGCCGCAACAGGTAGAACTTTTTTGTGTGAATCACCTTATAAACTGCTCGCTGGAGTCGACTGAAGAGTTCATTTGTATGGAGTTCCGGTTTACACTACGAGACAATGGAATGCGAGCAGCATTTCAGTTACTTCACATGGTGCTTGAGGTGCCTGCCATTAACCCTGCTGCATCCATATCTTAGCATTTATTCTACTTTCTTTTCTTGATGGTTCCAGGATTGATATATGATTTGATTGGATTTGCTGTTTTAACTGAGGCATGTTTTAGCTTGAAATAACTGACCTGCGCTATCTCTATTGCTCATTGTTATTGCTGAACTGCAGCATAGTGTTTGGTTGGATGATGCCTTTGATAGAGCAAGGCAATTGTATCTGTCCTACTACCGGTCAATACCCAAAAGCTTGGAACGGGCAACTGCTCATAAACTCATGACAGCAATGTTAAATGGAGACGAAAGATTTATTGAGCCCTCACCACAATCACTACAGGATTTAAAATTGGATTCTGTGAAAGATGCTGTGATGAATCAGTTTGTTGGTGATAACATGGAGGTGGGTGGTTAACTTTTCCTTTTCTCATTGGTTACTTGTAGATGCATCCTGCTCTTTGAAATTTATGCCCTTGTTATTTTTCAGGTAAGTATTGTGGGAGATTTTACGGAGGAGGAGATTGAATCTTCCATTATTGATTTCTTGGGGACAGTTAGAGCAACAGGGAATTCTAGCAGTCAGAAAGAAACAACTCCAATCTTGTTTCGACCCTCGGCTTCCAACTTGCAGTCGCAACAAGTGAGAATTGAAATTCTTTTAGTTAAGTTTGTGTGTGCTGATAGTGTAGTTTATGACTTGTGTTCTAATTCTTTGGAGCACAATGTTTAGGGTTTCCTCTAGGCTCTATCGGTTCTTTGTTTGCTGATGATTACCCCTACTACTCCTTATTTGATTTTAATCCATTTCAAGCTGTATTAAAGTGGATTTACATTTATATATTGGTGAGAGTTGGTATCGAATCGTGAGTTGTTTCACCTCTGGTGTGAATGAGAAATAGTATATTATGCAAGCTAACCTCTTTGGAGGAGGATTTATATTAAAATGGGTCCAATCCTCGTGAAGTTTATAGAGTGAAGTTCACGATTTACTTGTGCTTCTAGTCTCCTTGCAGTTTTAAATGGGCCCTGTGTGCTTTGAGAGTCATTATCTGATATACTTTATTTGAGGTCTGTGTTAGCTTCTGAACTAGAGTTTAAGTGCTACTGCTTCCTATGGGGTTTTAATAACATTAACCAGCCTCAATGACTCTCTTATTATACTAGTTGATAGCTTGAGATGTGAATTTCATTACCTGCAGCTAGAAAGTGGAGAAGCTTGGTTTGGCTCGTCTATAAGATTGATATACTTCCTACATATGACCAAGACATATTTCATAATGAAACAGGTGTTCCTGAAGGATACAGATGAGAGGGCTTGTGCATATATTGCCGGTCCTGCACCAAACCGTTGGGGTCTAACTGTAGACGGAAAAGACCTTTTTCGGTCAATCAGTGACTTAAGTGTCTCATCAGGTTAGATTCTTCCTGGCTTCCATGTGATATAAGAAGGGTATTTTGGTTTCTAGTTATTCTTACAAGCGGAAAAAAGATGAAGAATTTTCAAAATTATGCATGCTATGATAATTAAGTGAAGGAACAAGGTACTTTGTTGGGATGATGAAGCATTGAATATCTGCTCGACGAAGTGACTGTTTTCTTTTTTCATTTAGTGAATGCTGGCACAGGTTCGAATGAAACGTGTTGAATGTCATCTACCATTATCATGATTCACTTCTTAATTGATGCCTATAGACTTAATGTGCATGAGTTAGTCGAACCACACATGTCACTTGTTTCCTTGGTATTTCTTTTCTTGGCTGGTTGCTAATTTGGTTGTGTAAAGTCTCTAGGTCTGTCAGAAGTAGACAGTTAGGATCTCATCAGATTATATCTCAAGTCACTGTTGTTTCTCATGGCTGGTTCGTGGCTTTTGCCATGTATTATGTTCTTGTAGAGGACCAATCTACGGAGGAGAAGGATGTCCATAAGGAATCACAAATGAAACTACGCAGCCATCCCTTATTTTTTGGCATTACAATGGGCTTGCTGGCTGAGATTATAAATTCAAGGTAATTGATGCGGATATTGCTGTTCTCCCATTTTTTCCCAGCCTGGAGTGACACATTATGGGCTGTAATTTGCTTTTTTAGCTGGAGTTCTTAGTAAAATCATTGGTCAGACATACATCTGCGGACTGATGATCTTGTTAAGATCTGATTTCTCTGAACCTTGGTGCTTTAAACTATCCTGCAGTGAATGCTGACTTCTTCTAGCAATGCAAATTTCTTGTATTAGAGAAATTGACTAGTCGTTCAAACGAACAAGATGATGTTTTGGTAACTTGTGGAGATAAAAGCAATACTAACTATTAACTGTTGAAAATAATGTTGGATTTACTCTGTTGCAGGCTATTTACCACAGTTCGGGACTCCCTGGGATTGACATATGATGTGTCATTCGAATTGAGCCTATTCGATAGGCTGAACCTTGGATGGTACGTGGTATCTGTCACTTCAACTCCAAGCAAGGTGGGTTCTTGGTTTCTGAAACTTTCCTGAGCGGTGCCGTATATTGTTGTGATGTTGTCCAAATGATTTATCACCTTGATTCCTTTAACCTAACCAGGTACACAAAGCCGTTGAAGCGTGCAAAAGTGTTCTTAGAGGATTGCATAGCAACAAAATAGCTCCAAGGGAGTTGGACAGGGTAGGTCTTCATTTATCAGTTTTACTTATTTTAGTTGGTATTACGTTGAAGGTAGTGTTTTGATGGAAACTATTGGGTGGTTTGGCAGGCGAAGCGCACCCTCCTTATGAGGCATGAAGCTGAGATAAAATCCAATGCCTATTGGCTAGGGTTGATGGCCCACTTGCAAGCTTCCTCTGTTCCTAGGAAGGTAATACCGAACATCTTGAATTGCACAAGAACATCTAGATCAAGTCATCACTTCTTATTATTTAGTGTGTGGTTCAATTCTTTCAAAAGAAAACGTGTTTGGCTTGGCCATGAGTAACACTGTGCTCTTGTCGGCTTTGCTTCAGGATATTTCATGCATTAAAGATCTCATTTGGCTCTACGAAGCTGCAACCATTGAAGACATATATCTTGCCTACGATCAGTTGAAAGTGGATGAAGATTCGCTGTACTCATGCATAGGGGTTGCTGGGGCTCAGGCTGGCGAGGATGTTACAGGTAAGCACCTATGTTCATTTTCGAGGTTCTTCAAGGGTTCCAAAGGCACTATATATGAAACAGTGGTGTATATCTTTCCTTCACGGGCCGTTTTGATGAGATTCCATTCATATTTCTCGTGCAGCTTCTTTGGTCGAGGAGGAAGAAATGGAAGATGATGGATTCGGGGTACCAGTGCCAGGAGGAGGACGCGGTTTAACCACGATGACTCGGCCAACAACTTGACCTTCTCCGTAAGACTGAATACACCGTTTTCTTTCGGGTACTCGGCCCTAAAACCCTGGCTGCTGTCGCTACTGGTTCAAAACTGCTGCGACACGCTATCCGCCATTCATATAAATGCGCCCTGTTATCTGCGCTCTGCTTGCTGGTTCGTGCATTCCCATGGCTTGAGATCCCACAACCATTAGTATCATCATTTTTCGTTGGTGGGAAATCCATTCGTAGGCTAAAAGAATTTTTGTGATTAGCATTGTATCAGTAAAGACCATCAGCATACTCTCTTCTCTTCTACCATTTTTTGGGTGTATAATGAATAATGGCTGACATGATCATGTTCTTACATACAATAATAGTAATACAAGTAGAAATGTAAAGTTGTCAACTCCTGTCTTTTTTGCCAGAAACGGATTGCTTAAAGGGCGTCCTAGTTCTTACTCAAAACAACAGAACGAGTCTTCGAGTCTCCAGTCTCCAGATATATCATAGTTTATCTAGAATCGAAGATTCGGATTTTTACGATCAATAACATGACGCGCCAAAACTAAGAGACGAAAGTTCGGAAGATGATTAGCAGCGTGATTACATTCCTTATAAATGCAATAAGTCCACTAACAAACAAATGTAGTAGCTAACGAGACACCTTCATACTTCAAAACTCTCTAATGATCATCATCATTATCGCTACTGTAGATCTGGAAAGCGGATTGCAGAGCTTCAGGCTCTGTTCCTGATACAGCAATGGTTGAAAACTTCTCAGCTTCAGAAGCCACAGGTTTCTTCTTTACGACTGAAATCCTGACCTGCTGGGACCCTAAGCACCCAGCTTTCTTATCGCTTCGAGAATTTCCCCACCTAGCAGCTTCTGCCGCGGCGACGAGCTTCCTGCTGCCGGAAAGCTCATCCAAATCTTCGTCTGAAATCCTACGAACAATGTTGCGGGAAGATGCGAATTTCGCAACGGCCTCGTCTTCCTCCTCCTGCTCCAACCTCCGCTTCTTCTCCGCCGCCTTCAACCCCTCGAGAACCGAGTCGAAATCCACAGCTTCCCGTCTCGAATTCACCGCTTTCCGCTCTTCAAGCGACATCTCAGCATCCATCCTTCTTTTCTCATCGCCACACCTCTTCTCCAAATCCTCCAACAGGCTCCAATTTGCCTCCTTCGTGTGGCGGCGATGCGGGAAAACGCGAGTCGCGCCGGACTCAACGGTGTAGTCGGAGTTTTCCGGGTCGGTTTTGATCGAGAATTCGGCGGAGCAATTCGTACATTTGTGATAAAACCTCTTGATCTGGATTTCTCCCAGATACTTCTCGCCGATCGCGTCTTCCTGCCGGACGTTGAACTTGGTGCCCTCGGCCATGTAATTGCCGCAGGTGTTGCATCGTACTCTAATCGGAAGCATCGACGTGACCTTTTTCTGGGGTTTGGATCGCCGTCGCGGGAGCTTCGAAGGGTCAAAATCGGGAGGATAATATTTGTTCAGAACTTTCCTCTCTCCCATGGCTCTGGAATCCGATGAATGCTAGCCTAGCAGTCGCCGGCGCTCTTTTAATTACTCTGTTTCTTTAGTTTCCTTGCACAGCAAGTCTTGTAATCAGTTTTCACTTCGGAATAGAAATTGGAAAAGGGCGGTGAATATATACGGCCCACCGCTGTCGGCATATTAGCCCATTAAGAAAAGTTTTTCAAGACAATAAAAAGGCCCATTTTGGGCCCAGGTTCAGATGCACGTGAAATTAATTATACGGGGCTCAGGCCCAATCTTGCCGAGTGACTCACTCACGACTCACCTTGACTGGTAGCGGAAGCTACTATAAAAGTATAAAACGAGTTCCCATTTGACGTACGCTGTCTCATCGCAGAAGAATCAGTAACGTAACCTGGTTGTTGTTGCAGAAGGGCCGGCGCGAGACAAAACAGGGGAATCAGTGTTCAGTAACGTAAATCTCTTCTTTACTTGTCTGCTTCCTTTCAAAGATTCAATTGATTTTTTTTTTCTTCTTAGCTTGAATCAATAGTAGGAGTAAGAGAGAGCTCTCAATTGCGTAGAAAAGGATTCCAGTCCAATCGTCGTTCTCTTCTCCAGAACCAGGGCATTCAAAAATGGGTAGTGATGATGGCTACTCTCAGCGCCTGTCATCCTTGCTCTCTGCAAAAGACAGGGACTTTCTCATCCGCAGCAATGGCGAACAGGTGAAAATCGGTAGTCTGGCTGGTAAGCCCGTGGGATTGTACTTCTCTGCCTCTGGGTGCAAACCCAGTCAGGGTTTCACCCAACTCTTGCTGCAAGCCTATGTAGATCTCACGAAGACGAAATCAGATTTCGAAGTGGTCTTCGTTTCTTCCGACGAAGACGATGAATCTTTCGATCAGTACTTTTCCAAGATGCCATGGCTTGCTGTCCCGTTTTCAGAATCCGACACCCGTGCTGGTCTCAGAGAGATGTTCAAGGTCAAGGCGACTCCTCATCTCGTCATCCTTGACACACAGGGAAAGGTCTCTTGTCACGGCGGAGTGAAGATCGTCACCAAGTATGGAGCTCGAGGTTATCCCTTCACCGAGGAGAAGCTCAGGTTCTTGAGTGAGGAACAAGAGAATGCTAAGAAGAACCAGACCTTAACCTCTCTGCTGGTTTCTCCCAGTCGCGATTATCTCATATCCAATGATGGAACAGAGGTACGGAAAATCGAATTCTTCATTTTGTTTGTTTCAATTGTTATGTCGGAAGTTGAAATTACATGTATTTGTGGGAAATTGGCAGACTGATGTACACGAGCTAGAGGGGAAAATGGTTCTCCTGTACATAACATCCCACGACGTCCCATCGTGTGCTGAATTCACTCCCAAACTAGTGGATTTCTACAAGAAAGTTAAGGAGAATGGAGAGGGGAATTTCGAGGTTGTGCTTGTGTCGTTCGATTCGACGGAGGAGAAGTTTCGAACGTGGTTCGAGACGATGCCATGGTTGGCTGTGCCGTTCCAGGACAAGACCTGTGGGAAGCTACTGGACTACTTTCAGGTCAGGAGCGCTCCCACGGTGATCGTGATCGGTCGAGATGGGAAGACGATGAACCCGAATGTTGCTGAGCTCATTGAGGGCTTCGGTATCGAAGCCTACCCGTTTAGCCCGGAGAAGATTGCAGAGTTTGCTGAGGTTAAGAAAGCTAGAAATGCAGAAGTGTCACAGACACTCGAGTCGATCTTGGTTCATGGAGACAAGGACTTTCTCATTGACAACAGCGGTTCAAAGGTAAGTCTTCTGATTTTCTCATCATCATCAAGAGTACATCCTGCGTATAAATTCGGACTGGTTATATCGCAGAGGTTATCAGGATTCGAACACGAGAAACCTGATGTTGTGTGATCTAGCCATAACCAGAGTTGTCTAGAGATACCCAAATCTCATACAGGTTAGAAGTCTTGATTAATGCGATACCAATTGGGTTTGATGTGCAGGTTCCAGTTTCTGAGCTAGCTGGGAAGAACATCATCTTATACTTCTCAGCTCACTGGTGCCCGCCCTGCCGCAAATTCACCCCCAAGCTTGCCTCAGCATACAATGAAATCAAGGCAAAAGACAGCAACTTTGAGGTGGTCTTCATCTCCAGCGACAAGGACGAATCCTCGTTCGACGAATACTTCTCCACAATGCCATGGCTAGCTGTCCCATTCGATCCCGAGATCAAAACCATTCTGCATAAGAAGTTCAAGATATCAGGGATTCCATTTGCCATAGCAATCGGGCCGAGTGGCCAGACAGTGAGTGTGGAAGTCAGAGATGCGTTCTCAGTTCATGGAGTGGATGCCTATCCTTTCACTGAGGAACATTTGAAGCAACTCGAGGACAGATTGGACGAGAAAGCGAACCGGTACTGGCCGTCGAAAGTGAGGCGTGAGCAACTCCATGAGCATGAGCTTGTGAGGAGGAAAGTGGGGCTTTACTTGTGCGGTGGATGTGAGGAAATGGGAGGTGCTTGGTCTTATAGCTGCGAGCCTTGTGATTTTGATGCCCATCACAAATGTGTTCTTGAGGAAGGTGAAATTGGGGGAGATGGGAAGGAAGATGAGGGGAAGAAAGAAGGGTGGATTTGTGAAGGAGATGTGTGCAGGAAAGCTTGAGGAAGAAACCAGCTATGGAGAAAGGCTGCAGTTTCTGTGTATTGTGGCTGTGAGTTTGGTTTAGTCTGAGTTCTGAACTGTTTAGTAGTAATGGAGGTTTTAGTTACAATAAAGAGATCAAGGAGACGAGAGATAATAGCACGTTTCGTTATTAAAATAAATTGTGAATTTCGGATAATTAATATTTTGAAAATCATTTGAGGATTAGATTATTTTTTATGATTACCTCAAAGTCCACAATCTAATCACAAACTAACTCTATTATCAGTTACTTAGTTACGTTGTCCGCCTGTGCCCAAAATTTTCGGGGAAAAAATTGAAAATTATTTGACTGAATTTATGACTTTTAATTATTTGTAGATTTGTTATGCATACCTGTTCGAATTTTTAACAAATCAACAATGAACGTGTCGTTAAAGTAGCATGAGTTTATTTTTCGTTATTAGTGAAAAAAAATCTAACGCCAACATTAAGAAATGAATTTTTTTGAGTGATGAAAGATTTGACAAATGAAATGAGCTAATTTAGCCATTGTATTTAATGTAACTTATCTAATGGGCAATGGCATGTAGATTATTAGTTAATTGCACTAATAAAAATATCAATGTTCGTATCGGGCCTTTTAGTCTGAGCAGGCCACTTGAAGCCCACATTTTGCAGCCCATTCATATTAATATTTGAGCCCAGTCCAGTTACTACGGCAGGCCCGTGCATGCACGGGAGCCCCAGCATCTCTGCACAGTGGAGACTGGAGAGATTGAGAAACTAAAAAACCTGGCTAAAGAAACCCTAGCTACCATTTTCAATTAACTCTCTCATCTCTGCCACCCACTGTCAAGCGAGCCTTTCACCGTCGACAGCCATGGTAGGCTTCTTCTCTTCGCTCTAGTCTCTCTCTCCCCCCTCAATCTTGCTTCCCTACTGCTGCTGTATCCTAATGTAATAATATCCGTTGCTTCTCGTTCTGTGCAGGGTATCGATTTGAAGGCAGGAGGCAAAAGCAAGAAGACGAAGCGCACAGCCCCAAAGTCCAATGATATCTACCTCAAGCTTCTCGTCAAGGTATTTGATTCAGATATCCATGTTTGTTTTGTTACCCTGAAGTTGAATCGTCTTGATTGTTCCCTTTTGACTGATTTGAATTTGGTTGATGCCGAATCAGCTGTACCGGTTCCTGGTGAGGAGGACTGGGAGCAGCTTCAATCAAGTGGTATTGAAGAGGCTGTTTATGAGCAAGATCAACAAGCCCCCACTCTCTCTGTCCAGGCTTATCCGCTTCACCAAGGGAAAGGTTTGGTCGCCTGTCTTTATGTTTTTGTTTCTCAGCCTGGAAGTTGGGTTCTTTTTTGCATTGGTGCTGAGATTTTCTGCTGTTTGATTTTGGGTAGGAGGACAAAATTGCTGTTGTGGTGGGAACGATCACTGATGACATTAGGACCTATGAGGTTCCAGCTTTGAAGGTTACTGCTCTGAGGTTCACTGAAACTGCTAGGGCCAGAATTGAGAAGGCTGGTGGGGAGTGCTTGACATTCGATCAGCTGGCTTTGAGAGCTCCTCTTGGCCAGAACACTGTATGTTGCTTCTCCCTTTCTCCATTTTTTCGAGTTTTAGTTATTAGCTACTTCTGAAATAGATTGGAGTATTGCTTGGTTGAACGTTTGAAAGCTTCTTTAGGTTGTGACTGGAGGATGGAAGATTAGTGAATATAGTGCTCATGTTTATAGAATTTGTGGGTCATACTGAATATGAGTGTATTGATGAATCACTGATTAGGCTACAGATCTCTAATGCACATCCCTTATTTCTTTGATTTTGAAACTCTGATCAAGCAACTGAGTTCGTCAATAGTACCTTCCATTTCGTTATGGTTGGCATGCTTTCTTTTGTTTCTGTGGTTCTAAGATTCTATTGAGGTCTGTTTTCATGGATACAACTTCCTTCTTTGATGGTTATAATTCGCACTTGGATACGTTGTGCCAATGTAACAGCTATATCATTGTTAAATGCTGAGATTGGTTTCTATTATCGTCTGCAGGTTCTCCTCAGGGGTCCCAAGAATGCTCGCGAGGCAGTGAAGCACTTTGGCCCAGCTCCTGGTGTGCCTCACAGCCATAGCAAGCCTTATGTTAGATCGAAGGGAAGGAAGTTTGAGAAGGCTAGAGGAAGGAGAAACAGCAGGGGTTTCAGGGTCTAATTTGTGGGGTGTTTTAGTCTCTCGAACATGCAAACCTTTCGTGCTGTTTTCTTTATAGTTCCAAAATTTGCTAGAACCCTGGGAATTAATCAAACATCTTTTTATGCTTGCTGTTCAATAGTTGGAAATTTTGTTATTATTGTCTGCAATGAACAACAATGCTTAATTTTGTCAACTTCGTCATTACCATTGCAAGATTTATCTTGCCTCTCTCTCTACACCCATTTTAAGTAGAGAGATGAACTACATGCCTGTTAACCTTGCCGTTCATCTTTTATACTTCTTCCATGTGTACTCTACTGATGCATAACCCTTCGTCATTTTCCATATCTTGTCCGTCGTTCCCTTAACGATAATGGTAGAGTAAGCAAAATCAACATACTTCGAAACAGAAGTTGGATAATTCCCTTGCTATGAATTATAAGGTCGATAATGTTTTTTAGGAAACCCAAATCGGCCGGATTTACGTGGTATAGTGTTTATGTTTAATATGTGGTTGTATTTGTGAAACAATTATCTATATCACAATTATCCTTGATATAGATTAGGAATGGCGATGAGGCAGACCTAATCTACACCTATTTAAAGTAGAATGTGAAAACTTTTTGAGTATTTCAAATTTCATGACTCGAGACGAGAGTGATTCTAAAAATGCCATTTTCATAATTGTATCTTATTTTTTATAGATTAAAATTACATTATTGTGATTCGAACCCAGGTCACTCAAATATAGAAAGGGCTTCATAACTATGAACAATCTAGACACCACAAACATATTTGGTCTTTGATGCTTCATATTTATATTTTATTTGAAGTTTATTTATATCTTATCGAATGAGAATAATTTTGAACTCGGAACTCAAGTAACGAATATTACATATTGAAATTTACATGTATTTTATATTTTATTTGAATTTATTTATATCTCATCGAAGGAGACTAATTATGAAATTGGAACTCAAACAACATTGATTTGAATATCAAATATTTAATTGTATGTATGGTTAATTTAAACAAAATACACATGCATAACCATAACTTCAACGTTTACCAATATAGTCTTTTTTTACAAATAACAAATATAGTCATTTCATCCATGAAATCGGTTAGCTTTGACATCATCGTCAACAATGTTGACTAGAACGAAATACACTAGCATTTCATTTTTTTGTTAACTTTCAAGTTAATTTTGGCATTTTTGTTCTAATAAACTTAAATAGAAAATAAAAGACACAAAGGAAGGGAAAAAAATATTGTTCCTTCGCAAAAAAAAAAAAAGGGAAAATTAATATGAACAAATGAATGATCATATGACCTCTCCTTCTAACCTCTTGTCTATCTTCGTTTTCCTGCTTCTTCAGCATCTACCGTCGTTGATCAAAATCCTAACCGATGTCGCCTCCCATCTAGCAACACATTTGAGTTCAATAACATATGATAACACTTCGTTCATCACGTAATGACGAATACAAAATAACTTGCTTCATTAGATGATGAAATCGACACAGAAAACCCCAAACACGAAACAAGTTGCACAATTCCCCTTCACTATATATTAGCATCTCAGTAAATAATCCATGAGATGCTTCAATCCTAATATTCTAAAATTATCTTATCCCTTCTCCAATATTCAATTTCTCATTTTTTCTATTACCAGATTTTACTAGAACAAATTCGTCCGCTTTCTAGAGGTTGACATCTAAATACCACGTTATTTCATAGAGATAGAGCTAATCGAAGGAAGGGATGGACAAAGGGATAGAGAGATGAGGGCGTTCATGAGGAAGTAGCACTAAACCGAACCCATCCAAATCCTAACTTTTGATTGCAAATCGTTAGACGAATGCTCAATTGAGACAAAAAAAAAAGGAAATCTTTGATGTCAACTCGAGTGGTTAAATTTCAAATGGTTTTAGCATAAAATCTCCAACAATTGATTGACATGGAGGAACAAAGGAAAGTAGAAGGTGTCTATGTCATTTGGAAGACGGTTGGGGTGTTGATTGATTAGATAGAGTGACATTTTTGTCCATCGAATGAAAACATATAAATGACAATGTAGTTTTGTTGGAATTAAGAACCTTTTGTGGATTTTTATTTAAGCGACGACAATAGTGACTATGATGGATGACGAAGATAGGGGGCTTTAAGAGGAAGGAAAGAGCAAAATAAAACTAAAACTTTTATTAATCTGATGTGACCAACATGTGGTATGACATGTCGATTATGAGCTGACATGGAAGTTGAAGTGGTGTCCACCTCAACTTGTTAATGTTTCTAACGAAACTTCTAAAGTCATTATCCATTCTAGCAAAAATGACTAGATTTTTTTGCCGAAAGTCCTAAATATAGTTATATGGGTCATTACTAAACAATGACTACATTGTGAGTATATATTAGGTTCTTGATATGTTAGATTTCCAAAATCACTTCTAGTGAACTTTTCCAATTTCATGATGCCAAAAAATTAGGGGGGGACTTTCTTTATGTTGGACAACATATTTTGTATACATTTTTATAATCTTCAAATGGAAGAGTTAAATAAATCTCATAGTTTTGGATTTATATATCAAACTAAACACTAAAATCCATGATCCAAATGCCCCATATAGTTCTTTTCTATTTTTTTCTAATTTTTAAATATCATATCTTTTCTATTTTTTCCTAAAATTATAATTTTTTTAGAAAATTCAGTTGTATATGTGAGGCATAGAGTGATTATCTCATCAAAAGTCTAAAAACATACGTTGAATATTTGAGATTTTGACATTAATAATAGCCTTGGATTATCATCATATGTTACACAAGTTTTTAGAAACCATAACTATTTTTGGAGATATACATTATTTACTAATGAAATAATATTTATAATTTATAATTTCTTAATTATTACATTTTTATGATTTCCAGCCATACAAATTGAATCCATTGTCTGATGAATTTTATACTTCCATATACCATTAGGCTAATCCTTTGGGGTTTCTAGTTATTACTTTAATGCACAATTTTCTTAGTTATGTTTGAATTTAATAGGAAAAAATTAATAATACTGAATCTTATGAAGAAATATCTATGATGAGGATAAAATTGGTGAATAAATAGGAAATCATCGAGACAATCTCAATTGAGATTTGGAAATCAATACACAACAACCTTATTTTGCGGCAAATGTTATGTTTTTTTGTTTTTTATATAATAATAAGCTATATACATTTATTCATTAACTTATATATTACTTTCTAAAGTTTTATAGGAAATAAGTATCATCCACTCAATGTTGATATTTTTGCAAGAGAATAAAATAGTAATTAAATTTGGATTACACATAATAAACATTAAAATGACATCATTTTTTGTTTTTGTGTTTTCTTCTTCCATATCACTCGAATTTAAGCGGATCAGCTTTTTTAAGGTGCAATGCAAATACCAATAAATGATGATTAACAAAGACAAACCATTCTAAACGTGATAATATGGAAAGATTGTGATAGGTCTTTACTTACTTTAGATGGGAAGAACTACAACCCTAAACTAGGGGGGAAGGGGGGAGGGGAGAGAGACGAAAAGAAAGGATTGTGATGGTTATTTACTTACTCTGCTGTTAAAATCTTTTTTTCTAAATTCTAAAATAAGTTTAGATTTTTTGAAAAATGGTAGAGATTGATGCTAGTGTTCCTATTATTAAGGATGTATGTAGTAGGTATTGTTCTTAATCATGGACTAAAAAAAGAAAACACTTCTCATCAGCATTTATTTCAATGCTTTAGATTTGGTATTATTTCTCAACTTTCTTCTTCCACAACATCATATTCGTTGTTGATCATTTATGTATCTACACCAGCATAGAAAAAAATATTCATTTTCTTTTCATCCTTATTCGGAATTTTTTTTTCATCTACCGACTCAACCATTACACAAACATGCACCTAGTATTGAAAGAAAAAACAAATAAAAAGCATGTTAGAATAATTGTTCAAAAAGGAGGGATATTTTTTTCTTTGAGAGACAGTACTAAAAGAAAGAGGATCAGGTGAAGAGCAAGTCGCAAGGAAAAGGGAAGAGCCGAAAGGAAGGATTGCCATGAGTTCTTAACGTCTACATTGTTGCAAAAATTTGGTAAATTTTGATAGCACGCAAAAAGAAGTAAAAAATGTTCATAAAGAGTTGCTCCAGCTATTCGGATTTGGAATCTTGTTTCATCTTGTGTTTCCGATGTCATCACACTCTATCTCGGTAGGAGATGAAAGGCATTCAGTTTTGTGAAGACACGATGGAGGATCCCGATTGTGCAGTGTATGGAGTCTAGGGTTTGCTGTAATTGTAAATAAATTCGTCAACCCAAGTGAAATTAGGTCGCCTTTGGTCATTCTCTTTTTTTTTTACAAAACAAAGAACTTTGGACCTTCAAACAAAACAAAGAACTTCGTAAAATCCTTGGAGGTTCTCATTCAGAACTTTGCTGAGATTGTATGATAGTTCGCTTGAGAAGACACTCGAAAAAGTTTGAGAACTTAAGCAAAGAAAATAAGTCAAAAGACTAAAATACTTCCTCAATCTTTTTCTCTATATCTTCTCTATCTCTTAAATACACACCATTTTGAGGACTTACTACCATTTTGTCAAGTAATTGTGTCTTCTCAACGCTATACCTTCAGGCATGAAAGCTGTGCGGTTCTGGTTTGGTGAAGCTGACAATCATACATGCATACTTCCCTTGACCATCTTGCTGAGACACACTTTGGTACTTGCTTTCTCGTTTCCCTCAATTGTACAGTTCTTTTTGAAGTTTTAAGGCAGTGTCTATTTTAAGCTTAATTTGATGATTGTTTTTTAAATATTATCCTTGTTCACTCTCCTATTTCGCTGAGCTCTTTGAGCAGGCTCACTTTGTGGCTGCAAGGATGCCACCCATAAACAGTATGTGCATTCATGAACTTAAGATAATAGCTTTCATGATCTTTGTCATAGTGATTAGAACATAGAAATGGAAACTTTAGAAGGTTACGGTCGAATGGTTGATCAATCTGAGAAGCTAAAAAATCTGCTGGACGGAGCTTTACTTAACCATATGAGGCTTGTAAGCATACATTTCTTCCCGCTATTTGCTTTCGTTGTGTGTTTGTTCTCTTTTCGACAAATACAGTCATGGGATGCTTGTATATATCTTTTTTTTTTTGCCAGTTGAAGGTCGATAATGATGATATGTTGGCCACTGCTGGTGCTGCTGTTCGCTGAGTAATGGAAGCAAATTGCTTAGTATAGCCTCTTTTGAACCACTTTCTTGGTTTGCAAGCTGTTCTTTGTCATACCTTTTGTACCAATGGAGACGACGACTCGGGGTTCTGTTCATCTTGAAAGCCTATAGATTGTTGCCCTGTTATACTTACATCTCTTTGTGCACCTTAGGTTCCTTCTTTCTCTGTGCACTCTGCCAGCCGATATTCCTTCATCCTTGATCATTTTTATGTGGTAGTGACTTAGCCAGCAGGTTCATAGTCGAGCATTCCATCCAATTATGAACAGCAACCATATCGTAACTACTACTTCATCTGTTTCTTCTTGGGATGCGAACTCATATGTCCGCGACTCGCAAGCAGATGTACCTATCCTCTTTCCAAATATGTAAGATTAAGATTAAGATTAAGAAAATAATAGATATACTTTTACACAATATTTCTAGAATGGCACATGCTATCCAAATTTAAGGTAATAGATAGTCTCCTATTAAAAAAATATCAAGGCGAAGTTAGGAAAAGTATAAACTCATTAAGTAATTATCATGTAAATATGTATTTTGAGTCTTACTTAAAAAGAACTATCATAGTTTAGCATTTGTGTAGCATATTTATAGACTAAGCATTTAATAATATTTTATTAGTTACAACGCATTCGAATTTCAAATGTATCAGAATAGTGAAAAAAGACACATGAAGACCAACTTTTATAAATTAAACATTGCATGGTTCGTTATATTAAATAATTTCGTCCTTAAATGATTTAGACCATAAGTATAAAATGTTCATTTACAAAACTAAATATCACAATACATACAAAAATCTCAAAAATAAAATTGTACAAGATCCCGAAGCAACGCTCGAGCCAATTATCTAGTATTGATTATTTTTAGACAAAATACATTTGCATGTGTGTAATCGAGCGGGTTCGGGTTGGATAGTGAAAAAACCATGTCCGCTCATTACCCGCAATATTCGGGTTCGGGTTTTACCCGTACCCACTAAAAGTCCTTCGGGTTCGAGTTTTACACTACCCGATTAGGCCAGATTCGGGCGGATATCCACGGTTACCGATATTTTTGCCATACTAGTGAAGAAGAACATGTGGGACAGGGGAGGGCGGCTCCATCTGATTATCTAACAGACGATCTTTCTCCCTTCACACTATAGAGGCAAAGTAAAGTAGTTCGTTGTGGTTGGTTGCTGATTTTCAGGGCTATGGCTTATGGGTTAGTAGGTCAGAGGAAGCCGAGAGATTGTAGGCTGGGTATTCTGTCCGGAAACCTTGCTTAGTCAATTCAATAGATTTCGTCAGATCACTCCTATTCTGAGCTTACATTACTCCTTTCCCAGCTCTCGATTATAGTTCTTTAAATGTACCTTTTTCTTCTACTTCGATTTCCTCCACTTGCAGCGGTAAATTCAGTAATCTATGGAGCGCGCTGGAGTGACGATTCAGAAACGGAGAATGGGTATGGGGAACAGGTCGACACTGGTTGGTATGGAAGTCCCAATCAGTGGCAGCTGCGATCCCGTCAAATGGCTCGACCTCTCTGTTCCTCACTCTGATTCACACAGCAATGGTGTCTCTTCTGGTTCTTCACCGCCACTTCCGTTGGCTCAATTTCCTCCACTCACTGACGACTGCGCCTCCTGCTGTCTCGTCGGAGATCCTCCTCTCTATTTCATCTGGTATGATACCAGTTCCATCCTGTTCTCTTGATACTAGCTTGTTTTCTGGTGTATTTATTGTTGCTCTAATTAAGAATTTAGCTTCTGATTCCTCGAAAAATTGCTATGTCAGTCCTCTTGTTAAACAAAAAGAAGCTGCACTTTATGGTAATTGAGTGTCATGCCTCTGCCTTGTTTGATTAGATAACATTGATATTTGGATCCATATAATGTTCCTTCCCTTCAACGTCATGGTTGTTTGTGTCATTTTTGTGATATTTGGATCCAAACATTGCTATGCTGGGTTTACCTAATGCATAAGAAATCCGAGGCTCGTTCTTTGTTGGTCATTTTTGTGTCCTTTGTTCAAACCAATGTTGTCAGAATCGAACGGGAGTATGAATCGGTATAGTGAACGGCTCGCACTTTATTGGTTTAACCGGTATTAAGCTGTTGAAAAATCGTTAACGAACCGATCCCTTATAATATAATAAAATTATATATAGAAAGACACATAATATATAACACATCTACGTGACTACGTGTATATATGTTAAAATAAATACATCTATGTGTATATAAATGCTTAACGCATCTAGCGTTCTAAATCTTGTGTATAAATTTTTAACAAATATTAAAAAAATAATCATGATTTTTTCATTTCAATAGACGGAAGATAAAAAAAAAATTTGCTAATCCCTAAGCAAGTTAGCAACCGCTTGTGTAATGTGCTTGGGAAATCAAATTTAAAGGCTAGGGAAATAGGGAATCCGTGTCTTTGTCTTGGGAAATGGAAAAAAGAAGTATAAAAGAGTTAAAAGTGACTGGGAAATAAGAAAGCAACCGCATTGGACGGTATAAATTTAATTTTTTTTTGTAACTCCACCCAACAGTCTGTGTCTAAGTCGGACTGAAAAGGTAAGGATTGTTGGACTATTAGCTTACATGCTTAAAACCGGTCGGCCGGTTTGAGCGGTCTGAACGGTTAACCGCTTCGGCCGCTCACCGGCCGACCTTTCTGACCGCTTCGACTTTTGGAGTGTTCCGAACCGAGATAGTAGTTGGGTGCCGGTTTTACCGGTCCGGCCGGCTCGGTTCGGCTTTAATAACACTGGTTCAAACGCAGGGTTAGAAGTCATTCGGTCAGATAATGTTTACGAATTCCATATGCATGCATTCTTTAGTAGTTTAGAGATTGTGCATTCATCCAGATGTATGATCTCAGTTCCATTTGCATTGATCCACTATCCTTCTTTTCTGTTTCCCAATTCCTATTTTCAAACTGCTCAACTTGTTTCTCAAAAGGAGGATACATAAGGCGCAGCCAAACGTCCTAGAGTTGCTTGAGCTCTCTGCGCAGTCAGAGTTCCCCAAGATTGGACTGCGTATCACTTTTCCTGATCCGCTTTCTCCTTTTGCTCATATCCACCAAAACCAGGTTTGTGACCCTCTTACGAGTGGTTCTCCTACTTGTTTCCGTGTCCATGCTATTTAATTAAAGAATCTGTATATGCAACTGCAGGATTCGACTCTTACCAACCCATATACACTCTATATATTGAGTGTCTCCGGAGTTGCGTACCTTATCAAACTCAGAACAGTTCCTGCTTACTCATCCATATCTATTTTCCCAAAGGATGAGCTGTTTGAGTTTGATCTGACTGGTTGTTCCGTCGATGCGCCGATAACAAGTGTAGCCGCATCTGCTGAATGTCTTGTAGTTGGGCGAAAAGATGGCTCTGCAGCTTGCTATCGCTTTACCTTACCGAACCATGCTGTTCCAGGTTAGTACTTGTCTGGCAATTATCAAAGCTGGAGGCTCACAGATACCCTTGCATTGGTCCACATTGTTAATTTGATTGCTGTTTGTGTTAAAGGTTTTGCGAATGAGCTGCGCGATAATTCATGGATTAGCCGTTTATGGGGTTCCATTTCCAGGTGCGATTGGTGTTTACCTGCTTATTGTTGTGGCCATTTCTTTATTGCACTACAATAATATGCACATTTCTTTTATACGAATGGATAAGTTCTTCATCCATGTGCAAAGAACCCATTAACAGTAGAGACTTCCATGGGTCTTTTAATCATGCAAAATCAAAGTGTATAAATGGGTGATCGCTTCATGTTAGAACAGTTGTTCCCTATATATCAGTGTTGTGTAATTATGTGATTTGAAACAGTCACTATTGCATGGTATGTTCTTCTGTTTGTATGTATGAGCTGAACACTTATGCTTAGGTATTCCTTTCAGGCCTAGGGCTGTAGGATCTGTGCTGGACTTGGTGATCAGGAAATTGTATAAAATGCCATTTTTATTTGTGCTTCATGTGGATGGGGTGATCCAGATCTGGGATCTGTTAAGGCACAAGAAGGTTTACAATCGAGGCATGAATGTTCAAATTTTTGAAGGCAAGACCCGTGACAATCACTTGAATTTTTTTTTTGTACCCTTACCTTTCAGACTATTAGTGTCAACTAGCTATTCATTTAATCATATTATCTGGAATTCTATGGACCGTCAAACAAAACAATGAACTTCCTCGTAAAACCCTTGGAGGTTCTCATTCAGAAAAAGTTTGCTGAGATTGTATGGTAGTTTGCTTGAGAAGACACTCAAAAAGGTTTGAGAACTTACTCAATGAAAACAAGTTAAAAGACTTAAATACTCTCTCAATCCTTTTCTCTATCTCTTAAATACACACCATTTTGAGGACTTTTGTTAGAAACAAAGTTTCTAACGGATTTCTAGATCAGATTTAAAGATTGAGAATTTAAGATTTATAAAATAGAATTTGAGATTTAGGGATTTGAGGAGAATTTGGGGAAGAATAGAAGAGAATCGGCCTAGACCTTTGGAGGGAATGAGGTCAAGAATTGAGAGGATAGGGAGAGGGATTAAGGAGATAATTCTTTTATTAACTTCTGCTTAATCTGACAAAAGACCCAAAGTACATATATATAGGAGAATACTAGAAAACCCTATTAATAAACCTAATTCTACTATAAGACTACTAACCATAATAAGAACTATCTTATTAGTAGTAATAATAATAATAATAATAATAATAATAATAATAAATATAGAAACCTTAAAGAAATCAGTTTCTAACATCTCCTCCCCCTTCAAAACCAACCTTGTCCTCAAGGTTGACCGTCTTGATCCAATTTTTCTTCCTTCCCGCGCAATCCACAAGCTGACTACTCCATTTCTTGCGCTTCCGTTTCTTCCTGTCGTGCTCCACTCCCCGACTAGGCCTTCTTTCTTCATCCTCCTGTTGCTGCTCCGTGGTTGTGATTTGCATTTCTGGTGGCATAATCCTCGCATCCTCGAAACCTTCAAACTTCAATAATTCTTCCTTCACGGTCGTCGCCTTCCAGCAACACCATGAATCTAACGACTCGCTCTTGCTCAAGAACCCATTCTTAAGTACCCAATTTATCCCAGGCCAACTCGGCCCGCTCCCATGGGCCTCACAGCCCTCTCACCACAAGACACTCGCTGCTGCTGTTGGGTTGCGGCGCCGCCTAGGGTTGCCAGAGGAGAAAGGCCGCCGACCCTCTTCCCCTCTTCCTCCGCCTCCGCCATCTTCTTTCCCAACGGCGACCTGGGGTTGGAGAGAAGAGCGACGCCACCGCCTCCCTTCGCCAGCAACGCCGTTTCTACCTCCTTCGTCGCCTGCTCGATCGAGGGAAGGGAAGCGCCGCGACCCTTCTTCTTCTCGTCCGGCGAACGGCGCAATAGGGCACTTGAAGTCAACCCCATCGCGATTCGCGCTGTCTGCAACGAGCCCCGGCGATCGTGCTCGCGCGGCCGACGAAGACCCGACGAGCTTGCTCCCCTGCTGTGTCCCTTCGTCGATTGCTCTCGACGTCGAGCTTAGCCAACATTGCCTCCTTCGTCTCGTCAGGACCCTTGTCGGGCCTGAGCTCCTCCCCCATCGAGCGAATCTCGGAGATCCTGATCACCCGAGCCTCTGCAATCATGAGAGGCGACAAGTTCGGCGACATCGTCGAAGGATCCCTGCGAATCCTTTCCCGCGCTTCATCCTTCGAGCGGACTCTTGTACTCTTGGTCGCTTGAATCTCTTCTGAACCTCCCGCAATCTTTAGCTTACGATGGCCAGCAAATCCCTCCTTGTCATTCTGCAGTGGTGGCCTCCACGTTCCAGGCACCCTTTTCTTATATTTCCAATTCGCGTGATACCTTCGTTCCATCACTGGTTGATTGGTGGTTGGTTCTTGGTGTGCGCGTGAAGCCCGAAGATCTTCTTGAGAGGCGATTTCGCTCTCATTGTAGGCAACAGTGGCGGTAACGACAAGGCCCTCTTCTTCTTTTGCTTCAACAACGATGTCACTCTGTTCCGCGGCCACCGCCGGCACCAACTGCAGAATTTCAGCTGGCTTTTCCAGCGTTGGCGCGATGGCAGCGGTGGTGTTGGTTGTTGGCGGCTCGGTCGCCGCAAGCTCTTCCATGCCCGACTGCACTGTTTGCACCTCGCCGTCATCCTCCGAGTCAACTCGCACCCCTGGCTTTTGCTCTTCTGCTGCTGCAGCATTCCGGGTCGACAACTGCTTTACTGGTGCCTCTTTGTCGTGGTTGAGGTCCAGAGGGGCGGTGATTTTGGGAATTGTGATGATGAAATGAGATTTCCCAAAACTAGCGCGGTGTCGGCTGATGTCGTGGTTTGCTCGGAATCTGATTTGCTTTTTCAATCGGATTCATCTGTGACCATCAGCTAATGGCCGTGGTCCCATTATTGCTAGCACATCGGATCCAATCACCTGCACCTCTATGTGCTCCTTCTCGAACCCCGACAATTCGAAGAACACGATAAGACGATCTCGCAGGTCCAACGTCATGACATAAGACTTGAAGTCTTCATACACAAGTTCATCCCTGGTTGAGAGTTGTGACGAACTCAGATCTTCGACCATGGCTCTGATACCAGATGTAAGAAACAAAGTTTCTAACGGATTTCTATATCAGATCTAGAGATTGGGAATTTAGGACTTATAGAATAGAATTGGGGATTTAGGGATTTGAGGAGAATTTGGGGAAGAATAGAAGAGAATCGGCCTAGGCCATTGGAGGGATTGAGGTCAAGAATTGAGAGGATAGGGAGAGAGATTAAGGAGATAATTCTTTTATTAACTTCTGCTTAATCTAACGAAAGACCCAAAGTACATATATAGGAGAATACTAGATAACCCTATTAATAAACGTAATTCTACTATAAGACTACTAAGCATAATAAGAATTATCCTAATAATAATAATAATAATAAAAACTCTAAAGAAATCGGTTTCTAACAACTTGCTATCATTTTGTCAAGTAATTGTGTCTTCTCAATGTTATACCTTCAGGCATGAAAGCTGTGCGGTTCTGGTTTGGTGAAGCGAACGATCATACAGGCATAGTTCCCTTGGCCATCTTGCTGAGACACACTCTGGTACTTGCTTCCTCATTTCCCTCAATTGTACAGTTCTTTTTGAAGTTCTAAGGCAGTGTTTGTTATAAGCTTAATTTGATGATTGCTTTTGAAATATTATCCTTGTTCTCTCTCCTATTTCGCTGAGCTCTTTAAGCAGGCTCGCTTTGTGGCTGCAAAGATGTCACCCATAAACAATATGTGCATTCAGGAACTTAAGATAGTAGCTTTCATGCTCTTTGTCATAGTTATTAGAACATAGAAATGGAAACTTTAGAAGGTTTTCCCTTTTCCAGCATGTAATAAGTGTTCATCCGAGCTTGAATATTTTAATCACATGGAATCCAAATACCTAGTAAATTGGCATCGAATTTCAACAGAAAGTCCGTTCAAGAAGGAGATGGATTCTTGCATATGTTCGTTCCAAACTTAAGTGTAGAAAATCTTAAGAGTACAAAGAGGCTGTTAAATTATTTCTAGATATGGATGTTTATCTTTACTATTATTCTAATACAACTTAGATGGAGAAGGAAAGGAGATGGTTTTCTTAAAAGTAAAGGTTATGCTTTCGGTTGTGGTTAATAATTCGTCAAAATTATCTTGAAAATGTATGTTTGAAGCATTGGTTGTGGAAATTGAAATTGTATAGAAATTTCTCTGTTTTTTTTTTTTTACTTATGATAATCACTCTCTCTTCTTGTGGCACTTTCCTTTGCTTTTCAAAAATTTATTATAGTGTGTCTTAGATGTTCGTTTTCCATGTAATTTCCGCAAGCAAAGGAACACAATTTTCTACAGCAGTGTATTAGGGTAGGGAGAAAAGTGAGTGAGAAATAAGAAGTAATCATATGTACAATGGAGCTGCTATATAATTTTGAGAGATTCTTGTTTGCCTGTGTTGGTTTTATAAACATTTTTTAATTCCAGTTTTGCATCTACCTATGAAGGATAGTAGCAGGGAGATTGTTTTAGTATGCAGGATGTGCTTTGTTATGTCAGGTCGAATGCTTATTGACTTCGAATCTTTGTCGCCAAGTATCCCTCTGGAGGAGGTGAGTGATTCATGCTTTAAGGTTGTTTAAGTGTTAAGTAATTGGATCAACTGATATTTTTCTTCGATTCACACCACATTCATTCGAAACGAGGAGAATTTGTGTACTTTAAAATGCGTTGTTTTCTTTTGTCAGGAACACTGCCTTGATGTAAAGATGTCATCAGACAAGATCTGGATTTTAAAAGACACGGGTTTGGAATATCATAATATATCTACTGATATTGATCTGTAAGTTCAATTTGTTTAATTTTAGGCGCAGTTTGCTTTGTGCGGTGGATTTGTTTGAATGACATGCTTCTCTCCACATCTTTTATATGGTTTCCCGCCCTTTTCTTTTCCCTTTAGTAAAACTGTTGCTCCAGAATGTCATATTTGATGTAACCTCTCTTTACTTTTAGGAACGAAGCTCCCAGCTGTTGCTTGCAAGAAGATCCTGTTGCTGAGCCGCTATTCCAAAGTGCCTCTGCAGATCTCCGTCGGAATATTCGTTCTGTGTTTTCTTCTGCAAATGTATACTTGCAAAACCTGCAGCAGCTGACTTTCCACGGAATTGGGCGGACACTTATTCGACGGATTTATGCTGCTTGTCTGATTAATGATCGGAACAAGCTTGAGCGGCTTTCTTTGCTGTCATCGGTTTGCCGTTTTAGCCAGGGGAATCAAGCTGATCTTGTGTAGGAGAGTTTAGAGGTGTTTGCATGGTAGAAACTCTGTTATTTCTGGCCATCTGTATACGTAGGGTTTCTTCTCTTCTACTTTATGTTACTCTCAACACCTCTGGTGTATTGTTCTTCCTATAAAACTCACTTTAATAAAATAAAATGAAAGGTGTACATGCAATCAAACTTTGCATGAGAATTCATATCCATCACTCGGTGCATTTTACATTTCATGCTTTGCAACTTTCTATCAAATTTGATGCTTGCAACACTCGGAGCAAACCAAACAACTCCTCAGTAAGGTTCGATAGGTGAAAAGCCCCCCAGACAAACGTTTTCCCCTTCTCTCTCTAAAATTTCAATTTCAAAATTACTCTCTTCCCCCTCTCTTCCGCACCTCCACTTTCTGCCCCCTAGGGTTGCCACCGGCACCTTTTGGTGACCGGCGGTAGCCCAAAGATTTACCCATTTTTTATTTCCCTTCCCATCCTCGGTAGGGTTGCAAATGAGCCAAAGATTTACCCATTTTTTATTTCCCTTCCCATCCTCGGTAGGGCTGCAAATGAGCCGAGTCGAGTTTTACCCCAGCTTGAGCTCGGCTCGTTAATAAACGAGTCGAGCTCGAGCTCCGCTCATTTATTAACGAGCTGAGTCGAGTCGAGCTCGAGTTAGCTTGTTTATTAAAATCTTAACTTTTATTTGAAACTTCATTTTGTATATCATAATACATATGATTTATTTTGTTAGCTAATCTCATATTATACTTTGTTGGTATCACATATCATTTAGTTTATAAATTTTAACTACTCCAAATCATGTTATTTCATAGTATCGAATCAATATATGATGCATAATTTCTTTTTAAAGTAGAAAATAAGATATATTGCTCACAAACTCAACGGGTTAAACTTTATATATGGTGAGATATATAATTCAACAACCGTATGAATTAAAATCATAAGATATAGATTGATTCGTCCATAAGTTGGTAATCGAGTTGGCTCTCTAGCCACATGTCAAGACATATCATGAGCTCTAAACGAGCCAGCTCACGAGTTTAGCTCAACAAGCCACCGAGTCGAGCTAGCTCGCGAGCTTCACGAGCTGAACAAAGGTGAGCTCGTGTTTGGCTCGTTTATTAACGAGTCGAGTTTCGAACGAACTTTTCTCGAGTCGAACGCCGAGTCGCTCGCGAGCAGCTCGGCTCATTTGCAGCCCTAATCCTCCGCTCCTTTGCTTTAGGCAATTTTTCATCAATTCTTTTCTTTTCTTGTGTTCTGCTCAGTTATGTGGCCTTTCTTCCTCTGTTTCCCTCCTTGTGAGGACGTCTCTGTTCCTCTCGGTGTAGAGATGGATTTTGCTCCCATCATGGCTGGATCCAGATTTGTGTGGATGACCTTTGGTTGGTGTTTGAGGTGTTAGTGTTGTGGTGTATGATCCACGATTGAACCTCTCCTCTCAAGTTATTGGGACCAACTGATTTATGATATGGTATCAGAGCCTTCTGTGACCGAGAGGTCTTGTGTTCGATTCTCGGTGACCCCCATTTGTTAAGCACATGGAATTCTTGTCTTCAGACCTGTGCAAACTCCAAGCCCTTGTAACTTCAGACCTGTGCAAACTTCAAACCCTTGTGAGTGGTTTTCGTTTGAGGGGGCGTGTTAGTGTTGTGGTATATGATCCACGATTGAACCTCTCTTAAACTCGAGTTATTGGGATCAACTGGTTTATGACATGAGGGAGCCGATTTTGGTTCGCTCGCTCCTTTCTGTTCCTCTATCTACCTCCACATGCTTCATCCAATACTGGGGATGATTCGGAGATGCATGGGCCTTTGTTGTCTAGGATAGTGTTTCAGAGAGCTTGTGAGCAGGGATGTCATTTTCGTGGATAGGCTCTGCCGCTTGCTCAGATCGGTGGCGGTTCGTCACTTTTCTGTCCGTTTCTGGAGTGCTTCTTTGGTTTCTCTTGGTGGTGCAGGTGAAGCTTGGAGCGGATCTGGATTTTGTCAGGAACACTGCCTTGATGTAAAGATGTCATCAGACAAGATCTGGATTTTAAAAGACACCGGTTTGGCATTATATCATAACATATTTTCTACTTATATTAATCTGTAAGTTCAATTGTCTAATTTGAGGCGCAGAATGCCATATTTGATGTAACCTCTACATCTTTTATATGGGTTCCCCGCCTTCTCTTTTCCCTTCAGTAATAACTAGCTTTTATCCCGGCCATTGGCCGGGTGAGTTTCATTTCATTGTGAATACGGGTTCTTTTTGTTCGGACAATTTTTTTTTTTGTGATGATTGAGTGTATATCTTGCATTATTAATGATTTATCCTTTATGTATAATCATATGATTAATAAATTGGATAACAAATCAATGTTATAGGTTGAAGAATTGTATAATACAAATGTCTATAGTTGTTTCCCTGCTGTCGCGATAAGACTATGTTAGATTGAATTTCACACATGGTGCTATATATTATGAACTCAAAATATACATTTGTAATTGTATACATAAAATTTATAAGTCTCATATTGACATTTATTAAACTCATTGTCATTTATCAAATTAAGAATAAAGTCAACTCATATTCATATTCACTAAAGTTGGAACAATCTCATGCTAATTTGGCTTCCACATAGTCACAGTTCGCAAAAAAAAAAAAAGACAAATATATTCAGTAGGTTGGCATGATTTGCAAAAAATGGTCATTCCAATTGTCTCTTTTTCATGTTTCCTCTGCAATTTCAATCTTATTTCTTACTTGAATGTATTTAAACATATATCTTTGAACACATAATATGCATATCTTAAAATTACTACAACAGATCAAAGGAGCAAATATACATAATTAGCAACTTACATGGGAAAGTTCTTGAACAAAAATAGAAGTTTTGCCGTGGGGAACATTGGGCCATTGCCGGCTGCAAGAAGAAGGTATCAGCGGGATCAGACGGAGTATGGAGAGGAGTTCGCGTCGATGGTGTTATGGGGGACAGGGGAGGAAGTTGCCGTGGGGGAATATTGGGCTTTTGTCAGTTGCAAAAAGAAGATAGAAAGACGCGACGCTTAAGGGCAGAAGGAGGAAAGACGAAGAGATGGCCGCCGTTAGGGGAGTCGGTGGTTTTGCAACTATAAAAATAACATAATACGACGCGTAGGGTGGAGAAAGCAAGGTTAACATGGACACCATGGGCTTACGTGGACTGGGGTAAACCTAAAAACCATTGAAGTTTTTTTTTTAATTTAAGATAATAATAAGATAATTGATCAAGGCCTGAGAAAATGCGGAAAAAAAAAAAACAAAATCTGAAAGTTGCGGGGAACAGTTTGGTGAGAAAGCGCTTTATAGTATTTGTAGATGCTTGCAAGAAGATCATGTTGCTGAGCCGTTATTCCAAAGTGACTCTGCACATCTCCGTCGGAAGATTCGTTTTGTGTTTTCTTCTGCAAAGGTATACTTGCAAAAACTGCAGCAGCTCACTTTCCACGGAATTGGGCGGACACTTCTTGGACGGATTTATGTTGCTTGTCTAATTAATGATCGGAACAAGCTTGAGCGGCTTTCTTTGCTGTCATCGGTTCGCCGTCTTAGCCAGGAGAATCAAGCCTATCTTGTGTACGAGAGTTTAGAGGTGTTTGCATGGTAGGAACTCTGTTATTTCTGGCCATCTGTATACATAGGGTTTCTTCTCTTCTACTTTTTGTTACTCTCTACACCTCTTAGTGTATTTTTCTTCCTATAAAACTCACTTTAATAAAATAAAATAAAAAAGTGTACTTGCTTGCTTTTGGATAATCTCTTGGCTTGTCAGAGGATGCCTTTTACATTTAGTGTCAACTTTAGTTATGTGCGGTTGACAATGTTGTTAGTGGTGCAGAAACTTTATATGCAATTCCAGCTAGGGACTAGATACCTTGACAGCCCTCTTGGGGGTTGTCAATTTCGCTTCCCCTTTAGTAGTCGTCCATCCCTCTTCCTCACCATCTGACGGTTGATGATGGCCAAGGGCAAAAAGATAGTGCCTACACTGGATTCGTCTGCCCACTAATTGCTTACGTTAGCCGGGTTTTGAAAAGGGAAAGAATTTGGTGGGGGGAGAGAAATCAGCCACCCTCCCCGCAGAACGATTCGTCTCCCCCAAACCCTTTTCCTCCGTCTTCTCCCAAAAACCTTCCCTTCCACCATCTCCGATCAATTTTCTCGACGTTTCCTATCATTGTCTCACCCGATCTCGTGTTGAGTGCAAAGTCTTGGTGTTTGTCTTCCCTAAAACCATTTTCCCCTCCATCGTCTCCCAAAAAACCTAGCAACCGTCACCGCCATCGTCCCTTCTTGTTGTCGTGCAAACCATTACAGGCGAGGTATAATCATGCAATCCTTTCTTTCTTGTGTGGCTTGTTCGATTTGGTTTTTGTACAATCGAGTGGTACTTTGAATTGGTAGCGTTGCTATCACTACAGAGGCAACACTATTGGTAGCAGTTTTAGTGGTAATTGTGGCAATTATACCAATTTTAATTGTAGCATGGTAGTGGTAGTTTAATTGAATGGTAGCACTGGTACTAGCAGAAGTGGTAGTTTACTAGGAGGGTACCACTCACTTTTACCAGTTGTCGTGGTAGTATATTAGTGGTAGCACTGATATTTGTGTACCAGTGAATTTTGGTCTGGCAACAATGGGTTTAAAATAATTAATTGTTACTGGTAGTGAACTAGTGGTAGTCGAAGTTGTTGTTACTAGTAGTGGTAGTTGAAGTTGGTATTAGTCCTTAGTGGTAGTTTTTGTGGCACTGTTGAATGGTTTATAGTGGTAGCATAGTAAGTTTTAATTAAATTTGTATAACAATGCAGTTTTTTTTATCAGGAATGGCGAGAACTACACAGCGACAACCAAAAAAACAACTTGCAACAAAAAAAACCTATTATCTATGAATCTCGGCGGGTTATCATCTGTGAAGGAGAGTCATCATATTCTAGTCTAGGCCCTATTAAAGACGGCCACATGAGGTGATAACGGAGAGTCCCTATAAGAAGAAGAAGAAGAAGAAGAAGAAGAAGCAAAAAGTAGATGCAGTTCAAGCCAATTCGGGAGAAGTGCAGTCGGAATTCAAACATTGAAATTCTGGAATCTAGCATTTCGAAAGAGAGGAAGGCTATACTGAAAAAGCTTAAAAGGTATGATAATTGGTTATGTACGTTTTGGAGTATGAACCAAGCTTGAGGCATATGATAATTGTCTATTGCTTTTTTAATGTAAACCAATTATATTGGACAAAGTAGTGGCAGCTTGCAGTAGTACATTTGGTTTTGTGTTCCATTGGCATTTCTCATTACATCCAACACTAGTTTTCCCCATAAGTATTATGTGACTAGCAGTCGTGCTTGTACAACTACTAGTACTGGTATATGTACCAGTAATTATTAGTGGTACATATACAAGTAACTAATGGTGGCACATGTGCAAGAAACTAGTAGTGGTACATGAACAAGTAACTAGTAGCGATACTTGTATCATTAACTAGTAGTGGTACTTGTATCTTTACTAGTTACTGGTATATAAACTCGTAAATATTAGTGGTACTTGTACCAATAACTAGTAGTGGTACTTGTATCATTACTAGTTACTGGTACATGTACCAGTCAGGCAGTCACTAGCAGTGGCACATGAACCAGTAGGCAGTAACTACTAGTAATGGTACTCATACGAGTAAGTTTGTTTGCTAAAGCTACTAATATGCACGAGGCACTCACCGTGGATATACACAGGTGTTACAACAGTAGTAGAATCATTGCTCCGTGTAGGTTTCCAAGTATGAACAATTGTTTTTGGTATTTGTTGTCTTTAATTTGATCTAAGACAAAAATACTGTTGCATACATTGGCACAATTGGGTTGGTGTTTGAGTGTGAAAATTTAGTACCTTCCCCCTAGTTATTTTAACTACATAACCCTTTATTGGTACCATTTTAGTTGTACTTGTACGAAATTAATGTTACTGGTAACAAGACAATGGTATCGGTATCAAAATCATGTTGTTAGTAATCATTGCTCAGTCTGGAACCAAATTAGTGGTACTGGTACCAAGCATAAGAATGGTACCAAATTAATGTTACTAGTACTAGATCAATGGTTCTAGTATCACAATTATGCTCTTGTTACCATTACTCAGTCTAGAACAAAATCAGTGGCACTAGTACTATTAATACAACTGGTACCAAATTAATACCACTATTTACTATTATTAAGTCTGGTAGTAACTCTCGACGAGAAGCCTCTTCCATGAGCATAACTCTTGTAAAAACATGTAAATTCATCATGGTTCTGGAAAACGCAGGTGATTCCACGTTGAACTATCTGATGGGATGAAGGTTGATACCAAACCTGTAAATAAAGAGAAGATGCATTAGCAAATCGAACTTTTATCAAATTACTACGGACGATGGTTGATACCACTAGGAAAGTACCACTAAATCACTACGACTAAATGACTAACACTATGGGAGTACCACTAGACGACTACGTGTCTACCAGTACATGACTATCACTAGATGATTACTCGTACATGACCCATATCCAGGTACCACTAGGGAAGAACCACTAAATTACTACGCATAAATGACTACCACTAAGGGAGTAACACTAGACGACTACATGTCTACCAGTACGTGACTACCACTAGATGATTTCCACTAGGTGCCTACCACTACAGTAATAATACCACTAACTAAATTGAACCATAACTACTAGTACATTTTTGCAGAAACATTATCTGTACAACTAATAAAACGGTACAAATGCAACGGAAATCGTAACGACACAGGTTAACCCTACCGCCATTGTTGCCGTCACGCCATTATCCGCCACGCTGTCGTCTGAATCAGCGTGATCGCCTGATTGCGGTACGAAATGGTCGTTGTTTTCCATGTTGACGCCATATTGGACGTTGTCCGTGATTTTGTCCTGTTCCGGATGGTCTTCGTTGACCAGCTCCTCCACGTCCAAAACGTCGCCATCATCGCCATTCTCCGTCGGGTCCGACTGCTCAGCTCGGATCTCATATATATTCTCGTTGTTGCTTGTCAATGGGACGTTTAGGTCAAAGCCGAATAAACAACTAGGTTCAGCTCCACCCCATTCTCTGTCATCGTCGTTGCTGATGTAGTCGTCCATTGTATGGCGGCGGCCGCGTCGCTGGTATTTTCCAGAGCTACTGATGTCTGGTTTGATGAGGGATCTGGTTTGACGAGGGAGAAGCTAAAAATGGAAGGGAAAGAGGCCCAGCCGAAACAGGCTCTTCACCTCCCTCCAATAACGCTTCAAGATTTTCTCCATGCATTTAAGTGATAATTCAAAATGACTAGAATTAAGAACTTACTAAATAGCCCTTCTTGTGCTCCTAACCGCCGGATGAAAAAGGAGGATGGACGACTAAATGGGGGGAAGCGAAATTGACAACGGTCCCAGCCAGCAATTATTGTAATGGTGCAATGGATTGACAGGATCGCCGCCAGGACAGGACGTTTGGGATGACTGGGGGAGAATCGAATCCTGCTGCCTTGTTCCGACTATTTGTCAAATGTGGTCGGCATAAGGAAGCTGTAAATCTCTTGGTCGAGCATATCGACTCGTTTGCGACAGTGGTAATTTAGACTACTATTGTTTTGTTTAGTTCAGATTTTTTGTTTTGGTGCCATGAGTAGTGCAGCTTAATATAGTGCTCTGCATTACTGATTTCGTTTTCAGAATTTGGACTGTTCCTTAACCTTGTGTCAGTTGTGTGCCTACAATTGAGCCTGCAGTGTTACGATAGATAATGTCATATCGTTAACTTTGTATGCAGAGACCATTGTACCTAATCAAGCGTAAAAAGCCGTTTACTGCATGGTTTCCATATCCTGCTGTAGAGCTGTTACGGTGCCAACTGGAAGATTCAATTGCTTGCGGTCGAATGGTTGATCAATCTGAGAAGCTAAAAAATCTGTTGGCCTGAGCTTTACTTAACCATATGAGGCTTGTAAGCATACACTTCTTCCTGCTATTTGCTTTCGTTATGGTTCTCTTTTCGACAAATACAGTCATGGATGCTTGTATGTATCTTTTTTTTTTTACTAGTTGAAGGTCGGTAATGATGATACGTTGGCCACTGCTGGTGTTGCTGTTCGTTGAATAATGACAATATCTACTGCTTCATCTGTTTCTTCTTGAGGATGCGAACTTATGTATCCGCGACTCGCGAACAGTTGTACCTATCTCCTTCCAAATTTGTAAGAACTCCATGTGCCATGGGAGAGTGATTTAGATGTATATAATCTTTCCAGGGAATCAACAAGTTCATGTTTCAACTTGCACCATTCCGGATAATTCTCGCCACAATCACGGAAGATAATGTGACGTGAATCCTTCAACAATGCATAAAACCAACAATAACGTTGTCTCATCTAGTTTTGAGAACTGTGATTGTCCCGCAGTTGCTCTAGATGAACCGCCATACCCAAGTTCGGGGATTGGATCATCATTGATGGCTAGCCTCTTCCATGATTCATTCCTGAAGCTATACAACTGAATACCCAACTCATGAAACAACAATGTAAAACTAAAATCATTGTCGGTTCCAAGTCTCGATCAATCTAGCATATGGATGGATTGGAACTTGGGAGATTCGTCCCCAACTCAGGTTAATCTATTTTGCAGAGCCGGGTTTTGGAATGGCAATAGGATAGGTTGGGTATTTCAGTACCCATACTATCCATGGCAGGTTCAGTCTAGGTCATGGCAAGTGCAATTTGACTGGTGAACATCCTTTCAAACGATAAACCTGCCGGAGGAATGACAAAGGTTGATCAAAAGACAAAGGTTGATCAAATCTGGTAGCCATGTCGAAATCTGGACATTCTGCCATGTCGCGGAGAACCAAAACGGAATCTAGTCAGACCCTTCCCTAGTGTGGCACACTATGCTAGACATTCGATTTTACTCAGAGCCAGACACAACATAATGCATATAGATGATCAACTTGAAAAGGTACTACCGAGTGAGGTTATGAGTCTAACATGAACCTTCTCATATATGCATTACATATGATCTACTCGGAAAAGGAGTTAGGAGTTGGGAGACATGGGGCGGCTGCGACTGTATTTTTTAGGCTTTGTTTTGGCAACATCAACTACTATCAACCATCCATTGATGATCTGCAAATACAATACACATACATGCCATGTCAGAGCAGAGCAGCAGAAGCAGCCCTTCTAGCTCTCATATGGAGAATCAGAACCAGATATGAAAAGAGATGAACTGAGAGCCCTACTAACCTTGCCATTCATCTCCCTGAGAGCGGCGCTTGCTGCTTCTTCCGTCATGTACTCGACAAATGCATAACCCTTTGACCTTTTCGATATCTTGTCCATTATTATCTTGACTGTCACAGATAGGGGTTGCCACAGTTTATCATACTAGCTTGAAACAAATAGTCAATAATTGTTCATTTCGGGCCTTGTTATGCATGCCTTACCTTCCACCAGCTCACCGAAAACTTTGAATGCTTCCCTCAATGTCTTCTCAGATGTGTAAAATGATAATCCTGTTGCACAAGAAATTATTGGTCATTCTTATGAGACTACTGACCAATCCCTCAATTTCTGCCCCCTTAGATCATGTCGCTCGGCAACTTACCAGTCACAAAGAGTTTCTTCGTTCCTGGCGGAATTGCTTGCAAAGAATTTGGCCCCTTACCAGAATTTTCAGCAGTATCAACTGGAAAGCAACAAAATTTGGAAGAACCACAATCATAATGAGCATATAGCTTTCACTGAAGATGCCTAGTGATCCATAAATCTATCAATTCAGCTTATCAGGAGGCCAATTGGCTCTCTGCTAACCCCAGCGTTAAAACATCAGCAAACATAACTAAGACCAAAAGTTTTCCAACTTATGAAGAGATAGATTCACCAGCAAAAGACAAAGGGAGGATCCTATAACACCCCTTCATTATTTATCAGTGGTACTTAACATCTCTTTCAGATTATCTAATGCATCATTCAAACCAATAAGTGCTGAGAGACTGGCTTGGTATAAGCTGACTATGAAGCTGGAACATTATTGAATGTGGGACTTAAAAATAAAATCACCCAAACCAAAGACAAACTTAAGGTGGGGCGACAAACAAACTCCACTGTTGAGGTTGAAGTTCAAAGAATGGATCTAGTGCAGAAAAAGATTCTCTAGCACCACCAATCAGCTAATGAGATTCAGAAGAACTACCAAAGGGGATTCCAATGTTATGTGATTGCTCACCCGATTGACAATCGATAAGAGGTGCAAGAAAGATATACAGACAGAAGAAGGGACCAACCTCCATAACCCTCAACCTTTGATTTGAAGTTCTCATCTGGTTGAACAGATAAAACACCAGGAACACCTGAAAATACAAAGCATTTCTATGTAAAACTGCAAAAAGCTCCTGACATATAAGGATGTAATTCAGGAATCAAACTGTACCGGCCAGTATGCGTGCAGAATCTTCATCCAGTTGACAACAAAACCCGAAATCGGATTGCCAAGAAACATGATACACACACATCTGTGCATCTTTCTCACTGCACAAAGAACAGGTATTACAGGCATCAGAAGAAAAGAATGCTATCAAGAAACAAGGAAATTGCAGGATTTCCCAAGCCACAGGGAACTTACTTCCCAAGAACCTTGGTTAGTATCTGTGTGTAGTAATCAACTACTTGTGCCTTTGTAACCACACCGATTCCAGGTGTAGTCGTCCTAACTAGCCAATGCTTGCTCGTCCCAGGAGGAAACAACCACATACTTGTAAGTGGGTTGAAACTATCTTCCAACCCTGCACTCAAAGCAGAAGTCTTTTTGGTCGAATTGGAATTTGGGTCAGGCATTACAGATAAAACCCCTGGCAAACCTGCAACAAACAAAGATCATCTTCACCTATAATTGGAGCTGAACCAAACTTTAAGTGAAACAATCTTAGCACTTAGGGTCAAGGATGAAAAGCTTACGAGCTAGCTCAATGGATTCCGATTTGTCAATGTCACAGCAGAATCCAAATTGTGCAGCATCACAACAGACATGGTAAATAGACATCTGAGCATCCTTTTCACTAGTTAAAAATCGTCCCAGAATCCAAAGTTGGAGAAATTTAGACGCCATAGAACTACAGTGCTAAATTGTGGAATTGCGTTGAGAAAAGGCAGAGAAACAAACCTTCCCAGAACCATCTCAAGTGTGTTGACGAAGTAATTGACGATATCGGGTTTCGAAGCGAGCCCCTGCGGTGGCCTCTCTACCAGCACCATCCAATTGCGGTTGCTATTGCTAGAGGAAGACGAAGTAGAAGCGAGCGTAGCAGATGCAGTGGCGGAACAGGAAACTGAAGGGCAGAGAGTAGAGGACGAAGAAGAAGAAAAGAGGTTAAGACGGCGAGTGTTCCTCTGTTTTTGGTTGGGGATTGTGATGGAAGGGAAGGCTGCAATTGCCACCGCCGGCTTTTCAGAAGCGACGGCGGAGGGAAAGGGAGGACGGAGGGCTTCCATTGCAGTGTATTGCCGTAGTGCCTTTTCTTCGTCTTCTTCCAAATTTCAAATGATCATCAGTTATAGGAGTGGGTGAGAGCGTAAAGCTGCTGCCTTTTCTTCGCCGCCTTCTTCTTCGCTCACTACTCTGAGCTCTACTCAGCTGTTAAACCAACCAGCGGTTGGGGCTGTGGTAACCGGTTTCACAAGTAGCAGGTCTTTTCTTCCTTTTATGGGCAATTCCATTATTTGTAAGTTTGTACGGCCTGGATTTGATTGTTTCTTTCCTTATCCAACCATCCATCCCTCCATCCAATGCAATTCTTTTCTACTTCCTTCCAGTTCCACCTGCCAACGAGGACGGAAGGATAATCAGTCTCATCACTGCGCCTTTCCCCGACTGAGCTGTAGCAGTTCAAGGCAGCGGCAAGTCGGCAACCACCCAGTACCCCTCGACAGCGAATTCCGCCATCGCCCTGCAAGCTTTACTCTTAATTTCCTTCGTCTGGTGAGTAACCCGCTTATTCGGTTAGATATATGCTTTACGGATTCTGCATGGCCATTTTGGGGGCGATAGAGCTCTTGGGTTCGTAGGAGAATTGGTTATGCCGGAAAGTTTGGCTGATGGGTCTGTTTCTTCCTTGTTAGCAAGTGGGTTGCTTGAGAGAAAAAAAAATTCCGGCCTTGTGCTCATTGTGATTCTTCTCTCTTGCACCCGCACACAATTGACAAGGTTACTTGATTGTGGGGCTCATCTTTCTCACTTTACAAGGTTCTCTGAAGAGCTCTTATCCTTGAATACTGTCAATCGACATCGTCATAGGAGTCTCCAACAGTATTCTAATTATCATGAACTGCTAGCAGTACTAGTTCTGATCTTTCTGTATGATGTTTTGGCTTCTAAAGGTAAGAAGAGCTCATGATCTTTGCTCTTTTATGCTAATAGGCCTTGCTGCCACTGCCGACCTTGCCAATACAGTCATGGAAATGGCCTCTCTATCAGTTTACAGAAGACTCCCGCTTAACATCCCCATTTCATGTATCAAGGGCCTCCATCCCCTGAAGAACAGGAACCATGCTAATCTCTTCTCGTACTCTCTTGTTTCTCTCTCGATTTCTTGCGTTTCGTCGTCGTCATCAATAAAGACACAAACTTTAGTAGCCTCTAGTTCACCTGTCCCTAGAACTAGCAACTGCTTCGTAAGAACTTCCCAATGGGTCAACCACACTCCAAGAATCACTGAAGAGATAGTTATATCAAGGTGATTATCTGTCCTATAGGTAATTTGTGTATATATTTTTTTCATGCTGCTGAATGATGGGGTTTTGATTTTAGTATGTGGGGTTTATCAAACAGTGAAGAGGATGCTCCAGGGCCGGTACCTCATGCTCCTCCTTCTTATAGCCATTACCCATTTTTCTGTGGTGAGGCATCCAACCACTTTGGTAGTAGGGGTTTCTTTGGCATCTGTATTTATTCGTGTTAAGGATTATGTTGCAGAATCTCTAAGGAACCTTGAGGACAGTGTAAGCATGAGAAAGCTAATAGCTTTAGCATCTGCTTTCTCATTTCAATTGTCCGTACCTTCACAACCTGCAAATGCTAGTGAAGGCATCACCACACCAGCTGCACTTTATGAGGTAGGAGCGTTATTCGAGCTGGGAATCCAGCTCTCGTATCTCCTATTGCTGCTGGCACTTCTTGGAGTTGGGACCTTCTTTGTGATCCGCCAGGTTCTTGTGCGTAGAGAACTTGATCTTTCTGCTAAGGAACTGCAGGTAGGCACTTCTTTTCTCTCTCTCTCGCCCTTGAATTCCATTATGTATGTTGTTGTGACATTTTGATGTGCATTATTTGTTTGGTAATTGAAGGAACAAGTAAGGAGCGGTGATGCAGACGCCACAGAGCTATTCGAACTTGGAGCCGTGATGCTGAGGAGGAAGTTCTATCCTGCTGCAACCAAATATCTGCTGCAGGCGATTGACAAATGGGATGGCGACGATCAGGACCTTGCGCAGGTGTACAACGCCCTTGGGGTGAGTTACATCAGGGACGGGAAGACGGATAAAGGCATAGCTCAGCTGGAGAAGGCGGTGAAGATCCAACCAGGGTATGTCACTGCATGGAACAACCTGGGAGACGCGTACGAGAAGAAGAATGACCTGAAAGCTGCTCTCAAAGCGTTCGAGGAAGTGCTCCTCTTCGACCCCAATAACAAGATTGGCCGGCCCAGAAGAGATTCGCTCAAGGAACGCGTCGAAATGTACAAAGGGGTGCCTGTGAAATACCTCAAGGATAAATCATAGTTGATTCCCTTCAGACTTCTCTGCTGCGGTTTTTGTCATTGGGAAATAGTTCAATGGAAGGTTTAACTTACAGGCAAAAGTTGCAAGTGATGTTTGTTTGTAGGCACGGTTGGAGAGGGGAGAGACTGGACAGGGGAATTTGTGAACTGAATGGAGAATTACATAGCAAACTTTCTTCAGAGCTTTTTATGAGTTCTGAAAGGGTAAAAGCCCATTGCATTCAGAGCTTCCAAATCATCTGAGGTATATTGTTCAACATTTGTAACAATCTATGTATTAATGAATGTCTATATATATACACAGATGAATCTCAATTCCAAACCCTTCAACAGCAACAACAAAAAGACTGTAAACAAGAACTCATCATTCAAAGGACAAACAAGAAAAAGACATTTCCTCCTCCTACAAACTAATCCCCATTCATCACACTTGTTCATTTCAGCATAAAGGTCCAAATCACTCCCAAAAAAAAAAAATCAAGTTAGGGAAATCATTCACAAGGTTGAAGCTGCAGGTGGTGGTGGTGTTGGCCATGAGCTTGGGCAGCCATGGCCAGCTCAAACTGCTTGAGGGAGATGGAAGGGAAGGAGATGATCTCTGGAGGAGGTTTGAGGTTATGATCCCAACCGTCCTTCATGGAACTGTTGTCCATGGTCGTGTTGCCATCCAGCCCTATGTGCGTCACGTGCTTTACGTCGGTAGGGAAACCAATCTCCATCTCTATTTCCTCATCTTCTTCTTCTTCTTCTTCGTCTCTGTACACTGCTCGAAAACAAATTTCAACAGCAAAATATGAAATATGTGAGACCCCGCTTATTTGATCAGGTGAAGTCAAACACACTAATTTAGTGACGGGCTGGAGAGTCTACTCTAGCCGATTTTAACTTGGGCTGGGCCTGAGCCCGGTTAGTGTGCAAAGTGTTCATCAGGCCCGCTCGACCCAGACGGATCAGCTGACCCACCTACCCACACCTAACTTCCCCCAACTGCCCCCACTTTAACAGGTGGCAGGTTAACCTTCACCACTAATGACCATGACAATTTTATTAATTAATTCTGACACTAACCGACATTTTATTTTAATGGGAATGAACAATTTTAAAAAAATTATTATTTTAATGGTTGAAAGAGATCGCGAATGAGAAATTACCACTAGATCAAGCTCTCATTCGTGAAATTGACGATATAATTCGAAATTGCGAGAAAATTTATAATTAGTATCACTATGACGGAATTTTATTCTTAATATGTGGAGAAGCACAACTAAATTTATTAATTAAGAAGAGGGGAATTAGTGAAAATCAGATTACCGAATAATTGAGTTATGGAAGCTTTGATGGTTGTCACGAACTTGTTGACGCCTCCGCTGCCGCCGGCGGCGGCAGTGATAGATTTGTTAGTTGTTGGTGGCACGGTCGGCTTTTTCCTCTTCTTCTTTTTCTCGATAGCTCCACCACACCACGCCGCCGACGACCATGGCCGGCTACTTTCTCTCCCTTCTTCTTCTTCGTCATCATTTCCTCCTCTTTCCCCTAACCAGCAATCAATTAATGTAATTAAACAATAATAATAATAATATAAAAATCCATTAGCCAGCTATAGAACTTGATCCGATATCGGATAAAAAATCCCGGTTAAACATACTCGGGTTTCCGGCCGACGACTTCGAGGGAATTCGCTTCTTCTTCTTGGTCTTCTTAAAGCGGTGGCGCTCAAGATGGTCGGGAGGAGGTTGGTCGGCGGCCGGGGGAGAATCGCCGGCGAGCTGGACGCTGGAGTGAGAGTTGCAGCCGATGGAGAATGGAAGGAGGACAAATCTTGATGATTTGCTCATCTTAAAGGAAGATGATGATACTGTTGATTATTGAACGGCGGCGGCGATGGTGGTTTTCTTCATCTACAGCGGCGGCGACGGGAAGGGGAAGAGGAATGAATGATTCTTTCTTATGAGCTGCTTCTTCGCTGGTGTGAAAATGAGGGGGCTTTGGTGTTTAGTGTAAGGAGTTGTTATATATAGACATAAAAAAAAATAAAAGGGTTAATTATTGTTGTGCCCAATTAATTATTCACTAGATCCCCAAGAAACCAAAATTCTTTGAATTATTATTAATAATGACTGCAATAATATTAATCAGGATCATGTATGCGTGCGTGGAATGGTTAATGCTTAATACTCAATGTATATATATAAAATAAATAAAAGATGTCCAAATGTGTGTGTACACTTTTATTTTTGTCACAAGAAAAATGTGTAAACGTAGAGAGGTTCAAAAGCCTCTATCCCTTCCCTTTCTTTAAGTAAAAGGTTGTAATTTGGGTTATAAACAATTCGTAATAGATGTATACAGGTTAGTCAAAATCTGCACTATAAAAATATCTTAATGTGAATTTACGGATATAAGACGTGTTTAGTTAATAATAAGCTTTTTTTATTAACTCAACTTACCTTTTCAAGTGATGTGTGATTAAAATAGACTATGTTTGTCAGACTGGAAGAGTCGAGACAAGAGTCTTTACTTCCCATTACGAGCTTTGTTACTATACAAGTATATACACTATCTTTGTTATGTGTTCGTGGCAGATTCTCTAGGAGTAATTTATACCAACCATGCACCGTAAAAAAGTAGTACTCCAAAATTCACACGTTTAACAAATTATTATTAATGAATGAACTTACAGGAAATCATTATGAACTGGGACAAATCATGATGAATCACATAACCATTTGAAATCCATTGTGAGTAGGAAAATCATAATGCTTGTGAGCGATATTAGTTAAAAATATTTTTCTGACATGAATCGATTCAGGAAGTCCGTTCATCTCTCTCGATCTAAACCAGGAAAATATTGAAGGATTATGTTTTATGTCTTTGTGTTACCCATAGAACACGAAATAAATTAATTGATTTTTTTTTTGTGGGAGAAATAAATTAATTGATTATTTTAATTAAAGAAAGTCTGATTTGTTTTCCTAATGTAATAGTTAGCTGAAATTCGTACTTATATACTCAATCCAAGATAAAAATAGAAAATTTTATGGATGAGGATTAGAGACGGCATAGAGTGTTGGTGTGGAGTGGGTTGAGTTAGTTGAAATCAAACTGCTCATCATCACCATAACCTAATTGATTTGTCCTTCTCTCTTCCTTCCTGATCCACCCGTCAACCCTTCCATCATCCAATCATAACATTATATAAATGGATTTTAGACCTCATTTCACGATATTTTTATTGTCAGTTATTATTAAGAACCGTTTGAAATTCTGAACAGACATCAAATTAATAAAACATTGAAGAATTGACCCTCCAAACGTATCCGAACTCAAACACCTCTGTATCTAACGAACCACGAGTTCTGAATCTTCATCAACGTACGCCATATACAACTATATTCATCAATCGCAATCGCTAAGAATTAAGATTATATCAAGAGGACAACAACTAATTACAATTGCCAACTTATCGTGAGTACTCATGAATTGTTAATTAATTAATAAGTTAATTAGGGTTGCTGGCGGGGGTTTACTCATTAGTGAGAATCCGTAGAAAGTAAGGCATGCCTGCCTGCCTGCCCATGTGTGAAACTTCCATTTTAATTCACTAGTAATCACACGGGACTTTCGATGGAGACTTTGTTTGGCCAAATGGGTCGAAAGGGAGTTGATTTTGGAGGCAATGGAGTGGTGCACAAGGAAGCATTATTGCCTTATTTGAAATTATTCCACATTCCTTACAAAGTGTACTAATTAATGAAATAATGATGATGGTGAGAAGCTCCCTATATTTGTTATCCCATGGGATAAGTGGTCTTAATACTCTAAGCATCTTTTTGAGGGAAATACTCTTAGGCACACTTATCAGTTGTTCTTACCGGCTATGGCTTATATTCTGATAAGAAGGTTACTAATCCTTCATATCGATTGATTCTTCGACACTTAAGTCGGTAAGTTATAAGGCACGACTATCTTTGGCTTGGGCTTGACTAGTCAATGATTGTGTACCTTTGATCATTTGCTTGGACCATTATAGTCATTCATCTGTTTGTATGTGCTCGAGACAATAAATGGTTAGATTCTTGCATATTTCCTTAGCTTTCTTTTATAGCTTAGTTAGTGAATGTGTTATTGCATCCATGTATTCACTATCGTTTGTTAGTTCTTGCACAACATGTCGTGTATACTTGAGACCACCCCAATAGCTCCATATTCGTCATATTTTGCTCGTTATATTTTGCTAGGAATGCCAGGAGTAACAACTGTATTCAACCTTTACGTCTCTCATAGATGCTTAACTTGATTTGGCTGAGGTTCTTCAACGTCAATTGTTGTAGAATTCCTGACTGCCTTGTATCTCTTATACATTATATTTCATCTTTATATATGTTTAATTAGTAAGGTGTTTTGATCGTTCATACTTGTGGGGTACGATTTTTTTAACTCGTACAGGTTTTCAAACTCAAAAGCCTTAATCATCAATATAATCAAGTAGTTTGCATGAGTAAGTCCTCTTTGAAGGCATGTATTATCTTAAGAGATTTGGTAGTGTCCAATTATATATGAATGAGTATTTGTTAGACCTTATGATCCTCCTTTGTAGAAAAGTTAATAGTCCCCTTGAGTCGCGATTAGTTAACAGTTTATTACTCTTTAACGAAACATGTTGTGTATACTTGTTTCAACTTTTCTATAATTTTATCGAATATTCATCAAACTCAAACACGTCGTTTTTTGACGAATTTCTCTAATGACAGGAGCACACCTATGGAGAGAAGGTAGGAGGAGCAAAACAAAAAGAGAGGACCAAGTATAGTAACATAACTGAAAAATATTCCTCTAATGAAAACTAATTTGATCAACATAGTGAAAAGAACGGAGAGAAAAGAAATTAAATAATTATAGCAAGACAAAAAGAAAGAAAAAAAATTACAGTCATCAATTCATCAACGTCCTTACGGAAGTGGAGTCCTTATGACTTGCAAGATCTGCACAACCTCCGCCATCGACGGCCGGCTAGAAGGCACGTGCGACGTACAAACCAGCGCCAGCTTCAGCACCGGCAGAACCTCCTCCTCCGGCCAGCTCCCTCCCATCGCCGGATCCACGCACTCCAGCACGTTATTCCCTTCCTCCAGCAATCCCCTCACGTGATCGCTCAGTATCACCACGCTGTCTTCTCCGTACTCCACCGGCCGCCGTCCCGTCACCACCTCCAGCGCCACGACGCCGTACCCGTACACGTCACACTTCTCGCTCACCCTCAGGCTCCGGCACGCCACCTCGGGGGCCGCGTACCCGACGACGACGTGGCTCTCCTCCTGCTGAGTCAGCAGCCTCGTCAGCCCGTAGTCCGACACCTTCGGGTTCATATCCGCGTCTAGTAAAACGTTGCTGGGCTTGACGTTGTAGTGGATGATCGGAGGGCGGAACCCGTGGTGTAAATGGGCCAGCCCATGGGCCGTTCCTGATAGGATCTTAAACCTCTCGGCCCAAGTCAGCGCCGGGGTGGACGGCGACCGTTCGTGGAGCTTCCCCTGCAAGCTGCCGTTGGGGGCGTACTCTGCTATCAGAAGTTGCAATCGCGGCGTCCAGTAGAATCCTTTTAGGGAAAGTAGATTCTGGTGCTTCACCTTCCCGAGAAGTCTAACTTCTCTGTCGAAATCGTCGGCGAACTGGACGATTTTCGACCCGTCGAGCTTCTTGACCGCGACGGTTCGTCCGGTTGAACCGAGGGGGAGTTTGTAGACCGTTCCCAGCTCGCCTTCCCCGATCTCCGCCGCTTTGCTGAGTAGCGACTCCGGGTTGTTGGTCTCGTCGTCGGTCAGATGTCGGCGAATCAACGACGACGACGATTTGGAATCGAACAGGATGAGCCTGCTGCCGGCGAGGTTGCCGGACGATTTGGAGACGGAGCTGGAGCACATGCTCTCCAGCGCGTGCTCCACAAACGCAAGCCGCTTCCTGGCCGAGGCGTTGAGCAAGGTGACCACGACGACTCCGACGATGATGAACGCGGCGGCGGAGATGGCTATGATGGCGGAGGCGGTGAGGAACATGCGGTGACCGCTGGAGGAAGAAGAAGAAGACGCAGGTGATTCCGGGTTCCTGTTTCGGTTCCTGGTCTGGTCTCCGGCGTTGGCGAAAGGGTCGAGGACGAGCGGCTTGGGGACGTCCAACTTGCAGGGTCCCTTCAGCAATGGGGAGCAGATCCCTAAGTTGCCCTGCAGCGCGCTGGCGTCTAAGCTGGGGAAAATTCCGGATTCAGGGAGCCGGCCGACGAGCTGGTTGTGAGATACGTTGACGGCGAGGAGATTCTCCAGTGTTCCTAGCTCCATTGGAAGTTCTCCGGTTAGCGAATTGAACTCCAATTTCAAGAATTCGAGCTTGCTTAGCTTGGAGATGGAGTTTGGGACTGGACCAGTCAGGTTATTGTGGGACAAGCTCCTGTTAATTGCCCGAAAAATGGTTAATTGATAGCATTAGGGCGAAATCAGTAGGGGGGAAGAGTGAATTGGACTTACAGCAAGTAGAGAGAAGAGCAGTTTCCGATTTCTTCAGGAATGGGACCGAAGAGGGAATTTCCGTCTAGTTGCAAAATGGCGAGCTTCCCTGATTCGCATAAATCTGCAGGGATGGAGCCATGAATGGTGCTGTACCTCAAATCCAGAACCTCAAGGTTCTGCAAGTAGCCAAGCTCAGGAGGGAGAGTTGAATGGAGGTCGTTCCAGGACAAGTTCAAGTGTTTCAAGCCGGAGGAGATTAGTCCATTCCCCGCCGGGATGTGTCCGGTGAGTTGGTTGCCGGATAGATCCAGAATCTGAATGGAGCTGAAGAATGCAGGGGAAGCCGGAGGCAGGGCTCCCACTAGTTGGTTGCCGGAGAAGTCCACTTCCACCAGACTGCCGAGATTGGTGAACATTTGATCGGGTATGGTGCCATTGAAGTTGTTACCTCGCAGCCTAATCACGGAGAGCCCGCTGCAGGAGACGATTGAGCTCGGAATGCCGCCGGCGAGGCCATTGTGGGAAAGGTCGAGAAACTCGAGCTTCGTCAGCTCGCCGATTCTGTCAGGGAGACTGCCGGTGAGCAGGTTGTTTGAGAAGCTGAGATGGGAGAGAGATCCGAGTCTCAGGAGATACTCCGGAATCGGACCGATGAACGCGTTATCGCTAAAATCAAGCCGATTCAAGTGCGGGCAGAGCCCCAAATCCCAAGGAATCGTCCCGGCGAAACCATTCCCCTGCAATCGAATCTCCTTCAAGTTACGCAGCCTGTACACGCCTTCCGGGACCGACCCGGAGAAGGAATTGCCGGAAAGATCCAGAGTCCGAAGCCGGGAAAGAGACCAAATCCCGGAGGAGAAATCCGGCGATCCGGAGAATCGGTTCCCTGACAAAACCACCGTGTTGAGAGCAGAGCACCCGTACAATGTCGACGGAATGGAACCCTCGAGCGAGTTCCCGGACAGGGAGATCCAACGGAGAGACGAGCAGTTCCTGAACAAGTCCTCAGGAAGAGGGCCGGAGAGCAAATTGTGCGAAAGGTCCAAGAACTTCAACGAGTCCAGGTCGAGAAACGAGGCCGGAACGGCGCCAGAGAGCGAGTTGCGGGAAAGATTAAGAGACTGGAGAGAAGGGAATCCGAGCGAAGGAGGGATGGAACCGGAGATGTTGTTGTTGGAGAGCGAGAGCGATTTCAGGTGAGTCAGCTTCTGGAGGCCGCGGCCGAGCTTGCCGGAGAGTGACAGGGAGTCGAGGGAGATGGAGGAGACGCGGCGGGTGGCTGGGTTGCAGGCGATGTACCGCCAGGAGCAAGGCGAGTCGTCGTCCTGGTTCCATGACGAGAGGTGGGAGGACGGGTCGATGAGGTCGGATTTGAAGGCGATTAGGCCGAACACTTCGTCGAGGAGCGGGATTGCAGCCTCGTCAATGGCGGTCGAGGTGGGGGTGAAGAGGGTTAGCAGGGCTAGAACGGGGAAGAGGAGTGGATGGTGGTGTGAAGCCATTGATGGAAATGGTGCGGAAGGAGTTTCAGTGGCTGGAGTTGGGTTTGGGAAGGAGGGAGGAGGAAGCCATTAGTGAGCTCACGAGGAGGGGAGATAGAAACTTAGAAAGGACGGGGTAAGGTGTTTTTTTGGCTGGAAATGGAAGTGGGTGGTCCAGTTTCCAGTGCTCGTGAAGGCAAAGCCAAAAAAAGCCAGAGGACAGTGTGGGTAGTGGGCTTTGGACAGAAAACAGGGGAATATGTTGTTTCCTGAGGAAGAGGCTATTAATTAAGTCATCATGTTACAACGAGAATGAAGGTATGGCTCTGTTTTTGCCCTGTTTTCTTTCCTTTTGCATTATTTCTTGGTGTGTGATAAGGTTGTGTACTATTGGCATCTCCAACTCCAACTCATGATAATTGGTGAAGAACAATAGAGAATCAAGACCTATAGCGACAGAATGGTAAAACAGTTTGAATTTCGAGTTGAAAATCTCAAATGCTGAATACACGAGAGCTGATATTTTATCTCTTCTCGTGCAAATGCCCAATGTTGATTAGATATGTTGGATCTAGATGATCCATTTGACATTCCGTATAGGGATTGTTTCATAGCTAAGACAAGTTACAACCTACCGCATAAAATTATCCATAATATATGCCCTAGATCAGGGCATCGATGCTCTATCAACAATACGTCGGTATATCGAGGCGATGATGATGTATTTACTCGACCTGTAACTTTGTAAATGTTTTTTCGTGCATTGTAAAATCCATCTGAAGGTTTTGATGCTCACAAAATTCGTGTTCCAAGCTTATTCGAGATAATTTATTGACCAGTCAGCTAGTGAAGTTTGTCAAAAATCAATTGATTCCAATAACTCGGGTTGTTGATAGAGGTTTGATAATGCCTCTTATACCACATACCAACACGTCCCTTTAAACGAAAATCGCTTGTAAGGGCTTGAAGTTAGCACCAATTTGAATACCATGGCTTATCAAATGGAGATCGTGAGAATTCGAACACAAGACCTCTCGATCATAAAAAGCACTAATACCATATCAAGAACCAGTTGATCCCACATACTAACAAAGCCGAAATTTAGAATGAGGGGGCTAGAAATAAGAAATCACAGTAACCTATCAGAATTGAATTTCGATTTTCGGGGGAGGAAGGTTTTAGGCTATCAACCAGTCATTTACCAATGTCTATTTACGATAAGGTCTACACTTCTTAACGTATAATCATATATTGATGAGAAGTTACAGCTATCTTGAATTATATGTGATATAAGATTCATTATTACACCTCTCCAAAATTTTGGAATCAATTGGTTATTTATGTGGTATCAGAGTATTCTGTGATCAAGAGGTCTTGTGTACGATTCACTACGATCCCCATTTATTAAGCTATGCGATATAAGATTCATGATTGAACATCTCTCGACAACTCGAATTAGGGAACGGGTAACTTTTTTAGGATCATTTGGAATAGATAGATGAAAAGGAAAAAGGATTGCATGCAACATAGACGACTCAAGTTCACGGAAAGAAGTACAAGTTGATGCTGCGAAAGTGGGAAAACAGGGCCACGGCCTTTTCCATGAGAATCGTTTGCATTATTGTTTGGACTCCGGTGTCGTTTCCTTCGTCTCTCTCGTCACTTCGCTTTCCCGCTCCACTTTTCAAACCTAATTACGTCTCATTCTTCCTGTGGTGTTATTGGCTTGATTGTGCTTGGACTTAAATATATATTATTAAAAGACTGATTAGACGTACACTTTTACAGTCATTTTGTTGATAATTTAGTTAGATTTTTCCAATAAAAAAATACAATGGATTTGAAGAAGAAAACACAACCTTTGTTGCGATATAAATCACAATATAAGAAACTTAGACTTTTTGCTTAATTTTTGTTGTCTGGCCTGCGTGTGTTACTGTGTTAGTACTACTATATTCTTAATATAACTTCAATGAGAGCAACTAGGATGAGGTTTGAATGCTAAATTGTCTACTAATCCATTGATTGAATAAAATTGAAATTAGGGGACGAGGATTTGATCTAATGGTACTATCGTTATAGATCATCCATTTTAATTTTACAGTGAACAATTTTAGTTGAACTAGATTTGGCCTATATGCTCATAACAAATAATAAAACCAAAAAGCACCTTTGTTAATGGTTGTGGTAATAAAAACAATACTATAATTTGTACCACAGTGTTTGGGAAGAGGTGTAAATGGGAGGGGAAATAATACAGTTTCCAATACATTGACACCCGTTTGGTTAATTTATAACCATAGTGGGGTGTAAAACGGAAGTGAAAAATTACTGTTTCGACTTACCTCACAAATTGGGTGCAAGGGGATGAAAGAAGAAAGGTAGAGAGGGAAAGAGGACACCCCTATAAAAAATTACGGAATCCGCCACCGCCATTAACTATACATAGCTCGACCACTAATCAATATAAGAAGGGAAAGAAAGTCTAATAAAGAGAACGGGGTGGTGTGTTGCAAAGATTTTGCAATCCGCAAACAACAACATGTGCATGTGATGGTGGGAAGTGAGAATCGAGAAAGAGATGTCCATGTATAAATCGATCGACAGACAATTACGATTCATAATCTATATATCATGACATTATTCATTCATATACGAAACATTAACATATGGGTAATATTTGTTTCTTTCCTCCACAAAATCCCAAACCATATTCACGGGAATGCCTATCCCTTACCAAAACTTCATTTTTCTATCTTTCTGTGGTTGATGGATGATATGCTGATATACTCTTGTCATTTTTCCCAGCAAACAAACAGGCCGCAAGATTACAAAAGAAAAACAAAACATCCCACACCATGCTTCCATATGATGCCTCTCCCTACTTTCCTGGCACTAATAAATCGAATCTTAATGAATTTTTTTTTTTTTTTGCCCCAATTCCCGATCCATCAATGTGATTGGGCCGGGCTGAGCCACTTACTCCTTTTTCTTATGGGCTCAAATGACCTCTCAGTCTTCCGTGATCAGGCCCACCCACCGTGCCCGTCTTTATCTCCCTTTTGGCGGGAAAGAAATAGTTAAATACAGATTAGGCAATGGGGCGCAAAAATGAAAAATCCCTCAGAAATTAGGGCGAAGGTTCTCGCCGTTAACCTTCCCACCTGAACCTGATACTCACCGAGCGCTGCCGTCATCGAGGAGATGCTAACTGGGGCGAGAGAGCTTGATCCGATTGGTCGGCGACGGCGGCGCTTCCTCCCCAATCGCCACTCCCTTCTTTCCGCCGCCCCTATGCAGGTTTCTTGATTTTTGCTTGTCGACCTCGTTTACATTGTGGTTTCTTCAGGGACTCTTGAAAACAAACTTGTGCACTGACGACAGTCTTTTGGTTTGCAGAAGTCGAATTCAGCTGAGGGGAAGGATATGCGATGCCGTCTCAACCAACCTTTAGTTGCGGGCAGCAGTAATGATAGTCAAGCTGCTGAAGAAATTTGCGACAATGATGAGAGTGTCCGCCAAGTTGGTACTTCTTCTGTGGCCGACAAGGTCCAGAGTTGTGATGAAGCCTTGTCATCCCAGATGACCCTCAAGACCCAGAGAATGGCTAAGGATCCCAACGCAATAAAGGTTGCTTTCAAGCTTTGTTTTTTCTGTTTTCACTTTCACTTCCTGCAGATTGGTTTATAATCCTGGTTGGTGTTTCTTGTCAGATTCTTTTAGGAGATTCTGCATCTTGCAGGGTGCTTGGTTTTCTACCACGAGAGCTGGGCCCTCTAATTGTCTCCTCTGATTGAGAAGCATGATCTCATTTTTGAGGTATACGTTGGTTTAGGTATGTTTTGAATAGTTCAGTTTGAAGCTGGGGAAGCAAGCACTTAAAGTTGAGGCAGTTATGATGCTAACTCTGATTCTATGAGACAGAAGATACAGTAACTTACAAAATGTCTTGTGCTGAGGATGATGATTAGTGCAGTTAGATTGAATTTATTTTAAGTTCATTTCTTTTCTTTAACTTAACATCTGCATTTTGAGGTATTTACGTATGAATCGTCCGAGGAGAGGAATTGGACATGTCTAAATAGTTATTTGTTAGCAGATTTTGCCAGTTGAGTGGACTTAATATGAGTAATGTTTCATGGTTCTTGCAGGGACTCATAACTTCTATTCCAGGTGTTCCCAATTCGAATCATGAGTAAGGATGCCCTAACAAGTAGTTCTACAGACGAAAATGTAGTAAAGGATCTCACAACTTCTTGGAAGAATGTTCTTCATGTGGTTGAATCTATGAAGAGTAATTCACCCAGTGCGTTAAAGTATCAGCAGAACTTCAGTGCGTTTGTCAAAGAAGTTCTACGAACTAATGCTCACCTCTTTACTGATGATAGAGAAATTTCTTGGGTACTAATTCCATTACCCTGATTTTCTGCTTGACTCTTACCTTCCTTTCTTGACAGATTGTGACACTGTCTGGTGTCAACTGTTGACAGAGTTGTTTCTCTCTCTCTCTGATGACAGTCATAAGAAGCTTTTCTTCAGCTGAATTTTCATTTTTCTCATGAATCACCTTTCCCGTGCAGTTGATCCACATGCATCTAGGATAGATATTGAACCATACTTCTGCAAATAAAATTGTTTTTTAACTGAAGCTCACCATCAAGCATGAAACCAAGAAAACATACTGCCAATTGGAACTGCTGCCCTAACTTCTTGTGAGTTGTGATTATGCATAAACATCGACAACAGCCATCAACACTTATATTACATATATTTGTAGATGATGTGCCTTGGAAGTCCACTCAAATTTTGTTTTCTGACTGAGAAAATAATTTGGAGGTCACTCCTATACAACTTGGTGTTGAAATTTGAATGCATGCCATCAAGCATGAAAGTGGGAACTAAGGAGCTCTACAGAATCTGAATTTGCATCTACAAATTGCTTCATGAAATTTTCAGGCTCATTTGGTGTTCTAATTAACTAATGAATTTTCTACTTGTTTATCATTGCAGCAAAGGGTTACATGTTTTGCATTGAGCATGCAAATGAACTTGAACACAGCAACATGGAGGAGATTCTGAGTTTGCTAACCGTATCTGAGCTACGAGGAATCAGTGGCATGTTTTAAAAGGTATGTGAACCACATTTCTTTGTTGTTGTTAAATGCATATTGTTTAGAATAGAGAAAGTAGATCCGAAGAATGAAAAATGAGAACATCAGCTGGTAGCAAGTGGAGAGCCATGTATAGAATAAACAAATAAAACAAGAGAAGAGAAGATCACTGTTCGTATTTTGTTTATATGGTGTCTCTTATTGGAACCCAGTTTTGGGGGAGTCTTTCAATGTACAAGTGCTGCTTCACTTATGGCTCTAGATGGCTGGCACTTTCCAATCTGAAACTACTCTAAATATACCCTGTGGGACAGGCTCCTCATAGTACAATTTCAGTTTGGCTGGTAATAGTTAAATTGCTGTTAAGTGAAAATAGTTGAGAAATATGGAGCATTTCGGGTGGATTCTTTCTAGCTTTGATTGTGTCCCTAGTTTTGCTCCGAAAACAACCTTGGCTTCTGATGACTACACAGCATGAGATCTCCTGTGTGGACAGATACGGGTCAAACAATTCAAAATCTTGTGTCTATTCATTGTTTTATGTATATGGCTGCTAACTGAAGAGGGTTTCTTAGCTCCAAACTGGTGTCTGCTTTTCCATACATTATCTTGATTTAGTGGCTTCTGGATACAGTTGCTAACTGGAGAGGGCTTCTTAGCTACCAACTGCAGAAAATTCACAATGGCATGGCCGAGGAGATCCTCATAACCTTGTGGGAGTTGAATGCAAGGAACAGCCTGTAGAGGAGTAAGCTGGGAGCGTCATTCCCCTGTGCGAACTTCAGGCTGTAATCACCTGCACAGAAGGCCCTTGTTTGGCTTCCCCTCCTCCGCCATCTCGCTCAAGATCATCGAAGCTGGTCTAGTGGGATGCCAGGCCTACTACTTCTCGAGACAGTCTTTCTGAACAGCAGCGAGTATGGCCGCTCCTGCTAATCAAGTCCATTCGTTATCTTGTCATGTGAAAACATGCATTATTTCCGGATAGAAGAAGTTAATAATGAAATGTGACTGTTTATGGAGCAAGGAAGAAGAGCTGTTGTTGGTAGCTGGTTCATTGCTTTCCTTTCTAGGAAAGGAATGTGGTGTTGCGGTGTGCTGTCGCTTGAATAATTCAATTGGGTTTGCAGCTGTGCAACATAAGATAACAGGGGAACAGGCCCAACTGTACCCCTTTACGTTGATTGAGTATGGTTGATTTGTAATATGTACATAAAGCTTAAGTCTAATTCAAGAATATACGTTATCTGTTACGAGTCAACTTTTGATGATATTCAACCTTTTTTTCAATATGGAGATTTCAAGTTCAAATTCCAAGGCTACTTTTATAGCTCGACGAGAGTTTTTAATCTTTGTAAATTGAGATGAGATGAGGTTTGTTACGACTAGTTAGTTGTTTTGCTGGGCCTCACATTTGTGGTCGTTGTTGTTGTTGTGGTCTATGGATAATATAATTGCGTCAAACTTCGCCAGCTTCTTGTTTATTGTTGTACTTATTCCGTTCACTTCCTTGTCGACTGAGGACTTCAGTTTGTCACAAGTTATTGTTATCAATTTATAAATCACTATAAATCTTAGATCTAGGGTACCCATCTATACAGAGAGATATGTGAGAATATGGTGCCTATGGTATAGGAATTTGCATGCTAATGAAGGAGGTGTGAGGAGGTTGGTTCGCCATAGGATATTAATACTGAAAATCAATTGCGAAATCACTAGATCAAGTCATGCCTGTGCTTTCACAACTTCTTTAAATGACTTATAATATGTTCTTTTTTTCTTTTCCTTGTCAACTATTTTTTCGAAAGTATACGTTTTTAATGGGGTCGTTGGAAGTTGAGATTCTTCAAATATGTGTATTTGATGAATACATCTATTGTAAATACAAAGATTGTAAGAATTAGATAATTGGAAGAATGTTGGTTGTACCATTCAAAATTTTAAAAGAAAAGAAAAAATCACTTTATGAGCTAAAAGTGGAACAAATTAAAGCCCGCAATCTCAAATGGAGAACCTCACCTTTATGTTGACATTTAAAATGATTGATTGTGGGTGATATAAGATTTGATGGCCCACCTCAAATGCATGTATTGAATACAGTTTTGGAACAAAAAAAACGATAGATTCTCCAAAATACATGAATTCAAAGAATCATAACTTCTAAATGAACCTAAATTTAAGTAAAATGGTTATTCAAGTGATGATGCATCATTAGCACATAAAACAACAAAATATGTCTTAAATATATGTAAAATGTGAATGGAAAGGGTGGGATAGGATAGGACAGGGTGGGGTAGGGAGAGGCATGATTAATTTGATGGCGATGTGAATGAGGGTATTTGTTTAGGTACAACAACATTTTATATTTCAATCTCAATGGGTTAATACTAACATGGCAACACCACCCCCTAGAGAGTTTTAAAAAATGACTCTATAATAACAAATGACATTGACATACATAAAAATAGACAAAGAAATGATGAATGAATTCGGAGGTGTTTTGATTTGGGTGTTGGAATACGTGGTTCCAACTGATCTATCTTAAGTTGTTTAGGTATATTTTCAAGAGTTCGATTCCAAAGGTTAACGGTCTTTACCTTGCCATGTTGATATAGATTCTATACGTCATATAATAACTAACTAACTGTAGAATCTGCCAATTTTCGTAAGCTTGGTTTTGGAGCTACCAAAATTCGGAATTGAGCAAATTTAATGACATTGGATTCGATAGACTTTCTAGTTTTAGAGCATGCAAGAGCATAATTTTTTCTAAATTCATATCCAACATTAAAATAAAATCATATTATCCTATCAGCAATATTAATGGACCAATAATATGTTGGCACTTCTTTTCTAGTTATATTAGAAGCCTATGGTGAATATAGCCACCAATATACAGCAACAAAGGGCATAGAAGAAGCTATTGTTATGTTGGTCAATTTGGGAAGGGAGAGTTTTGGTTTTGGCATCATGTAATGATGTGCTGTTGGGCTATTGTTTCCTCTATCATGAAAGAAACAGAGCATCTTTCACACATAACAGCAACCAGCTAGCTCTCTGTTCAACAATGCAATTACATGCTCTTTATTATTAGGATGATAAAATGATATGATAGGAGTATGAGTAGGTGGTGGGTGTGGGAAGCAATGTTACCTTAGCCAAAAAGATCATGTTGTCTCCTCCTCTTCCCTTTGTCTATTATGTGGCTCACATGACAAATCACATTCATCTTCTTGTCTTCTTGCATCATATATCCCTAAACACCAAGATAAATATCACACATTCCAATTCATGCAAAAAAACAAAGGCCACTTCCCTAATGGGTAGATTCTCTTTTGGCTTTCATGGTGTATGATAGGAAGGATTACAAGAAGCAAATGGACTAGCTTTTTAAAGATCTTTTCATGGGTAACCAATCTTGTTGATAATAAGAAAGAGTTATTCTCAGGGATTGGAATGCAAAGGAATAATATAAGATACATGCTTCAAATTCCTTTCTATAAATTGAGTTATCGAGAGCAGTTAGTATCTTGACATGATATAATGTGATGATTAAAATACTTTGTGTGTAGAAACCTTACTACCTTCAATATTAGCAATTGATCATTTAAGGGAAGGCTGAAACCCTAAAGAGTGGGAGGAACAAAGGTAGATATGAGGAAACTAGCTCATCACCCTCTACATGTATGAAAGAGAGCTTTCTAAGTTTGCTTGTGATGTTGAAAGAGTATCCACTAAAGAGAAGCTTAAGGAATGAGGAAAGGGTATAGATGACCATTGTTGCTTCTCTAGTTATGGACTAGAAGCAATGGATCATTCTCTTCTTTATGACTGCTTACTTTTAAACCATTGTTGTTGTACCATGCAAGAGTTCTAACCTTATCATGTTGTTTGGTACTTTGCAGGTTCAACTCACTGGGCGATCAACGTTTTCGAATGAAGTTATCCTTGATGCCAAACTGACTAGTTGAATTGGAATTTGGTTGTGAGTTTACACTTGCGAACGAAAATGCGCTAGAATTCAGGGATCAATTGCTAATTAGCCTTGTTAGGAAGTATAGAGATCAATGTTCAAAGATGTACATTAGACAATATTGTGTTTGTGTTAGCCAAGTGTTTGTACTTAATAGGTGTTATGAGGATCAAGTTCCCTGATGTAAACTAATCTATATAATTTGTAATTTTCTCATAAATAAAATTATTTTTTTGGATTACTGTTCATGATTGATATGTCATTCCAGATAAAACTACTTAATGGATTGCAATGTTGTATAAAATTTTCATTTTATAAATCATTTGCATAAACAATTTTGTCATGCTTAACTATAACAAAATTTAGTGATTACTTACTAATAATTTTTATAAATATTTTTGTAAATAGTTAAAAACATTATTAAACCTCCCAAAAACAACAAAACCCAAGGTGCCAAAACTCCTAAAGCATCAAATCACCCCTACCCTTCACAATTCTACCCTTTCCTTCCTCTCTGTAAATTTACCATTAACTAGGCCAGGCAAAGGCTAACAAAATCCCAAGAACCGTCCTCTCTCCATCTCTTCTTCATCCTCTCTCTCTCTCGTTTAATTCATCGCCATCGCCATCAATAATCAATTCTGCCAATCTCTCTCTTCTTCCTCGCTGATTTATTCAACGAACTGTATTGGGCAAGTAAGAATCAGAAGGTAAAACCTTATCGTCCCTTCCTCGCTTTAGATCTTCCTTTAACTTGCTTCCCTCTTTTCTCAGATCGTTTTGCTCCAATTTTACATGACTTGGCAAAGGGCTTCTTCTCCATTCCTTTTCATGTGTTTTTTATTGGGTTGCCGCCATTCCATCTACTAGAATCAAGCTTGTTAGATTCTCAATTCATTCCCTTTTATAGAAGGTTAATTCCAATTGGTTTTCATCTATTATTTCTTCTTCAAGTTGGGTGGATTCCTCAGCCAGAGAGGATGAATTGTTCTTTCCTTGTTTTGGGTTTCTGATTTTTTGTTAGGGTTCTGAATTGTGGGAATGATACCTTTTTGTACTCTAGCCTGCTGGTCTGATATTTTTTGGGGTTATGGATGTTGTGAATTTGATCGCTGGGTTTTTGCAAAGCACTTGGCTTTATGGTTTCGGAATGAAGTGTTGTTGCTTTGATAAACGCAGGAATAAGCCATGTCCCACCAACGACACCAATCGGGTGAGTTCAATTACATGGCAGAAGAGGCTGACATGGCTGATTTCGTTGATGAAATTGATGAAGACAACTATGGGGGTGCGGCAGCCGGAGGTGGAGTTGATGTGGAAATGGAGGCAGATGAATATGACATGGTTTGGTTTCCTTTCTTTGGTTCATCATCCAGTTATGTCGATGTTGTTCCCCAAGTGACAAGCTTTTTGATTCTTTACGTTGGAATTATGTCTGTAGCTTACCAAGGTGACCGACACATCTTCTGCCCAAGCTAGGATGGGCAAAGATATACAAGGTATTCCATGGGAAAGATTGAATATAACCAGAGAGAAGTACAGATTAACACGCCTTGAACAGTATAAGAACTACGAAAACATCCCTTTGTCTGGGGAATTCGTCGATAAGGTTTGTTAGTTCTACCACTTTTGGTTGAAGTAGTTTGGAGTATATAGATAATAAGGTCATCTGATCCCTCATGTCTTTTGCTTGTAGGCATGTAAACCAACAGATAAGGGGGCCAACTTCTACGAGTTCTTCTACAATACTCGATTGGTCAAACCCACAATTCTTCATTTCCAGGTTTGTTATCGCCTTAAGCACACACTGCTTGTTTTGGGATACCTCTTGTCATGAGTTGTTTGGTATGTTTCTCTGAGTATCTTCTCTGCATTGTGGAAAAGAAGCTGGCAAGCAGCTTAGCGGCTCCTTTTCAATTTCTAAACATATCTGAATCTGAAGACGTATGGGCATATGTTGTGCTATGTTCTGTTCCATGTTTTAGCCATTTCAAGCTATGTAGTGCGGATGCCTGGAATTTTAATGATGTGCTTAATTCAAGGATGTTAGCATATTGCTACTTGAATGCAATTTTTTGTACTTAATGTTAGACATTCTGCTAAATATGATGCGTACTCCACAAAGAGGCAAGTAAACTGCAGGCAAGTTTTCCTGTTCATCTTGTAGAGAAAAAGAGAAATGAGGCTACTTTATTTTGTTTTATTTCCCCATTTGGAGAGAGGAATCTATCTCTTAAATTATGGTCTAGATGAATGGGTCTTGTTGTTCCTGCAATTAGATTTGATGAGTATTGATGTCCCTAATTGTATGTGACCGATTCCTCGTTAAATGATTCTGCAGCTAAGGAACTTGGTCTGGGCTACTTCAAAACATGATGTGTATCTGATGTCTAACTACTCTGTCATGCACTGGTCATCATTGTCTTGCAATTTATCCGAGGTCATCAATTTCGCCGGGCATGTAGCCCCTGATGAGGTACTTTTTCTTCTCTATAGTTCTTACAATGGGTAGAAAATCGAGTTTTTTCCCCTTCTTCTTCTAGTAGTTAACAGTGTGTGGCTTTGATCCTGAGTATTACTTCTTGCTGTTGACTGTTTTGCAAAACAGAAACATTCAGGAAGCTTGCTGGAAGGTTTCACACAAACTCAAATAAGCACTTTAGCTGTTAAAGATAATTTCTTAGTTGCAGGGGGCTTCCAGGGAGAGCTTACTTGCAAGGTCAGTTTATTTGTATTTTCTGTCTCTATTTTGCGTTTTCTGTTGCTGTCTTTCCTTCCCGTGAAGCTATAATTGGCAATACATACCAAATTCTACAGCTATATTGTGAGGTACTTTGATGGGTAGCCTACTGGTTTCATGATCTTCAGCTATTAAATGCAAGAGAACGCTTTGTGTACTACCTAGTCTGCCTCTTATATACTTGCTGTTCTAAATCACAATTTCATTGAACTCCTCAATTCTGGCGCCAATTTATTGATGAATTTAGGTGTACTTTTCTCTTCTACCTGCCTTTATCTTGAATCCTGGAAATTGGGAAAGCTTGTTAGGGAAACCTTTCTTAGGGTACTCCTGCACAAGAAGTTATTTATCAAGCAATATATATGTGTTTTCCCAGGATATTCTTCGTGCTGTTTCTTTTTTCAGCGTCTATTAACCTTTTTGCTGGTTTAATCTGGTGCAGCGTTTAGGTAAACAAGGAGTTAGCTTTTGCACCCGTACTACTTATGACGATAATGCCATTACAAACTCCATTGAAATATACGATGGCTTGAGGTAGGCTGATCGCTTCAATGAAATTAAGTGTTTTCACTTTGTTTAGGGCGCATATGAGTTAACCTGAAGTACTTCTTGGTTATTTTACAGTGGTGGAATTCATTTCATGGCAGCCAACAACGATTGTGGTGTGAGGGAATATGATATGGAGAGGTTTCAGCTCTTGAATCATTTCCTGTTCCCTTGGCCGGTGAACGTGAGTCCTTTTGACCAACAAAATGGCCGTGGATTGGTTAATTTGTTTGGTTTGCTTAGTCTCTTTGTAAGCAGCTGACATGATGATTGATGCATGCTTAACATTATGCAGCATACATCAATAAGCCCGGACAAAAGACTGGTTACTGTTGTTGGTGATAACTTGGATGCACTGCTGGTAGATTCCCAAAATGGAAAGGTACGGGGAGTTGCCTCTTTTGAAACATTTCTGGCTGTGTTCAGTTTTAGTTTCTCTGAAGTTATTCGTGTATTGTTCCTTTTTGGAAAGGGGGATTGCTGTTTTAGTGCCAGCTCAACGAAGCCTGCTATCTTAACATTTGGGAATCTGGAGAAACAGACCAAAGTTTTGCTTTGAATCTTGGTTACCTTGATATGAAGAAAAGGAACTGATTTCTGAATAATTGATCGTTTCTTATGCAGACGGTATCCACGATGTCAGGCCATCTAGATTACTCTTTCGCCTCGGCATGGCATCCCAATGGCCTCGTGTTTGCTACAGGAAATCAGGACAAGACATGTCGCGTTTGGGACATACGGAACTTATCGTCCCCTGTGGCAACCCTGAAGGGCAACCTAGGAGCAGTGCGGTCGATTCGATTCTCGTCGGATGGCCAGTTCATGGTGGTGGCCGAGCCTGCTGATTTCGTGCACGTGTATAGCACGCAACAAAACTACCAGAGAAGGCAAGAGGTCGACTTCTTCGGCGAGATATCAGGAGTAGCACTTAGCCCAGACGACGAGTCGTTATACATAGGGATATGGGACCGGACATATGCGAGCTTGCTGCAGTATAACAGACGGCATAGCTACGGGTATCTGGATTCGTGCTTGTGATGATGTTAGAATAAGGGGCCTGTTGTAGTGCGAAGGAAAGGACCTAGGGAAGGGTTCAAGGGACGAGATGTTTTGATTTCTTGTTTGTTTTGTAATCCTTTAGTGGTTGGGGTCCTTGTAATTTAGAGTGGTAATCCTTTGATTGAGTAATGTGGTTAAGGTGAGAAATGAGATGGTGACTGGGAAAGGAGTGAGAATAATTGAACTTTAGGGTCCGTCTGGTTGTTTAGACCTTGTATAGATGATACCATATAACTACATAAAGAAACTGTCATGAGTGGAATGGGTGATGAGTCATATAACTTGGGTTGGAATGAAAGGAATGATTCTGTGTACTTTATATCCATCTGTATCTTCTCTTTTATCTGTTGCATTTCATGCTGCGAAGAGTTTGCTTCTTCGACGTGATACGAGATGGTTGTAATTCTATGCTGAACGTGTTCAAAGGGATTCGTCGAGATTCGAATACCTGAACATTAGGTTCTTCTGGTGCCATAAAAGAAAACCCAGAAAAGGAGAAAAGGGCCTTTGTTTGTCACACTTGCAAGGGAAAACTTGGTCGCGGTATGTTTTGATGAGTTTCAGAACTCTAAATTGAAGAGGATAGAAGCAACTGTAATCTTAGAATTTCTTACAATCAATCGATGTATACAATCTGCTCCGTTTGAAATAAATACGATCTCGAAGTACAATCATTTATATTTCGAACGTCGATGCTAAACAAAAGGGTACAAGAAATCGTAAGATTATCCTTACAATACTGTGAATGAAATACCTGTTTCAAAATTTTGGTTGGTTAGATTGGGAAAGCTTGAAGAAACGCACAAGCTACCAAATACGTGAAGCTTTCATCAAAGTCCTCCAAAATCCAAGACCAGTTGCTTGCAATATCACGTGCCTTCAAAACCAACTCCTTCTCAACTTTCCTCCTAGCCATCATTCATTTCCCACAACTTGCCTTTGCTTCCCTCCCCAGAGTCCTTAAATAAGTTCTGGATTTGAGCTCAATGGACGATTACTTCAACATGGGTAGTTCTCCCCAACAGCCTAAAGAAGAAACTGCAATGAACCATGCTGTACCTGAGAGTTCCACAAGCATCAGCATGCGAATTTCCGAGCATCACCTTCCTGCCTACACCAGCTCCAGCATCTCCCTTGATTCCATACAACTCTCTATACAGAACCTCGTCAAGCACTGGACCACACGGCAGAGATATTGGAACCTGTTTTTCGGAGCTGATCAAGAGCAGCGGCGCTTGTCGAATACGACTACACCATGGAGAAGGAAACTAGCAAGCTTCTTGGAATCGATGCCCCTTCGAGTCACCGTAATCATTCTGCTGATCCTTGACCTCACCTTGACTATTCTCGACCTGTCCTCCTCGATGCTCAAATGTCATAATCGAGGTGACGGAAGATCATTGGCCGCGGACTGGTTCCACTGGGTTGAGATAGGGATCCTGAGCCTGCTCTGTGCGAAGCTAATTGCTCTAGCTGTGGCACTTGGACCCAAAGCTTTCTTTAGCAGGCCGGGGTATGTTGTTGATGGTGTGGTGGTGGTAGGAGCTTTGGTTCTGGAAGGGCTGATGGATATGAAGGAAGGAGGGTTGATGGTGGTGGTGAGCTTGTGGAGAGTGGTGAGGGTGGTGGAGAGCGCCTTCGAGTTGAGCGATGAAGCCATCGAGGCTCAGATTGCAAGGGTAGTGTTGGAGTTTGAAGCACTCAAGGCAGAGAACATCAGATTGTTGGAGACGATAGGTGAGAGAGATGGGACCATAAGGATGCTGCAAGAAATGGTGGAGATGTTAAAAGCAGAACTAGATGATGAGCAATGATCAGTGTATGGTGGCTCTGGGGTAATGAAACTTGAAAGTACTTCATTTTTTTAGCTTACTAGAATGTTTCAGGATACGAGGGTCAGTTACATAAATGGTCAGTGAACTTTTGGGTAATGAATGCTAAATCACATAGACAATAATAAAATGTCACATATGGCCTAATTAGCTACATCAACATGAACTTTTAACCCATACCTAATCGACACAAAACCAGTTGCTCGATTCAATTCACTCACATTATCCTGACCTCCTTAATCCCTTCGTCCTTTTACCACAAAGAACATGACGAAGACGGATAAAGTGGCCGTTGTGTTAGTTATAGATCAAATTTCATAGGGTGTACTGTATTGTTGATTACCCTATACGTTAGGTGAACATTTATTTACTTGACCCTAAGAAATGTAGAGATTTGACAAATCATTTGCGTTTTCTGCCTTCAAGACTTCATTGCTTCATCACCACAAAGCCAAATTACCAAAATGATCAAGAAAGAAATAAACCAAGTACCTTATCACCAGAAATCATTGCAGGAACATCTTCCGTTAGCAAAATGATGATACCGGGTGGCATCTCGCACAATAATGTCTCTCCTGACAATACTACTAATATGTTTTAGAACATCATGGCAATCTCCACAAACACGAAGATTCTTCACAATCCTTATCACTGTCCCTGGGACACCTCTGAGCAATCCATAAGCCACGGCTACCCTCTCACTGTGCCAAAATAGCTGCTTTTCTTTCTCTTGCTCTTCCATGTCCACTAGAACACAGCTAGTATCTGGAACATAGCCTCTCCTTCTCATCTCTTTGTCAAACTCATTCAGCAAATTAAGTATCTCACCTTTGATATTAGGATCACAAGTCTCCCCAGCATAAAATACTTGCCTTTCTTTCCCCATGCTAATGCAGCTATAACCAGGTTCCTTTTTCACCTCCAAACTAGTCATCAATTTCCTCACTGTCGACACACTTTCCCAGATTCCAGCACCTGCATAGACATTTGACAATAGGATATAGGTCGAAGGATCTTGTGGGTTTAAGCTGAGCAAACGATCAGCAATTCTAAGTCCCGCTTCTTTGCTCCCATGTTTCTTGCATGCACTTAGTAAAGCTGCCCATGTGGGCTCATCAGGCTCAAATGGCATCGTACTGATAAGATTCTCTGCTTCTTCAAGGTGTCCAGACCGACTGAAGAGGTCCAACAAGCATGTATAATGCTGCAAAGATGGAGTAATACCATAATTCTCAGATATGGATTTGAAAAGTTGCCTCCCTTTGGCAACTAAACCAGCATGACTGCAAGAATAGATCAATCCAACAAAAGTCACCTCGTTTGGCTTAACTCCCGAAAGAACCATCTGATCATACAATTCCAATGCTTCCATGGCTTTTCCATGTTGCGCCTCCCCAACTATTAAAGAAGTCCAAGAAACAACATCCCTCCAAACCAGAGAATGGAAAATTGTCCTGGCGGATAAAAGATCGCTACATTTAGCATACATATCAACCAATGCATTACCTATGAACAAGCTAGATTCATACCCTAGTGCCACAGCCAAGCCATGGACCTGCTTCCCAAACTCTAGACAAGCTACGCTAGCACAAGCAGCTACGACAGTGGAAACAACTAATGGATCCACTATCTCAATTTCATCCCTCCTCATTTCAATAAACAAGTGAGAAGCATCGGTTGCAAACCCACTTTGCACTAATCCAGATATCAATGCAGTCCAAGAATACAGATTCCTAAAAGGCGTCTTCACCAACAGCTCCAAAGCCTCCGACTTTAACCCACTCCTAGCATACCCTGATACAACCGAAGTCCACGAGATTGAGGACTTCACCATAATCGAATCAAAAACAGCACGAGCTACAAAGGGTAACCCACATTTTGCATACATATCAACCAACGAAGACTTAACAACGTCGTCACGGTTATACGACGATACAACGAACTGAGCGTGGACCTGCTTCCCCTGCCTTATCGCACACAACCCGGCACATGATTTAACAAGAGTAGCGTACACGAAATGGTCAGGCAGCAACCCGTCGCGAGAAAGCATGGATGGGAAAACGGAGAGAGCTTCAGCGGGGAGATCGGCCTGATTGTATGCGGTGAGGATCGAAGCCCAGGAGACGTGGTCTCTGTGGGGCATTTCCTCGAACAGGTTGTGGGCGTCATGAATAAGGCCGCATTTCCCGTAGGTATCAACCAAGGTATTGGCCAGGAGATCGCAGCCATGGAGGCCGAGCTTGATGATCTGAGAGTGGAGTGTCTTAGGAGATGACGGGACGTGGGATTTTGCGCAGAGCCGTAACTGGTGAAGGTAGCGAGAAACTAGCATGCATGTATGTAGAGAAGCTCCGCTTAGGCTCTGTCAATTCGGCTTCGTCTTCAAAAAGGAATCGGGCCGCTAGGGAAAGAAAGGTTATATGCTATCCAAAAGTGATTGGGCTTATTTAAGGAAGGGATCCAGTAAGTTTGACACCAATTCAAGGCCCACTCAACTCTCAACTCCTAAATAGTAAATAGAGTATATAATTTCAATTTTAACAAATGATTACAAATCACCCTAAACATATATTTTAAATTTTTGATGGCTAGGTTTGTTAAAACTTAAAAGCGTAGTAAATATTGATCAATGATTATAACTTATTTTCAAATGAATACATGTGCCTATTTGTGATGAACAATTGCGGACACAAATTCCGGTACATCCGTATGCCACTTTCCTTGCAGCTATTCGCAGGAAGCTTAGTCGGAACTGGTTGGTTCGCCTTACTCATACATACCGAGAAGGGAATAGAGTCGCGGACTGGCTCTCGAAGCACTGTCTCGTCTATCCCTACGGTATGCATGAGCTGGGGAACCCACCTCCAGGTGTGATGTCGATTCTCCGAGACGATGTTATGGGAGTTACCCACCCTCGTCGGGTGACAGCCCACTCTCCCCTCCCTCCTATGTAATCGCGTTCTTTTTCTCGGCCTCGGCCTCCCGATAATGCAAAAAAAAATTGCGGACACAAATAATTGTAAATGATGTTATTACTGATTATAGTTTCGTGTATGATTGGTTATCATAACTGAGCATTAATAAATATCATGAATGGATACATACAAATTTTTAAATAACTATAATTGTGTTACAAATTAATTATTAGATGCATACTAACTATTTGAATGAATATGGAAACAGATAGGATATAAAACACTTAGAATAAGGATACTCTTGAGAAATTGGTTTCATATTCTTACGTATTTTAATCTTGAAACCCAATTATCCATTGCAATGTTCCATAAAGTACACATTATACTTCCTTATCATATCTCATTTTATTATAATCTCAAGTTTTACCACGTGCAGCACGTCCAAAACAAGATTGCAAAGCAATCAAAAGTCAAATATTAAGCCTAAAGAAAGAGGCAAAACCCTTCCAATTATTCTTATGTTGCACTATATTCAACAACTAAATTACAACCGGGACAGTAGCATCTCTCACTCAGCAACAGGGTTCCAAGAAGAAAGAGGTGGAGTCTCAGAGTGCTTGAACGTTGGCATTCCTTCTCCATACCTATCACCTTTAACTGCATCTCCACCAGCAATGGCCTCCAGTTCCGCCATCTCTTCTCGAGTGAGCTTCACGGACAGAGCTCCGATGTTCTGGTTGAAGTTCTCGACCTTGGTGGTTCCTGGGATGGGGCACACGTCGTCCCCCTGGTGGTGCACCCAGGAAAGCGCTAGCTGTGATGGTGTGCATCCTTTCCTCGACGCCATCTCATTAACACGGTCGAATATGGCACCATTTTGCTCCAGATTCGCTTGCTGGAACCTCGGTAGATACTGCGAGTAGACAAGACAGGAAGGAAAGTTTAGAATACAAGTTGCAAGACAGTCAATCCCCATGAAACACAATAGGAGATCTGTGAGTTGCCAAAACCTGTCTAATGTCACCCTCTGCAAACTTCTCAGCCAGCTTAGCCCCTGATGAAAAGAATCCGCGGCCTAGTGGACTATACGCAACAATACCGATCCCAAGTTCTCTGCCAAGAAGATCAATGAGTTTCAAGTGTCAGAAACCGAACTTTCAGGATCATACAACATAAAGTATTCTCTTCGACAGTGAAACAGCTAGTACCTGCAAGTTGGGATGATGTCTTCTTCCACATCCCTTGACCAAAGTGACCATTCCAATTGGACCGCGGTTATGGGATGAACAGCATGAGCTCTTCTGATCGTTGAAGCAGATGCTTCCGATAGACCTATGTACTTAATCTTACCCTCTTCAACCAGCTTCTTCAGCTCTCCCATCTATAAATACAAATGAAAAGGATGCATCATGTAAAAGAGAGTAGACTTTCGAGATCTCATTTGCTACAAATTGAGAAGAAAGAGGGTCTAGAGATTAAATACCGTGGCTTCAATCGGAACTCTGACATCAACACGATGCACGTAGTAGAGATCGATACAATCAACTTCAAGCCTCTTCAAGCTGTCCTCACAAGCACTTCTTACATAAGCAGGATCGCCACGAATCTCCCCCTTCCCGTCCTTCAGGACACCGCCGAATTTGGTGGCGAGTTCAACCTTCTCCCTCATCCCCCCCTTCAACGCCTGTGTTGGAAATGATGATGAAGGAACTTCAGAAACCCAGAAAAAAATTCAGAGAGAAAGCAGAAAGCTTGAGATTGATATGATGGTACAAACCTTTCCAAGGAGGATCTCATTGGTGTGAGGTCCGTAGATATCAGAGGTGTCGAGGAAAGTGACGCCACTGCTGATGGCGTGATGGATGAGAGCAATCATATCAGGCTCCGGCTTTGGAGGGCCGTAGAAGGCAGACATGCTCATGCAACCGAGTCCCTGAGCCGAGACTTCAAGACCCTGCGAGCCCAACTTGATCCTCTTCACCATTGTCGCCATGATTCCCTGCTAAAGAAAAAACTGGTAATTGTGCAAGATTTGAGTTTCAGAAATGGTGCCCGGGTTGCTAAGTACTATATATGCAGAAGGTGCGGAGATGCTGAAAGTGAAAGAGGATCGAACCCAAAGAAGAAAAGTCAATCTACAACTCTCCGCAATAAACAAGGCTCCAAGTGGATGCTGTTTATACGTTGGGACTTTCTTTATGAGGCATGTTCACATTGACAGTCCAACTTGGCTGGCTGCTTGTCTATTTGCTTCATTTCTTTTCCTCGTATAAAGCTGGTCAAAAGATAAACAAAGGAGTAAATGAGGATAATATTCAACTCTCTCATACGAATACAAATGGTTCAGCATACGTGGTTTACAATCAACAGCAATATTAACCACTACTCTTTCACATCTTCAGGAACCCAGAACAGAACAAAGAAAAGTTAACAAACAAATGAGGAAGTACACCTTTATTTGCCATTGGGTTTCCACGATGAAAGAGGTGGAGCATCGGAATCCTTAAATGTTAATATACCTTCTCCATATCTAATCACCCTTCAGATGCATCTGCAGCAGCAATGGATTCAAGCTCAGACATTTCTTCTGGTGTCAGTTCCAACGAGAAAGGTCCAATGTTCTGATTGAAGTTTTCAATCTTGGTTGTTCCTGGAATCGGGCACACGTCATGTTGTCATCTCCCCGGTGATGCACCCAAGCAAGTGCCACCGGAGATGGAGTGCATCCTTCCCTTGTTGCAATTTCGAATATGGCTTTGTTGAGCTCCAAATTCTCAGGTTGAAACCTCGGAAGACACTGCCAACGTGGAGAACTAGATTTAAGGCTTTTCTAGGAAATAGAGATATATGTAATGGCCAAAGACTAAAACGAAATCTGATGATGGTAGTGTGCAAAATCCCCCTCAGCAAAACTTTCAACAACCTTAGGCCCCAATGGAAAAGAATCCAAGTCCTAGAGGGCTGTATGCAACAATCCCAATTCCGAATTCCAAGTTCTCTGGCAAGCAGAACATACTATGAGACGGTGAACTTTTTTCCCAGTTTGAAAGATGTGGGTGATCATCAATGGCCGACCTGCCCGTAGGGACAATCTCTTCTTCCACATCCCTGGGCCACCAGGATCACTCCAACTGCACAGCCGTTATGGGATGAACAGCATGAGCTCTCCTAATTGTTGGAGCAGAAGCATGAGGTAGGCCTATGTACTTGATCTTACCTTCCTCAACTAGTTTCTTCAACTCCCCCATCTTTTCTCCCAGAAAAGAATATAACCAACTTTAGAGATCAAAAGCTAAGATCCTAGTTTAACTAAAGTAGAATGGGACAAACTTCAAAGAAACGCAAACAAACCGTGGCTTCAATGGGCACTCTAGTATCAACTCTGTGCTGATAAGAAAGGTCAACACAATCAATATCCAGCCTCTTCAAGCTCGCCAGCACTTCTTACATAAGCAGGATCTCCACGGATTTCCGTCTTCCCATCCACAAATACAGCACCGAATTTGGTACCCAGTTCGACTCTTTCCCTAACCCTCTAACAATCAAAATCAGCCCCTTTCAAAAGAGCGAAAACGAATCAAAGCAGACCCAGAATCAGAATTGGATCAGAAAGTCTGAAAACCAACCTTCCCCAGAAGGATGTCGTTTATGTGAGGGCCACAAACATCAGCGGTATCAAGGGAAAGTAACGCTCGAGTTGATAGCGTTGTGGATGAGAGCGATCATTTCAAGGTCGAGCTTGGGAGGCCCATAGATACCCGACATGCTCATGCATCCAAGTCCTTGACTTGAACTGATACTTCGAGCCCCTGCGATCCCGACTTTATTCTCTTCATCGGTACTGTTCCCGCCATGGTCAATCTGGGCAGTTTTTCCGGCCAGCAGAGATTATAATAGGACTGAGCCGGCGAAGACACGCAGTCTGCGGACATAGAAGGTGGAAAATAAAGAAATTGATTGGCGGGCTGGGCATGGGAATGGGCTTGAGGGCACGTTTAGTGGCGGGGCAGGCGGGCTTTCAATAGTAAGTTGATATTTATGGGCTTACCTAGTGCAAATTGGTTCTAGTATCACTGATGAGTGTTCGTGGTTAGAGTTTAGTTGTTTTAATCACCTGATTTATACACTTCGATTACGAAAATATCAAAACATAAAAATAGTACAATGTATTTATGATTGGGTTCGGTAAAGTCGGATGAACTATATTTTTAAATAAAAATTCATCCAAATACTAATTTTTTTTTTATATAACTAACTACAATTTCAAGCGGCAAAGCAAATAAATCAAAATACACAGAAAATGTAGGTTGGATATTGTGAATTTAAATTTTTTTGAACATATATCTAATATTTTCTATAATTGCTTATCGATTTAAGCTAAAAACTTGTCCATCATTATAAACTAATATATCCATAACATGTTATTTCTCTAACATTGTTTAGCATATAAACATGAACCATAACATATATTGAATACGTCCAATGTGACAAAATATCCTAATTCCCTCACAAATATGCTAATATAGGACATAACTGCATTCTAAATACAAAAAATCCATGACGATAACCGTAACACGAATTAAGTGGATGTCTAAGAATTGTATAACCTGGAACCTTAATTTCAGCGATAAATTCGAATGGATGTCTAAGAATTGTATGACCTGGAACCTTAAACCTTAATTTCAGCGATAAATTCAAATGGATTAGACCGAGTTGGCTAGATAAATCGAGTTATGGTTATTTCTTTTTCAACTAGATGTATTACATTGTGAAAACAAGGGCATATAGCACCACAGGACGTTCTCGTATGGCAATTAGCATCACCTTCAAGACCACAGCCTCATCAAGTTTTATATGCTTAATATAAGCTTTAACTTACAAGCTCAAACAGACAAAATGATGTAAGAATAGCAGACGCCCAACACGACGTCGTCTATCTATCTGCCTCTCAACAATGCCTTCTCGGCGGTGTCCATCTCCTCCAGAATCCTGGCCTTCCGCTTGGCCGGCAGCGGCGCGGTGGGGCCGAAGCTGATGTAGTGACCCGACACCGCGTTCAGCGCCGAGTACATGTCCCGAAAGGAAGCCCGGCCCAACAACGCCTTCTCCTTCCTGTACTTGGCCACCCAGTAGTTGGACGTCTCCCGCAGCTCCGCCACCGCGTCGGCCACGTTCGGCGCGTTCCTGTCCAGCGTGATGGTCGTCCTCACCTTCCCGATCACCTCCTTCGTGTCCTTCACGTACTCCTCGTCGGGCGCCGCCAGAGCCGCGGGGACCGGGGAGATCGCGGCCGCCAGCCAGGCGGCGGAGGTGGCGGAGGAGGATAGCAAGTTGCGGCGGGTGATGGGTTGGGGTTGTGGGGGCTGCGGTGGCGCGTGGGGTTGGAGGGCGGCGGAGGTGGGTGGGTGTTGTAGTTTGGGCTTGGAGAGGGGAGTTGGGGTTAGGAGTGTGGTGGGAGATGCTAAGCTCATTGTGGAATGGTGGAAATTGGAGAGATTGACGAGAAGAAAGGTTGGAGACTTGGAGTAGAGAGAAGTAAGAAGAGTTGAGTAGGAAAGGGGGAGGTGACTGGAAATGGTGGCACGTGGCATTATCACCTTATCTAATATCTAACATATATACATTTAGGATGAGGCTCTATTCAGTCTATTGTTCTCAGCCATTTATATTTTTACCAGTGTGACAGTTGTCACTTTCTTCCCCTTGCCTTGTTGGCACTTTCATATCTTTGTTGGGGGTACTTTTTTTGGTTAAAGATACTTGTTAATGTTGATGAGCACTTCTACTATACTATATAGTATTGGTGCTTTAATGTACAATTTAAAATTGTACCATAACATTAAATGTATAAGTTTAGGTTGTACCATAAAGCAATTTGTACCTTTATGTTATGGTACAACTTTACTATTTGAAGCTGTACCATCACATAAAGGTACAAGTTCAAGTTGTACCATAAAAGAATTTGTACAAAAAGTATAGGTACAATCTGAAGTTGTACCATAACGTAAACGTACAATTTTAAGTTGTACCATAAAGGCAAAATTCTATAGCACCGATACTATATAGCATTGTAAAATTTCTCAATGTTGATTAGTGTAACATTCCGGATTTTGCGAACAAGGGCTAGCCTAGCTAGTGTAACCGACTCAGCTCGACTGAAAGGAGAGAAAGAAACTCGAAGAAAGTGAGAGGAGATGTTATCAATATGCTCGAACAAATATCTCTGGTGAGATGTTCTTTCCTAAACTAAGTATCGATTGATTCCCGCCAATCGCAATGAGAGTTCCTGGGTTTGATTCCCGCCAATCGCAATGACGCCTTTCAGTAGCACCTACTGGGCATATGGAGGACTTGCCTGCTTGTAGAGGGTCAGGACCACCCTTGAACGTCTACACTGCCTATTATGGCTCAGCAGGTCGGAATTTGACCTGCCTGTAGCGTCACTAAATTGGCACCCGCATGTAAGGATTCTCGTAAGAAAATAAATAAAAATTTTAAAAGCTTTTTACTGACTAAATTATTGTTCGTTTTGTGTCCATCGCACGTTTTTTTTTGTGCGCGTCTTCGAGTGCATATCAAGATAACTTTCTAGGAGATCATTCATCCTTACATTGTTTCATAATGAACATTTTTAACTTCAGAGTTCTTACAAGAACTATTTCATTTCACTTCACAATGCGTCTTGTTAGTTAATGTCGGTTTCTTACTTATAAATTATGAATCTTTCAAGTATGTTTTCGATATGAGATTTATCTAACGTGTTAATATGCGACCTACGAACTTTCAAATGCAGGTAAATTTACATGTAAAATTCGTAACAAAATTGAAATTATTAGTTTTTTAGATTATTAATAAAATCTAGAACACATTGTAGTTGATCAAGCTATATACCAAAGTTTAGTGACCATTTCGAAATTTAACGAGAAAAGGAAAGTTCAAAGTTCAAACGCTTCTGCCTCTGTCTTCTATGTATCTTCAGTTCTTCACTGCGATCACTCGTTTTCCCTTCTTCACTACCTATCTTCTCGATTGTCTCCTTCCGCTGCATCGGCCACCAACGACGAAACCACCTGTAAGTCTCTCTCTCTCTCTCTTTGATATAAGTTATTAGCCTGGAAATGGCGAATGATTACTTCCCCTGCTCCGCTCCTTGAAGCTTCCCTGCGAGATCCAGAGTTCTATTTTCATTCCTTGCTTGTTTCGTCCTCCGATCCTTGAGTTTTCCTGCTTAGAGACCACCGGACTTCTCATCCTTCGTTTAATCGTTTTCATGCTTTTAACTATTCCAGTTCTTACGGTTCCAGCCCTCGTTCTTTCTGGTATTGCAGTTTAGCCCTAAGAATTTCCTATTTTACTTGCCTACTCCCCCGAATGCACCATGTCTCTGAACTTCCAACTGTTTTGAGCTTCAGTTGTCAAAAAAACTCTGCTCTTTCTTCCACTACAGCTTCTGCTCTACGAAGATGCGGTCTGGCGGGATAAGGAGAATGGCTGGCTCCTCGAGTAGTATTGACAGTGATCCGTTTGAAACGAACAAGACACAAAAGCCAAACAGTGTTGAGTATGCTGCTTCTGCCTCCTGCTCTGCACATTCTAGCTCCCAGCCCCTGCCATGGGGAGAGTACGAGGTGTTTCTGAATTTCAGAGGTCCAGACACTCGTTATCGGATCACCGATATCCTGTACCGGTTTCTGGTGAACTTGAAAATCCGCACGTTCAGGGACGATGATGAGCTCCGAAAAGGGGGAAGAGATCTGGCCCAATCTTGCCGAGGCTATCGAGCAGTCCAAGGTCTATGTCCCTATCTTCTCCGAGAATTATGCTGATAGCAAATGGTGCCTCAGAGAGCTTGCAGCAATTGTCGAACGCCAAGGGAGAAACCGGGGCTGCGTCATTCTCCCCATTTTCTACATGGTGGATCCTAGAGACGTACGACATCAGAATGGACCTTACCGGAATGCATTTCGACAACACGAGCAGAATATTGATGAAGAGACCATAAGAATTTGGAAAGATGCTCTCAGTAAGGTTGGAGCTCTGAAAGGATGGCATGTCAAAAGCAATGAAGAGTATGTATTACCTTACTCTTGCCTCTCAGCATATTCTTTCACCAAGTTACTTATATATTGTTAGATTGGGAACTAGTTTCGCGTCTTGCTCCTGGTATTAGTTTCTTCCATAGTCTGGTTGATATAATTGCAAGTCATATTTTTCCAGGCAGGGGGCTATAGCAGATCTTGTTACTGGCGTCGTGTGGTCACATCTAAGTAAGAACAATAATGTCTTAGAGATCGATAAGTTGATTGGAATTGATGATCACGTAGAAGCAGTAAAAGAAAGTATGGCTCTAGACTCTCCATGTATGAAAATCGTTGGCATTTATGGTATGGGTGGTATTGGCAAGACTACTATCGCCAAGGCTGTATATAACAACGTATCTGCTCAATTTGATCGATGTAGCTTTGTCGAGAACGTACGAGAAATGCTAGAAAAAAAGGATGGTGTCATCACTTTGCAGAAGCATATCGTCTCTAACATTTTGATGGTGAACATTGCTGAATCCATTGTCAACAACAGTGAAGGAATCAGAGCTATAAGAGATAGAGTTTCTCGGTTCAAATTTCTTGTTGTTCTTGATGACGTGGATGAGACGTTTGAATTTGAGAAGATCTTGGGAAACATGGAGAATTTTGTTTCGGGAAGCAGATTTATCTTTACGTCTAGAAACATAAAAGTTTTGAGTATGTTGGCTGATGATATCAAGTTATATAGAGTACAAGAAATGAGTCATCAGCACTCACTCCAACTCTTCTGCAACTATGCATTCAAAAAGGATATTCCTCCATCAAATTATGAGGCTTTGTCCAATGATATCGTATCGGTTGCAGCAGGACTTCCATTGACACTTAAAGTTGTGGGTTCACTTTTATTTCAAGAAGAGGAAGAGATTTGGAGAGACAAACTGAAGCAGTTAAAAGAGATTCCAGAGCAGAAGGTTGTAGATAGGTTAAAGATAAGCTACGATACATTAAATGAAGAGGCGAAGCGGATTTTCTTGGACATTGCTTGTTTCTTTGTTGGAGAGGACAAAGAGATCGCTTCCTATATGTGGAGTGATCTTGGCTTTTTTCCGACGACTAATATTAATATCCTTAATCAAAGGTCTATGATCGGAATTGTGGTTGCAGGTTCTAGAAAAAAACTAATTTTCCAAATGCATGATCAACTCAGAGATATGGGTAGAGAAATTGTACGCCAAGAAAACATAAGGCATCCATGGAAGACAAGTAGGATATGGTCGAAGGAGAAAGCTCTGAACGTGTTACTTAACAAAAAGGTAATTTCCCAACATCCACTAGAATTATTTTAGTTTTCATGCTTGGCAAACATTGATAACTCACATGTTAAGTAGGGTAGTGCTGTTAGATTGAGGCGAGAAAATGCATATTTTAGAAAATGTGGCATGAATTATGACTGATGTGCTTATTAATCATATGTTGTTTTTGCTGGTATAGAGAGACTAGAAACAAATAAAGTAGAGATGTGTTTTTCAAATTTCATAGTACTTAAACATCTCTTTGCAGGGAACAAACCAAGTTGAGGGCATCAGAATGCGCTACCATAATTTTGAAATCTTAAAGAACCTAAATATGGAGGAGCTTGGAACGATTTCGAAAGAGTGCTTCATGAATTTATCAGAGTTGAGATACTTGGACATAAATGTTAGTGTGCTCATTGGCGACTTTGGTGATTACATTCCGAATTTAAGATGGCTTCGATTGAGGAATGGACCTTCCGATAACTTTAATGTGGAAAATTTGGTGATTCTTGAAGTCTCAAGCTTCTCATGTACGAGAGTCGACTCGGGAGGCTTGAAGCAAATCAAGGTATGAGCCATTGCCATAAATAATTTAACATGATATGAAGTGTACTTGTTGAGTTCCTAGATCAATACTTATCGACTGTTGTACATGCTGTTTTTATCCACCTTCTTTTCGTTAATGCGTGCACGCAGATGGCGAGCAAGCTCAAAGTTCTGAAGCTTTCTGGTTACTGGCTGAACGAATTTCCCCAGTTCCCACATTCTGGGAGCCTTGAGATATTAGAACTGGTTGATTCCTTCCACCATCCGTTGATCCGTAAGGACCTGGACATTGGGAATTTGTGGAACCTAAAAGAGCTGCGTCTGGGGGAATGCGGAGTAAGAGAAATAACGGGCGGAAGAAGTGGGATGATGCCATGGGAGAACCTGAAAGTGCTATATCTGGACGATTGTGAGGTAAGAGAGATAACAGGCGGAACCCTTGGGACGATGCCGTTGGAAAACATGAAGGCGATGCATCTTCTTCCATCATCTCTAACCTCGCTCTTCGTTATCAAGTGTCCAAAGCTGGAGTGGCTCCCCAATCTAGAGAATCTGGTGAACTTGACTGACTTACATATCCATGGCTGTCCGGTCCTGAAGGAGATCCTTGGGTCTCCAAGGACTGAAATCCTTGGAAACTCTGAGCCTGAGTGGTCTGGAAGCTGTGTGCAGCGTGGACGGTCTTGACAGTCTCTACTCTTTGAAATCCATACAAATTAACGCTTGTTCGGCGTTGGAAAGACTCGCCAGCACGGCATCTTTGAGCCAGAGACTTTGTATAAGTATCCGTAACTGCCCTTGTCTCACAGAAATCCTTGGCCTTGGAGGGCTGCAGCCATGGGAAACACTTCACCTTCATGATGTACTGAGGTTAAGGCGTCTCCATGGCTTTGAAACTGTCCCGCCTCTGATCATGTTAGGAGGTGTAGTTATACGCAACTGCCCTCTTCTCACATCACTAGCACAGGAAGATAGGCCTTTGCAACAGAATGGCTAAAGGCTCAAAAGCAGATATTCGCCTGGGCATCAAAGCATTTGGAGTACTTCCAAAGAGAAGGCCTCGTTGTGTCAAGCAATGTTGTTTCGCGAGCTTAGACGGTGTTCTGATTTAGGTGGCCGGAGTCGTGTTTCGAATTGGGAGTCCACAGTGTCCAATTCATTCTGACGTTTGAGCAATTCAAGTTTGGGGAGCAGTCTGCATCAGACCATATGCTGATCTGTGGTGGAAATTGGGAAACAGAGTACAGAACAGGGGAAAACAGAGGAATCCTACCTTGCCGAGAAGGATTTCGTTGTTGCGAGGGTCATAGATTTGGGATGTATCAAAGGAAGTGACGCCCCTGCGGATGGCATAGTAGATAAGAGCAATCACCTCTGAATCAGGCTTGCAAGGGGCATAAATGCAGCCATTCCCATGCAACCAAGCCCCTGTGTGCAACCATTTTTTTACCAGCTCCTCTGTTCCTTCAGCTTCAGGGGAAAACTGGAAATGGAGAAGGTGAAGAGTTTTGAGGATGACATTCTAAAATGGATTTTTGAGGGGAAAACATTTGGAGTACTTCCAAAGATGAGGCCTTGTTGTGTCAAGCGATGATGTTTGGCAAGGGTAGACACTTTTCTGAAGTAGGTGCTGGATTCGTGTTTCGAAACGGGAGTCCACAGTGTTCAATTCATCTGAAGTTTGAGCGATGCAAGTTTGGGGAACATTCTGCATCAGACCATTTGCTGATCTGTGGTGGAATTTGGAAAACAGAGCACAGAACAGGGGAAAACAGAGGAATCCTACCTTGCCGCAAAGGATTTCGTTGGTTCAAGGGCCATAGAGGCAGACATTCCCATTTCCCTGGCAATCACGCCTATGCGCTGCCCTCATTTTTTTTTAACTAGCTCCTCTGTTCGTTCAGCTTCAGGAGAAAACTGGAAATGGAGAAGGTGAAGAGTTTTGAAGTTGGTATTTTATAGTGGTATAGTTGTCGAATCGATCTTACTGTAGATCGATATTTATTAAACAACAGCATATTTATACCAGAGGCATAACCTCGTTATGACTTATGAAGAACACAAAACACAGTTGAAACTTCAAAACTCAGAAAGTTTACAGAACATCAAAGAGACACTAGCATATATGCATATAGTTTGACAAACGAGCCATATTTTTATGCGCTCTTCTTCCATGAAGACAGAGGTGGAGTGTCGGATCCCTTGTAGGTGGCCATGCCTTCCATGTACCTCTCACCCTTCACACCACCACTCGTGGAAGCGATGGACTCCAGTTCGGCCATTTCCTCTCGAGTGAGTCTAACGGACAAAGCTGCAACGTTCTGGTCGAAGTTCTCCACCTTGGTGGTTCCTGGAATGGGGCACACATCGTCTCCCTGGTGATGCACCCAAGCGAGCGCCAGCTGCGACGGTGTGCATCCCTTTCTGCTCGCGATCTCGGTAACCCTCTCGAATATGGCTTTGTTGTGATCCAGGTTCTCACCCTGGAACCTTGGAAGTTGCCCCTATAAACATTGCATTATATACGTTAAGTTGCTAGGATATGCACACAGTAGTTACAAACCCTAATTCGATATTGAAAAACCTTTCGGTAGTCTTCGTCAGTAAGTTTGTCCAGAAGTTTAGGCCCCGCCGCTAAGAATCCCCTGCCGAGGGGAGCGTAAGCAACTATCCCAATTCCAAGCTCTCTGTATCAAGATGAACACAAAGATCACTATGATTTTAACAATGAGCTTTAACCAATGTCACAAGAAGCAACTCAGCAGCCTAATTTAATTTACCTGCAAGTGGGGATAATCTCTTCCTCTGCATCCCTTGACCACAAGGACCACTCCAACTGCACTGCCGTTATAGGATGAACTGCGTGTGCTCTTCTAATCGTTGCGGCGGAGGCCTCGGACAAGCCAATGTACTTGATTTTACCCTCTTCAACTAGCTTCTTCAGCTCCCCAACCTTTCAAAACAATCAAAGGGAGATGATTTCGAACTTTCGGAAGCACCGAGAAGAAATTGAATGAGTTGAAGAAGAAGAGGAACGAGTGACGATACTGTGACTTCAATCGGAACATTGGTGTCAATCCGATGTTGATAGTAAAGATCGATACAGTCAACATCAAGCCTCTTCAAGCTGGCCTCGCAGGCAGCCCTGACATAAGCCGGATCGCCACGAGGCACCATCTTGTCTTCTTTGTGAATGATGCCAAACTTGGTTGCCAACTCAACCTTCTCCCTAACCCCTCTCTTCTTCAAAGCCTAATCACCCATCTCATAAAAGAGCACAAAAATCAGCAGCTTACAAGAAAAACAGAGTACTGAAAAAACAGGGGGAAAAAAAAAACAGAGAAGCAAGCTACCACCTTTCCGAGAAGGACTTCGTTGGTGTGAGGGCCGTAGATATCTGAGGTGTCCAGGAAAGTGACGCCGCGGTCGATAGCATGGTGGATTAGAGCGATCATGTCTTGTTCTGGTTTGGCAGGGCCGTAGAAGGCAGACATTCCCATGCACCCGAGCCCCTGTGCCGAGACCTCGAGCCCTTGCGAACCCAACTTAATCCTCTTCACTGATGCCGCCATTTTTGGCTGGAAATTCTGCAACTTTGAGCTGGTTTGAGCTTCAGGGGACGGCCGGAAGCTCGTCTTTATAATGGTTGGAGTGAGTGAGAGATCTGAGAGGAGTGGATAGGCACAGGAAACGTAAACTTAGAACACACCGCTTGACCATTACTTTCACGACGTAAGGACTTGCGTAACAGTGGATAATGGTCACCATGCGAGAATTTTTGACCAGTTTGTCCGATCCCTTCAGTTCAATGTATTAGCAGCCGGAGCTTTTATTAGGGTGGAATTGGTTTCGAAACATTGTTCTGGGGCTGATTTGACATAAAAATATAGTAGAGTGGCAAGAATGAAAGAAACCCATCAAATCCCGACCCGAACCCGTACCCAGCAGATCCGCCACGGCGTCGGCAACGCAAAACAAGAGTGCCTTCCTCCTCCGTTTGACGCCGATCGGGGTTTGGAATTTGGCGCGGATATTATTCTTTTAGATATTTAATGATTTTAATCGACCGACGGGGGGCAATCGTAATTAGAAGGCAAACACCACGTGTCCCTTTCCATCCAATCCTTCATCTTCTTCCCTTCTCCCTCCCTTTTCTTCTTCGATCTTGCTCTCTCTCTCTCGCTCTCGCTCCCTCACTCCAAGAATGGATCCCTTGCGTGGATTGCAACACCACCGCTGCTGCTCCCCTGCCTCGCCTAGAGTCCACCTCTCCGATCACCGTTCTCAGTCCCTCCACCGCCGCTGTCATCGTTCTTCGAGCACTCATTTCCTCCGCACTCACAGGATCTCATTCTCTCTCCGTCACCACCACGTCCTTCTCCCGAGAATCGCTTGCCGCGTTTCTCCTCCTGAAACCAGGTCCCCTCGTCTCTCTCTATCACTCTCCAGTTTCCTTCATTCGTCGCTTTTTGTTTGCTGTTTTGAGTATGACGTGAGACGAAAGCTTTACGGTGGGATTTCTTCTTGATAAGTCGCTGTTCTAAGAGTTCTAACTAACATATAGCGATAATTCGGTCTGGATAGTTTTGAGCTACTTCTTCTGAGGAATTTTCTAGATTGATAGGTCGTGAATGGATATTTTGATCCAAAATGTGATTACAGGATGGTTAACATTTCAGAATCGTCGATTCGATTAACTTTTGGCAATGTGTTATTTCTACAAATTGGATTATAAGGCTGGTTTTTATGGCAGGGATGAAGAAAGGATGGACAAATCCAGGTCGAAACAGAAAGTGCAGCTCAATATTCGTCTCGATCACCAAGTTAAATTTGGTGAGAATGTAGTCATTTTGGGATCAGTGAAGGAGCTGGGTTCATGGAAAAGGAATGTGCCATTGAATTGGACGGAAGGTGGATGGGTGTGCAATTTGGAGTTGGACGGTGGTCAGTCTATTGAGTATAAGTTTGTTGTTGTGAACAAGGACAAGCGCACGTCGTGGGAAGGTGGTGATAATCGGAGGCTGAATTTGCCGAACGAGGGGAGTTATGAGATGGTGTGTAGGTGGAATGCAACTGGGGAAGGTGTTGATTTGTTGCCTGCTGGTTCAGAGCAGAAGCAGGACAGAACAGAGAAAATTGGCCATGATGGACCTAGCAGTGCCCCTCCCATTCATGATGGTGAGCCAAGCCCTTTTGTTGGACAATGGCAAGGAAAGGCTGCATCATTCATGAGGTCCAATGAACATAGGGACAGGGAAGGTGATAGGAGATGGGATACTTCTGGTCTTGAGGGATTGTCTCTAAAGTTAGTCGAAGGTGATCAGAGTGCAAGGAATTGGTGGAAAAAGGTATTCCCTTCAAAATGCTCCGTCTTGCTATAAGAATTTGCTTGAATTTTATAAGGAACTTGAAAAAGAAAAACCTCTGTTCTGCTCCTTGTTAAAGATTCTAATGTCCCTTTATGTTGTTGGTAGCGTGATTTCCACAGTTTTCAATGATTTCTTTGCTTTCTGTTGACATAATTTGCCATTTGCTTCAACAGCTTGAAGTTATCCGGGAGCTGATAGTTGGAAGTCTTGAAAGTGGGGATCGTATGGATGCTCTCATATACTCTGCCATCTATCTTAAGGTTCTTAGCTATCTCTGTTCTTTGTTTTTCTTGCTGTTTTCCTTTCAGTGCCTCTCTTACGTACTTTTCCTATGCAGTGGATTAATACCGGACAAATTCCTTGCCTTGAAGATGGAGGACATCACAGGCCAAATCACCATGCTGAAATCTCTAGGCAAATATTTCGGGAGTTGGAAAGAATATCTAGTAGAAAGGATACTTCTCCACAGGTGCTCTATCGTTTTGTTTCCCTGGTATTTTGAATATTATGGCCTTCTCTCCAATCTTGTTTCACCAAGGCAGTGTTCCATTGCTTTCGTTTTGTTGTTTATGTTAAAGGTCACTTAGATGGGAAGGAACTCAGTTTTCCCCTCTTTTTGAGTATGGTTCTTTCCGGATCCTTTATTTGAGTAGCGACATAATCATGTATCTCTATTGAGATTGGTTTGCTATCTTTGTTGCCTTAGTTACTTTGCTTTGAATTCTATCACCTATCAAGTTTTGGCTCATATTTGCAACTTTTTACTGTTGATATTTAGGAAGTGCTTGTTATTCGGAAGATCCATCCTTGTTTGCCATCATTTAAGGCAGAATTTACAGCATCAGTTCCTCTAACTCGCATTAGGGATATTGCTCATCGGAATGACATCCCTCATGACCTTAAGGTATGCATAACAATGCTCTTGGATAGCTGCGATTGCTTTTATTCTATGACCTGATCAATCTAGTAATCTAGCTATTTCAACTGGCAGCAAGAAATCAAACACACGATTCAAAACAAGCTTCATAGGAATGCCGGGCCAGAAGATCTAGTTGCTACGGAGGCTATGCTTGCACGAATCACCAAGAACCCTGGAGAGTACAATGGGGCATTTGTGGAACAATTCAAGATTTTCCATCAGGAGCTTAAGGATTTCTTCAATGCTGGAAGGTTTGATAATTTTCTATATTGCTTTTGAAAGCTACATTTGGCATATGGAATACGGAACTTGTCCTTCCAAGATATGTCTCAACGAACTAGGACCGAGAACATTTGATTGCAAAATGCCTTTCCTTTATTGCTTCATGTGTGCATATGTATGGTTTGATTGGGCAGTAGGTTCCAACCTCAGACTAGCAATTTGTAGAAGTTGTTACCGGGCATCTTCCTTATCTGTATCGATTACACTATGGACTCATGGCTGGTATGTGATTGTTCTAGGTGGCTTTGGCTTTCCCTATTGCAGCCTTCATATCGCAGTAATAACACCATTATTCATGAATGTATATTAGGTTGTATTATCTATATCACATCATACAATTTCTATATCGGTTTGATCCGTTGGTTCTGATTTCTTTGTGGTTGAAGCATATGCATAACATTAAAGTTACATAATACTTTGCTATGCTTGTGGCTGATTACCTACATCCTTAAAACTTCTACTTCTGAATCCAAAGTTAGCTTAATATTCACATAGAAGCATTTTGTTTGGCATCAGTGGAACATATATTTACTTCTGATTTCCTCATGTGTATCCACTTACACTCTGTGTGCAGTCTTACTGAGCAGCTTGACTCAGTTAGAGACAGCTTTGATGATAAGAGTCTTTCTGCTCTCACATTGTTTTTGGATCGCAAAAAGGTTTGTTGTGCTGTTTGAATCGTGTTTCTAATTTCCTTATCACTCGCATGTTTTAGATGATATTGTGGTTATGTAGTACATTCAATATTTACTTTCACTATCGTAATCTAGTTTTCTACGTTCTTTCTTCCGTTGGATAAATGATGAAGAAAAATCTGCATCTTTCCAGAACTTGGATGCTTCAAAACGGTTGACCAACATTAGCGAATTGATTGAGACCATGCAGTCTCTGAATGGTCTTAGAGATATGATTGGAAAGGGTCTTGAAAGTGGTCTCAGGAATGATGCCTCTGATGCTGCTATAGCTATGCGTCAAAAGGTGAGATAATTTAATTTTTACTATGTAGCATATGCAGTCTTGCATCTTCTTCTCAGACTGAAGGTTGAATTTGACATTCTCTGCCACTGATAGTGTTTTCTCTTATCTTTGTCTGGGTATTCTTAATTGCAGTGGCGTCTTTGTGAAATTGGCCTAGAAGACTACTCTTTTGTACTGTTGAGCAGGTCTTGCTGCTCTTCATACACTCCATACTCGACTTACTTATTAATATGTACATAGTAAAACGACGATGAGATTGAATGACTCCTACAAGATGCTATTGGTGATAGGATAATGCGATTGCACCGCACAGAAACACATTACTTATGCCGATCTTGACTGGGCTGCTATTGTTTCTAGTTTACTGGTTATAAGTTTTGGCTCCGCTACACTGATTTTTGTGGATGCTTATTATATTGTCTGTTTTTTTAAATTCCATTCATCATCTTATTATTGTACTGAGTGATGTTCATTTTTATTTCTAGATTCATCAATGAACTTGAATCAAAGGGAGGGGCTAAGTGGCTTACTGACAATGCAGAATCAAAGAATGTCAGCTCATGGAACGAACCACTTTCTTCCCTCATTATTGGTGTTCATCAACTGGCCTTATCTGGGTGGAAGCCAAAAGAATGTACAGCCATTGAAAATGAACTCCTTGCATGGCAAGAGAGAGGTCTCTCTGACAAGGAAGGTAACTTTTGGTCTCGTTCTTTTCTAGATCTACTTAACATATATGCCAAGCTTGATGAAGAAGTCTTTTTTGAATTGTTAATATTATGATTCTTTCCGTTATAAAAAAAGGAGCTGAAGATGGCAAAATGATTTGGGCACTGAGGCTCAAAGCAACTCTCGATAGAGCAAGAAGATTGACTGAGGAATACTCAGAATCACTTCTTCAGATATTTCCGCCAAAAGTACAGGTATCATGTTGTGTTTGACTGAGGAATACTTATGAACCAATTTGCAGTGGTGATGTTAATATTGATAAGTGATTTTCAGATTTTAGGCAAAGGACTCGGAATTCCAGACAATAGTGTGAGGACATACACTGAAGCTGAGATTCGAGCAGGGTATGTTGATTTGTATACTCCCCATGTATGGCTTCCTGATTTGACTATCGTTTCTGACTGGTTGATACGGTATTCAGGGTAGTTTTCCAAGTGTCCAAGCTCTGTACCGTGCTTTTGAAAGCAGTCAGAAATAATCTTGGGTCCCAGGGTTGGGATGTTCTTGTTCCTGGGGCTGCTGTTGGCATATTAGTTCAGGTAATACTTACTCTAACTGCCTCTGTAGTTTAAGATCAATATGCCGTGGTTCGAATCTTGTAGGACATTCAGGCAAAGTAGTAGAAACTTCTTTTTGTTTCTTTCTTTGATTGGTGAAATTGAGGTGTAAAAATGTGTTAAAGTTAATCAGTAAACCTTTGGAGATGTCAGTTATTAGGTTAGTCTTCATCCTACTACGCTGCATGATCAACTAACCCATGCTTGCGACTGTACAGGTCGAAAGCATTGTACCCGGATCATTGCCGCCAAGTGCAAAAGGTCCCATAATTCTTGTGGTCAACAAGGCTGATGGGGATGAAGAGGTATGAATACCGCAACATCGTAATCTTAAATTCTCAGTTAGTCATCTTGTTCCATGGCCGGTTCAAACCTATATCTTCTATGAAAGATTGTACTACCATACTGGACTGAAGGTTTTTTGCATTTCCCAGGTCACAGCTGCCGGAAGCAACATAGTAGGAGTCGTGCTTCTGCAAGAACTGCCTCACTTATCTCATCTAGGTGTTAGAGCCCGCCAGGTTTCTATTTCTTCTCTGAAACTATACGAGTTAATTTAAGCGGCCAGATTGTGCAACACAGAATGGGCTGATCTGTTTTTTTTCCTTCCTGTTTTCGAGCAGGAAAAAGTTGCCTTTGTAACATGTGAAGATGATGACAGACTTGCTGATATACAAAAACTCCTTGGGAAATTTGTGAGGTATCTTGATCCAAGTTCATCTCGATTCAAATATACCTTATGATCATTTTACGATCTTTGGTTGTGGTGTTCATTATGTTCCGCGATATGCAGGCTGGATGCATCTTCAAGCGGTGTAAATCTAACTCAAACCTCGTCAAATGAGATCACTTACAATTTTGCTGCGGAAGATATTGCAGGCAATGGTGCATCTGCAGTTAGAAAAACAGAGCTTCAAGACCCTACCATTAAACCTTCTTCACCTAACGAGGTATATACATTTAGCTTATCTTTCTCAGGGATGCTGCCTAAACCTCAGTTTGACATACTGTACTTTTCTTCAAAGGGTGCATCTGCTGGAGGCGTCATATTGCTCGCCAATGCAGACCCACTTACCTCTGGTGCAAAGGCGGCTTCATGTGGTCTCTTAGCTTCTTTAGCGGCCGTTTCAAGTGAGGGTAAGGTTCTTCTTGTTCCTCTCCTAGTCTCCTGGTTCATTATCATTGTGTAAGCATGTTTACAATACTAACACCTCAAATTTTGCAGTCTCCAATGACCATGGGGTATCAGCTTCATTCCAAGTCCCGAAGGGTTTAGTTATCCCTTTCGGTTCGATGGAAAGGGCACTCGAACAGTCCAATTCGACCGAAACTTTCAAGTCGCTCCTACAACAGGTAGAAGAAGCTAAGCTGGAAGGTGGCCAACTCGACAAACTCTGCACCCAACTCCAGGAGTTGATTAGTTCCCTGCAGCCACCAGATGAAGTCATGGATGCCATCAGCCAAACATTCCCGGGAAACGCCCGTCTGATCGTACGTTCAAGTGCCAACGTGGAAGACTTGGCCGGAATGTCTGCCGCCGGACTCTACGATTCCATCCCCAACGTGAGTCCATCGAACCCAACCGTTTTCAGCGGAGCAGTGAGTCGAGTGTGGGCTTCCTTGTACACGAGGCGAGCAATTCTGAGCCGTAGAGCAGCTGGCGTGCCTCAGAAGGATGCCACCATGGCCGTTCTGGTACAAGAGATGCTATCGCCGGAACTCTCCTTCGTGCTCCACACGCTCAGTCCAACCGACAACGACAGCAACTCGGTCGAGGCCGAGATTGCTTCCGGCCTCGGTGAGACCCTGGCATCAGGCACGAGGGGAACTCCATGGCGTATGTGTTGTGGCAAGCTGGATAAGTCTGTCAAGACCTTGGCATTTGCGAATTTCAGCGATGAAATGGTGGTCGGCAGCGCATCATCGCCTGCAGATGGTGAGGTGGTTCATCTGACTGTGGACTACAGCAAGAAGGCACTGACGGTCGACTCGGTGTTCCGTAACGAGTTCGGTCAGCGGCTTGGTGCGATTGGGTGGTTCCTCGAGGACAAGTTCGGTGGACCACAGGATGTTGAAGGGTGCATTGTCGGAGAAGATGTCTACATTGTTCAAACGCGGCCGCAGCCTCACTAGTTTCGCTTCGTTTTGATCCGGACTGTAATAATGTGCTCGCTCGCAAAATCTGGAAGAACATGTTCTTCCATGTTCTTCCATGGCCGCGGCAATGTACTCGAATAACCGAACACTTGGATCAGTAACCATAACAAAAGCATTCAGCTCTGCAACTATAGGTACATTATACATGCTTATTGCCCTCATCTCCTACATTCTTCAGTGTCTATTAAACTCCAGCAAAGTTCGAAAAGACGTGACAACTCTCCTAGCAAGAGCCAAGACTAATCAACACGGTATGAGCTTTCACGAGTTGTACTACGGACTAAAAGTTAAACGAAGACTCTGGGTGTAGTCCCAGAAGGAGGCTTGACATCAACTTCCTTCAGCACAGTCTGAAGCCCCTTCCCTGCCCCGTTCGCCAGCGGATGCCTCCCCATCTCCGGCCCTTCGATGTCCTTCCTCTTCTCCTTCTCCGCCGCAAAGGATACCTTGTACCTCCTCTCCACATCTACACATATAACCACACACATCAAACACAATTCATATGCACCTCTTTCAGTAACATTCACAGGAAGACGGGTTACAGATCGATCGTTAAATCAATTTACCCTGGGCGAGTTCATCGTACAGCTGGCCTTCGCGGGTGAGCGCGAACATGATCTGGGGGATCCCGAGCGGGAGGTTATCGCCACGATCAACCTGCCAGAAGTGGATGGTCTTGCCGTATGTCTTGGCCACCTTCTCCATGTCCTGGCGCTCCACGGGGCCAGGAATCCCCGGCATGAACAGGTACCCTCCTTTCACCTCATAGTCGTGGGAGTGCCACATCGGCTTCTCCTCGTCCGGCAGCATGTCGAACAGCGTCTCGGTCACGATGTACTCGATTCCGATCAGCCGGGCGTCCGGTTCGGGGCTGTTGTAGATCAAGCACTGCCGCACTTCCTCGTTGAGGTGGCCGCAGAAGTGGTGGGCCTCCACCTGCCTCGTCATGTCGTGGCTGTAGAAATGGAACCTAAAGAACCCCACAACCATAATTACACGGCCAAAATTTCAGTTTCATCAGTAGATTAAGGGGTTAAGAGTGATTAGATAGGGAGTGATGATTGATCTAATTACGCGCAGAGGTGCTGGTGGATGTGGCTGATGGGGCCGAATCGCTGGATGGAGGCGGTCGCCTTCTCGAGCAAGGACGTCGTCGTGGCCGTCGGATCGCCGGGGACTTCTGGATGCTGCGACATGGTATTGATGAAAACGGATAAAATCGAAGCTTTTCTCGATCTGACGATGATCTCTGTGGTTTCGGGTTTTTGTATGATGGACAGGAAAAGAGAGAGGGAATGAGTCAAGTGTAGAGACGAAGTCCACTTGGGTGTCATGCAGGCTGCCATTTGGCACAGTTGGGTAACTCTGTGCCTGACACGTGGATGCCGACGTGGCTCCCGCGCTTACCGTTTCGGTTCATGTCTATCCACCTGCGCGATTGGCTTTGTATTCATGCATCTGGTTATGAATCCGTTTGCGGGCCAACTAACTTCGTGGATTACGGATCTGGATCATAATTGGGCCGGCCTGAGCAATCGAAGCCCACGGTCGTGAAGGCCCAGTTAGCAGCTTTTCTTACTTCTCCATCGTCGTCTGCCGTGTTCTTAAACCACAAAGGGTAAAACCTTCGCTCCGGTGAGTATACTCTTTTCTCTCGGAGCTCGCCACCGCAGCACACATATGGTAAGTTGGCCCCGTCGATTTGTGCCTCCGTTTCAGTTCAGTGTTGTGAACAGTTTCCGGTTATTGGTGATTGATTCTTGTGTTCTTTCTTCTTTCCCGCTCTGCACTTCCGTGGCTGAGCTTTTGGGGATTAATTATTTTCTGCGATATTTAGATTGAGTTCGAAATGAAAGGCAGTAACTTTAGCTAATAGCTTCTTGTATTTGTAATTTCCGGCTTCGATAATTCGTAGCTAGATTTCCCAGATTCCCTCAATCGAACCTTTTTTCCCCTGTTACTGTTGGTATTAGGGTTGTCTTATTTCACGGCTTCTGAGCTAGATTTTCAGTGGAGTTTCTTGGTATTTTCATTTTATGGTGATTGAAATCAACGGAATAGTTCTGTGTAACTAATGTGCTGAATATTGTGTGTCAGGCTACCGCGTTGAGACAGAGGCTTGGCACTGCGCTTGCTGGTCAGGCCTGGCAGTCACTGAACGGAAATGTTGGTCTACGATCTTTTGCAACAAAAACTGGTGGAGCTTCAAAGGCTGGAACCAGGTAAATTTCCAATCATGCCGTAGGAGCTTGAACCTTAGGAATTTGGTTAATTATTGATATTTATGGGAAGTCTTGAAAAAAATGGAGTAGAAGCACAACTAATGAACTAAAGGAATGAGGGTGACTGGTAGTTTGCTGCTTTACTTAGGTTCGGCTTATTATGTCCAGCACTGCTTTACTATGGTGCATTTGGACAGACTTCACAGAATGCAGTTAAGTTACATACCCGCATAATGACTCCATGGCCGCAGCTGAAGCAACTGATGTGCATGTATATTTCTCAAATATAGGACTCCAGACGTTTGTTTGGACAATATTTGTGGAGGTTTACATACCATGCTTTTTGTTGTTGCTTCAAGCACTTTTTATTTAATCTTGGTATGTTGTTGAGATATCTCGTTTCGACAATTGCAGAGCGAGTGCTCCTGCGGTTAAAAAGATAAAGGAAGGGCATAGAGCTCTGACTCTTAATGTGGGCAAGACAGCTGGAAGAAACTCAGCAGGGCGTATTACATCGTACCACCGAGGAGGTGGAGCAAAGCGACTACATAGAAGAATCGACACAAAAAGGGAGACTGCATCGATTGGTGTTGTTGAAAGGATAGAGTACGATCCAAACAGATCTTCACGTATTGCCCTGGTAAGATGGGTTGAGGGTGGCCAGCATTCTCCCCTCAAGTTCAAGGAGAATAACAAACAGTTTCCTCGCCAATATGAGACAATCGAACCGGTCACGACTACCACAAAAGCCAAGTACACGCTCGCTTCCATGGCGAGGAATGTGGATCAGAGAACAGTAGCTTACTACTCACTTGGTATGCCTACTTCTTTGGTGGTGGGCGGCCTTCCTATGGGGAAGCCCGTTATTCAGGACGCATCGATCCAGAGAACTAGTGTCAGAGACATCTTTTTGACGGCATTCTCTAGAAATTGTCAAGGGAAGAGTGCACCTGCTACTCCACGGGTCGCAATAGTTGGAGCACAACCGAAGTTCTATGCCCCTCAATCGAGAGGAGAAGGTGAGGGGAAGACTGTTTATTCCCTGGCTGAGGTCAGGAAGTATAACAAGCAGAGCAGCGTCTGGGACAATAGAAACAAACGCAAAGCAGCAGTCTCTTGGCAAAGTTGTGCTCTATGATATATGCATTGCATCCAGACAGTGTTGTAGCCATTACTAGGCTGCTTGGGGGAAACTTTGTTTTCTGTTTTGGTCGTTAGCTATAGCACTACTGTTCGTGGAGAGGCCAGGCGTTGGAAAATCCGAAGATGTGTAGGAAGCAGTTATTACTTTTGTGAAGCACAGTATGACCAAGCAATTACTGTCTAATCCATTTTCAGTTTTCGCTTTGGGACGTGAAGTAACACGAGAGGTAATTGAGTTAGTACTTCCGTTTGTTTTTGGCTCCATTTGGTTTGTTATTTGCATTTGTATTGTACCAATTGCGAATGATTCAACTTTTAAGCAGTGTTATTAAAGCCGAGTCGCTCGGCCTGACCGATAAAACCGTCACCCGGTCATAAAACCGGCTCGAAACAGCCTAAAAGCTGCTCCGGTTTTATGTGGCGGTTGACGAGCGGCCGAGTTGGTTAACCGTTCGAGCCGTTTGAGCCGCTGGTCCGGTTTTTGCCATTCAGCCACTAAATTTAATTAAAAAAATTGCAGAAAATTGAAATAAACAAAAAACGTAGGGCTCTCAAACTGAATCCTTATTTCCATTTCACAATTTCGAAGGAAAGAGATGAGCTCTGATTAATAAATGTCCACTATTTATACTGATAACGTTTATTAGGTATCGGTTCTCTAACGGTTTTTAAACGGTCTAATGTCGGTTGGACCACTCAAGTGCGAGCTGTTCGCATTACCGGGTCATGCTCCGGTTCGGTTACGACAACATTACTTTTAAGGCATTCAGACTTTCATCTTTTAGTTATTTGCTGGTCATTTGGCCATGTAAAATTAGTACAGCACAATGGTAATACTGTCGGCGCTAACTGGAGGCCTTGGGTGATATCAGTTGTTGGATAACAAAGCCCATTCACCCTCTAGGCTGGCCAAACAAACCCACCCGAGTGTTAACCTTATTGGATAATCGAGGCCATACAGTATTTCACCCTTCAGGCCCGCTGAAGCCCAAGTCTAGGCCCGCTCATGCGACCACGTTAGGGTTTTAGGCGGAGTATTAACCTCTTAACGATGAATGATTTGACTGTAATTGGAAGAAATCTGTTGAGAGAGTCTATGGTGTGATTCCGCGGGAGTATTTAGAAGCAAAAACCAGAAACGGAAAACCAATCAAAACGTAACAAACCCCCCCTGGAAATAGCTTGGAAGCTGCAAACAATTTCTCCCGCAATCTACTGCCGTTTATTTGCTAACTGTCAATCCCTTCTCTTCTCTCTCTCTCTCCCACCCTCCGTCAGCAGCTCGGACTCTCTCTCTTTCTCACTCTTCTCTCTCTCTCTGCCGTGGAGCTTCCTTAAACCCTAAATAAATTGTTCGCCTCTGGTGCGCGCTCCTTCGGTTTTCCGTTTCGCCATTTTAATCGCATCTGTTACTTGTCTGGCTTTCGGGCTTGATGGAATGTTTGCGTTTGCTTTTCCCTGCAGCTCTCTGCTGTCTGTGAATTCGCGAGTTTGTGCTTTGCGTTGGTGATCGGAGGTTGCGGCGGAGATGGGGATGGTGGAGAATGACAGGAGCGGGGGGAGCGGGGAGGATCGGAAGAACGAGGAGGCGGCGGCGATGAGTGAGGGGCCGCCGCCTAAGTCGCCTTGGAAGAAGCCGACGGCGGCCGGTGATTTACCGGTGATGAGTGGTAGTGATGAGTCATGGCCTGCTCTTGCTGATGCAGCGCAACAACGGGCCAAGAATTTGGACGCTAGTACTAAATCGGGGGCTAATTCTGAAGTGGCTGCCCCTCCTCAACAACCACGACCACCTCAGCAGCAACAGGTGATGTTTCTGTCCTTTTGTCGATGGAAAGGTTTTGCGATATTGTGAATCCACATTGCCATGGGCTTATCGTCAGTTAGTGTTGTGTTGCCGGTCTGACAAAGCATTGCTACTAGAGTTCCTGAAGTGGATGGCTGTTTATCTTTGCAAATTTGTAGCATTGGTGTGTTCATCATAATGTTCTGTGGGCATGTGAGCTCTATTGATGCAGTAGGCTGGCGAACATTTATAGATGAGAGAATTGATAAAATCATAATGTTGTGCAGGGATCGTCAGGGCAACCAAAGTCACATAGCGGGCACCCTAATTCTGCACATAGATACTCATCATCCAGGCATCAAAAGTCAGGGGCTAAGCGGAATCCAAACGGAGCTCCCCCTTTCCCAGCACCTTTACCTTACCAGCAACCAATGATGCCAAGTGCCTTTCACGGTGCAATACCCCCGCCTCCCATTGCTGTTCCTGCTTTTGCTTACCCTCCTGCACCTCTTCCTACTGTGGAACCTCATTTGGTGAAGCCTGGAACCGAAACGTTACCAATTCAACCTTTCCCTCCACCAAATAGTGTTCAGTCTCCAATGAGGGGGGACTCCGATGGTTACCAGCCAAATTTTCCAAAAAGGAGATCTGATGCACAAGAGTCCAATGGCCATATAGGTCACACATGGCACCATCAACGAGCATTTAATCCCAGAGGCTCTAATATCCCTTTGCATCAGGGAATGGGGGCAAGGCCTATGGTCAGGCCCCCCTTTTTCCCTCCAGGTCCAGGCTTCATGGTTGGCCCAGCCTTCCCTGGTAATTGCTTTGTGCAACCACCACTAGTTTCAAGTTCATATCTTTTACTGGATCTAGCTCTACCGTCTTTAGTATAAACGCTGCTCTTGTTCATTTGAGCTAGTGTTTTCTGTCCTACAGGCTCACCTATGTACCCTATCCCTGTTGTACCACCTGGCGGATTTAGGGGGCCTCATCCACCACATTTCATCCCGTATCCTCTGAATCCTGGGCATCTCATGCTTACCTCTGAGCATTTAACTTTGGAAGATCGTGTAGTGAAACAAGTAGAGTACTATTTCAGGTAAGTTGTTTCTTTTGGTAGTTCATTGTCTCTCGTGTAGCTCCACACCTGCTTGTGCTGGACCAAATTGGACCTAATTTTGTGAACTGGTGTTCAGCATGAGCCACCCCCTATTTTGTCCTACCCAGATTGTAAGATATGTATGAACTTAATCGTCCCAAATCTTATAATTTTTCCTATATTTCGTAGTACGACCTTGCTTTTCCTTATCATGCACATGTCCCAACCCATGTAGCCCATTTCCTCTAGTCTGTACTTCGATGCAGTCTCTAAATTTTATCTTCTTCCAATTAAAAATAAACTATTACAGCTTTTAAATGGAGGAGATCTACTCACACTCTTAATTCTAACTGTGCATGTAGATTCTTAAGAATGCTGGTAAATTCAAGAACTGATTCATGTCGTCCACATAAGCAAAGACAATATGTTATTTGAACCTTGAATAGAAGTTTGAATTCAATCTTTTTTTCTTGTTTTCCGAATCTTTCACTGCCACAACTGGATTGTTAAGTTGCCTCAGTACTACCACTTCTTTGTGCTGATTACATTATGCCTTTGATTGCAGTGATCAAAATCTGCAGACTGACAGTTTTTTGGTGTCCTTAATGGATGCACAAGGATGGGTCTCAATATCAGCTATTGCTGACTTTAAGAGGGTGAGATTCATTTGACGCTTCTGTTTTTCTTTTTCTTTTTCTGGTAAAGATAGTGTGCATGTGCTGTTGCGCTGCTGTTTGGATATAGAATGTTTATGCTGCATAAACTTCACATTTCAGATTTATATGCTCATGCCTCCCCATTTTGCTGCATTTTCAGTTGAAAAGAATGACTACGGATGTAGCACTTATACTTGATGCACTACAGAGTTCTAATGCAGTGGAAGTACAGGTTTGGCTCATTCTAACTTCTTAGTTCTGAAGTTGGGTTTTCCAGTTGGTTCCAGATTCATGGGTCTTATAATACTGTGTCATTGTTGCACGATGACTCAAGTCAGTGATCTCTCTGTGTTTTAAATTTAATTCATAAATTGACCTTTTATTTGTCAGTTTACTCCAATGGACCTCCTAAAATCCCATGCTTCTATTGCTACTGCATGTGGCCATATTTGTAGGGAAATTACATATCCACTTTACCATCTTCCATATGCTCTGCCCCTTTGAGCCATTAATATATTACCTTGACAGGCTGACAAGGTCCGGAAACGTGAGGGGTGGTCAAAATGGGTTCCACAATCAGTTATGAAGGCAACAGAGTTGAAAGATCATACTGCTGATGGCCAGATTCTAGGGAAGGCTCATGGAGATAATGCAGGAGAAGCCTCTTTAAAGGACAATGAATACCTATCAGATGCCACTGCTTCAGTGGCTAACAATTCGGCGAATGTAAATGATCCTGAGACTGTGCTTTCTGGTCATATAGAAGGCAGTAACAGATCTACTGTGTCGGAGACAAAGAACCGAGAATTTGAGAATAGGAATGAGCCTCCAATTTCTTGTGGTAATGAAGGATCAGAGATGCCGATGTCGTTGCATATTGATGAGCAGAATCTTGGAGATCTTTCGAGTGATTTTGCCAACACATTTATGCTGGATGAAGAGCTGGAGCTTGAACAGAAAGTGCTGAAAGTTGATTGTTCTTCTCCACGCAGGAGGTATTCAGTTCTCTTTATTATCTTATGCTCTTCAGGCTAACAATTTTTTTTTTCTCAGTGGAGATTTCACAATATCAATAGTGCATTGTATTTGCATTATACATGATTTTGTAGAACTGCTTGCTCCCAACATATATATATATTTACTTTTGCATGACACCATGTTATGCAAGGAGTTGTGTTTCCATGTTTCACTTGTTTTCCATCAATAATATAAAAGTGTGTATCTTCTATTTGTGATGTGTTTCACTTGTTTTCCATCCATAATACAAAAGTGTGTATCTTCTATTTGTGATGGATGTGATTGATGGCTAAAACTGACTGATTGGCCTCATGGACGTAGGATGTATTCTCGAAACCCCCTTTCTTGACAATGCTTCTTGAAGTCAGTAGCTTTCATGCATCTTATATTGCAATGTATGGATCGTTAAGATGTCTAGTATGGCGATCTCTCATGATGACGTCCAGCCACTGTTTGTGATGAGCAAATAATGCTTGTTGGAATTTCATCACGCAGAACTGGTGTGCCTGATTAAAAAGTTCCCTTGGTGCCAATTATATCCGTATCTGAGTGATTAAGATGTTCGTTTTCTCTTTCTAACCTCACAACCATAACGTATTCCAGGGATGACGATGATGATGAGACGATAGTGAGTGATCAGGATGTTCACAGACTTGTAATTGTCACCCAGGTACTTCTGTTTGTGAATATATTTTCCTTTTGTCAAATCCTTGGTACCAACCATTTTTAGCAATTCAATTTTCTCATTGCAAACTGTTGTAACTGGTAACACAGTCAATAACTAATTTAGAGAAGATGAAGTGAATTTCTTCTTCGGACGAGGTCTCCACATTCTTTACGTGAATGCAGATTGTTTTGGCTTATTTCTACGAACGTGTTGTTTTTCATTGTACCTGGTTTTTCGCATAGAACTGGGACCACAACTATTTAAGTTTTGGAACTATTTTCTACAGAATAGTACCTTAGATGGAGAATCAAAACCTGATGGTACGGAATCAAAACCCATTTCAAATGAGCTTGCTTCTGCGATAAACGATGGTCTCTATTTCTATGAGCAGGTTGGAATTCTTACACAAGAAAATGGATTATTCAGTGTTGGTTGATATTCAGCACTCTGGCAGTTTTCTCGATTCTTACATCTTAATTTTCATGTGGTTATTATTACTGTAGGAGCTCAGAGCTAAGCGTAGCAATCGGAAGAAAAATAGTTCTAGTTATGAGGCTAGAGATGGTAACTTTAGATCTACAAATAACTCTCCTGGAGTATCAAATTCAAGGACTGCTGCTGGAAGTCCGGGAAGTAATGCTCACGAGGACTCTCGAAATGGCATTAATATCAAGAAACAGAATAGAAATCCATCAAAGCAAAATTTGTCTAATAAGCAAAGATTCTTCTCGGGACGTAAAGCTTTTGGGGCCATATCTGAAAGCCCGCCTAGTAAATCAGTTGGATTTTTCTTTAGTTCTACGCCTCCTGAGAACCATGGGTGAGGTTAATTTATCATTTTATGGTATTTGAGCTATATTTGCATTGGCAACATCATCCTAGCCTTTCACAATATCAGTTGGATGGGGGAAAACAGTGGTGTCTAATTTGTTTGAAATCCTTTCTGGTTGATACTGTATTGATGAAGGTATTGATTTTGATTTGCAGGCCCAGGTCCTCGAAGTTAAGTGTTTCGCCTCACAGTAATCTTTCAGGCAGTAGCCCGCCAGTTGGTTGCACGCCAAAGTCATTTCCTCCTTTTCAACATCCTAGTCATCAGCTTTTGGAAGAAAATGGCTTCAAGCAGCAGAAGTAAGGCTGTAGTTTTTGGTATATGCTAGTTTGTGAGTGATGTATGTGGTTGTCTTTGTGGGTCATGAAAGGGTTACTTATCTTGGTTATGTATCGTTAGGTACCTGAAATATCATAAACGATGCCTTAATGACAGGAAAAAGATGGGTATTGGTTGCAGTGAGGTATATATCTCTGAACTATTCATCTAGATTTGCATAAAAGTGATAGGTATATGAATAATCCATTTTTGCGTGGAGCAAACCTTTTTCCCCCTTGGTTTAGTAGCGGGATCCTTAGTTGTGCAAACTTTAAGCCCGCTATGGAGATGCAATGGATGGGTTAGTAGGCACTAGGCAGCGAGGAGAGCTTATATTAGTTGTTACATCTGCTGATATTGCATCCTTAATTATCATTTCGAATAATCATATTGGGGACACTCGTCTTATCAGCGTGATCTCGCTCATGTTTGCAACTAATTGCCGTCAAGGCAACACCTTTCTGATGGATAGTGGGGACATCGCTACCTTTCTATGCAGGAAATGAACACATTATACAGGTTTTGGTCATTTTTCCTGAGAGACATGTTTGTCCCTTCGATGTACAACGAGTTCCGTAAACTTGCCCGTGAAGATGCTGAAGCCAATTATAACTACGGGATGGAGTGCCTTTTCAGATTCTATAGGCATGGTTACTTAACAAGTTAATTCCCTTCATCTCGTAGTTTGAGATGGGCGCTATCTTGATTTTACATGGTTGATTGATCATGGTTTGTTCCTTCTCACTTTTCAGTTATGGTCTAGAGAAGACATTCATGGAGGACGTGTACAAGGACTTTGAAGAACTCGCTCTTGATTCCTACCGCAAAGGAAATCTTTATGGCCTTGAAAAGTACTGGTATGAAGGCGTTACATTCCTCTTTGCCTGGTGGTTTCAGTATGCTGCCTTTCAACTTCTAGTAGTATGGAAATGTTCCTGAGTCTGCGATTCTACCATTTGCTTTATTAAAAATCAGGGCATTCCACCATTACCGGAGCAGCAAAGAGCCGCTGAAGAAAGACCCCGAACTGGATAGGTTGTTGAGGGAAGAATACCGTAGTTTGGAAGACTTCCGCGCCAAAGAGAAGGCTGCCGCCAACGACAGCTAGTGGGGAGTTCTGGTTGCTGGTCATGTTTCTCCCAATTTTGAAGAGCAATGCTAACAGAAAGAAAGTAAAGAGTTGGGGGGCTTGCTTTTTGCCTTCTCTCAGGCAGAAAAAGAATGCATCTTTGCCCTCTCTCTCTCTCTCTCTCTCTCATTTTTGTATATGTAAACTGCCCTTTGGGGTGGTATGGAGAGAGGTATGGTGGTCAGCCTGTGTCTGAGAGTTCCTGTCTGAGGAATTTTTTGGTCTGTTAAATTGATTTTTTTCTCTTTTATTTTGTTGCCTTTATCTTGACTGAGGCCAGAAGTTCACTGTCTGTTCTTTTGCCTCAGCAAGCCCTCCCCACAAAATGGTCTAACTTGTACATAGCAGGGGGAAAAGAAAAGAGGAGAAAAAGGCAGAATGGGGGGATTTTAATTTTATTGACCTTGTGAAAATTGTGAACAATAAGATTCTTCTTGTTAAGGCCAAGTCATTTATTATGTACTTTATACTATACAGTTTTCGTTTTAAGAGTTAAGTTATGAGTTTATCTATGTATATGAATGGCGCGGAGACTACTGCTTCTTCGATTAGTTCTGAATAGTTGATTCTGTAGTTCTCTGATAATCGAACTGGCAGATTATTCATTCAATGGTATGAATCAATGATAAAAACATGTTGATTATATCGACAGATTAAAAGTGGCTAAACTAGTTAAGACTGAGAACACTATGTGCGAGGGTGACAATTGAATTGGATTCGTGTTACGGCATGTACTGCCCGAAGCGCAGCCAGCACCGACCTTCATAGCGAGCTCCTCCAAGGGTATTCTTTTTGCATCCCCGGACATACGGCAGCGCGTCGGAGAGACACGCCGTGCAATCACCGGGAGTGACGCCGGCGTAACAAGTGGCGACGGCCCAGGCGGCACCGTGGGCTTGGGCCGGACTGAAGTTCGAACACTCGACGTCGTTGCTCTGTGCCAGCCCTGGATTTTGGTAACCGGAAGCCGCATTCTGCACAACGTAATTCAGCGCATTCTCGACGTAGCTAGGGAACTCCGCCGCGTGGAACCACGGCCTATCCGTGCCGCAAAATGACGGCGACGCACCGGAACCGGCCAGAAAATGGGACAGTAAAATTAGTGTGATAATACGAATTACTGCCATGGTTAAGGACTCGAGATCTCTTGGGGGATTATGTTTAGTTAATAAGATGGATGGATACCGCTCTCTCTTCTTATATATATATATATATATATATATATATGCAAAACAAAAAGTACTATGCTTTGTTATGTCCTTCCGAATAATTTCGCCGGCGAAGCCAGAAACTTCAGGCAAGAAGATTGGCAGTATTAGTATTAGCTAGAACGTATATGATCAGGATACCTTTTTTTGGTATTTTTGTTTTTTTCCGGCGAAGATTCTAACATACGTACGCTCCGGCGGAGGGAACGAAAACGACGGCCGGCTGATGGGGGCATACTATGTAATGTCTTATTGTGTCGGAAATGTGATCGGCTGGCTTCCGGCCGGGATAATTAAACAAGTGCTTGACGGCTATTTTGTGGGGTATGATGGATGACGTATCTTGCTTAAAAGGTAATAAAAAACTAAAAATCGTAATTAGTAAAGAAAATATTTACTTCTTGCTTTTTGCTTGCCATAAAATTATTTATTTATTACATTAAAATAAAATCCTCGATGAAATAATTCATATTATGGAAAAATGATACACATAATTTTAACTTCTGCCTTCGCCACTACCGATGGTCGTCGTCCCTTTCGTTCCTTCTTATTCTTTGACCTCATTTTTTTCTCTTTCTCACTACGCAGCGACGGCTAGTCTCTGTAACGTCATATATTGGACCTTAGGTATCGCCAAACGAGGAACAACTGATCACCATGGATGGAAAACGATGTGTTGAAATATAGAGATCCCAACAACTGGTTATTAGTGAATCAAACAGAATTATTGTCACAATCTGATCAATTAGTTAACTATTCATCATCAAAGATGCCAACATTATTCCTGGGAGAAAGGAGTCCAGATTGTTGTGATTGCAAATGTCGAGGAAGGTATACCAAGCTCTTTTTGTTGTCATTGCTTGTCTAAGAGATCATCCCTAAATCAAGCAGCAGTTAAAATCAGTGATATAAAAAAACATAAATGTAAACACAATGGGTAAATGAATGGATCAAAAAATAGAGTAATATTTTTAATAGCTAAACAAAAAATATAACTTTACAAAGTAAATAATGACAATGTATAGAATACACGCGATCGATTACGTCAAAAACTTCCTCCCGCGCGGCGAGCAACAATTGAATTGGATTCGTGGATTACGCGAAAGCTATGGCATGTACTGCCCGAAGCGCAGCCAGCACCGACCTCGATAGTAAGCACCTCCAAAGGTCTGCTTCGTGCATCGCCGGACAAGCGGCAGCGCGTCGGAGAGACACTTCGTGCAGTCGTCGGGAGGGACGCCGCGGTAGCAAGTGGCGGTGGCCCAAGCGGCGCCGTGGTTTTTGGGCCGGATTGTAGTTCGAACAGTCGACGTCGGTGCCCTGTGCCGCCCCTGGATATTCGTAACCGGAAGCCGCATTCTGCACCACGTAATTCAGAGCGTTCTCCACGTAACCGGGGAACTCCGACGCGTGGAGCCACGGCTTGTCCGGGCCGCAAAATGGAGCGGCGGCGGCGCTAAGAAAATGGGACAGTAGTAGAGCTGCTAGCGTCGTGATAATTCGAACTGCCATGGTTAAAAGGGATCGAGCTCTTGGGGGGATTTATATGTTTAGATAACAAGATGTATGGATTATGGATGCCCTCTGTTCTTATACGCAAAAACTATGCTCTGTTTTGTCCTCTCTGTTTTTTCGAATAATTTCTCCGGCCAAACCAGAATCTTCATGCAAGATTGGAACCTATGAGGATACCATTTTTTGGTTTATTTTTGTGTTCGGGAAAATGTGATCAGGGAGGCTGGCTTCCGGCGGTGATAATTAGGTAAAGTGTTTGACCGGTATTTTGTTGGGTATTATATAATAGATGACGTTTCCTCTGCTGATTCATAAATCATATAATCGTACAAAGCACATTGAGATTTCTATTCACTATGTTCGGGATCTCGCGTTTGGTGATGGTACATTATCTAAGGGGTGGACGTTCGGTTACCGGTTAAACCGATAATCGGTCGGTTATCGACTAACCGGTAACTGAAGTAACCGAACTTCGGTCGGTTATCGGAAGCTAGACGAAATGGTTTTTGGTCTTAAAATTGGGTCGGTTAACTGATAACCGAGATAACCGAGAAACCGAAGCCTATTTCGGGCGGTTTTCAGTAGGGGGAGTGGTTATTTCGGTTAACCGATAACCGGCCGATCGGTTATCGGTTATAACCGAAATAACCGAAATGCCACCCCTACGATTATCTCTTTCATTATGTTCGTACCGAAGATCAAATGGCTTGTATTTTTATACAAAGGCCTTTTTTTCTGTGCTCTGTTATGTTGTCGTAGTTAGGTTTCTTCCCAACGATTTTAACGGCAAAGTCACAGATTCTTCGATCTTTCATTCATTTGTAGTTTCTCAATTTCTTTTGGAGAATGCGTACGATGCATGCGCTCTGGTTCCCGGCGGCCGGCTGATGGAGACACGTCCTTTTTGTCGCAAGATTGGCCATGCCTACAAACGTAAGATTTTAGTTTTTTCTAATGCAACTTTTTTTTTTTAAAGTTATTGGTGTTTAACTCTCTATATTTGTCTAAGGTAGGGTATCATTTTTGTTTTTCTTTTGTTTAAGTTGAATATGTCGAAAGAAGCTGACTAATGGTGTGATAAGGTGAAAGATGTATATATATATATATATATATATATATATATATATATATATATATATATATATATATATATATATATATATATATATTAGATTCATAAGGTTTAGCATGATTTCTAACATGTTATTAGGTCCAAACTCCAAAGATTCGTAAAATGAACTAACGTATGATCAAAATCAAGAAGGATGAGAAGATGTATATATATTGGATTCGTAAGGCCAAGTGGCTAACGTATGATCAAAATTAAGAAGGACGAGAAGATTTACCCATAGAAGCAGAAAGGCTAGCAATAGTTGCACGACAAAAATTAATAGTAGTATCGAATGAAGAGTCATGGAGGGTCTAAATTAGATTCGTAAGGTTAGCATACGATTCCTAAATTGTTGCATCAACATATTGTCATTATTGCCCAAAGAATCGCAAAATGTCCTAGGTCAGATGACTAAAGATATAGATGAAAATCAAGGAGGACGAGAAGATTTACTCGTAGAAGCAGCTAGGCTAGCAAGAGTTGCACAACAAAAGTTATTAGTAAAATCAAATGAAGAGTCAAGGGAGAGAGTCTAATGAGTAGATTACTCATGCAATGGCATAAGCTACTATGTTTGTGGAGTAACATGATATGATTAAAAATAAATACAAACAATATTCTGCTAATACTGTTTGTTGCATTGCAATGCCGGGAGTCGAACCCGGGTCTATTGTTTGGAAGGCAATTATTGTTAGAAACCGAACAGAAAATTTAGGGTTACCGAATCTGGATGAGTCGCGGACTAGGTCGCTCTCTTTAAGACGTTCGCGGCACTGCCTCGTATTGCGCACAGCAGACTATCAACCGGTCGCCTCCAAGATAAAACAGTCATTCTGATTTGTTACTCATCGGTTTTGTGCGAAAACCGGAGCTCTATGAACTCACTCTCTCTCGTGTTTATGCTCTCTCTGCTTTACTTTAGGGTTAGGCAACTCATCTGTTTATAAAGGATGAGACCTTCAGCCTTCCCCTCTTGGTGGAGTATTTGAGAATCTTCTTTAGGAAGGAAATCAAGAGTAATAACTCCTGATTAGACCTTTCTTTAATGCAGACAATTAACCCGATTGATAAAAGTTTCCTTTAGTACCAGAAATCAATCCAATTGATTGAAACTTTCCGTTAGTATGGGCAATTGATCTGATCATGAAAGATTCCTTCAATATGGAAAATCAATCCAATTGATTGAACTTTCCGTTAGTTCGGTCAATTAATTCTGATTGAAGAAACGTTTCCTTCAATACGGAGAATTAATCCGAATTAACTACACTTACTTTTTTCAAGGACTTTCCTTTAGGTTTTTTCAAACTATTCACATTTCTCAACAATTATCCTAATTACGTGACAAATGGGCTCGACATGGAAGACAATTGTTTGAAAATACCGGCCCAATGGGCCAGGCAGCGAGGCTTACCAATGGCCCAATTCCCATTGTCCTAACATGTCCAGATCATATAGACACGTCAACGTTGAAAAATCAACGTGACCGCCCCGGCACTCTCCCAGCCCCAGTGGACCCCACCACATTCCCACCAAAAACAAGAATAAAAAATTAAGAAAACGAATAAAAACTTAAAACTCTTTTCCGATTCGTCAAATAACGCTGCCATTTTTCCTCCATCTTCCTCCTCAATTACGCATAAAGAAGAAAAGGGAATTTCAATTGGAAAGTCCGGAACGGCGACCACCACGAGGAAGAGGAACTGCCACCCACGACGGCCGGCGGCGAAGTCGACGATGGTTGCGGTGGCGCTGAACCAGATGTTGGTGGTGGCGGCGGCGGCTTCCCCAGCTGTGACTGCTTTTTCGTGGAGGAGCTGTTTCACTCTGCTTTTCCCACTCCTCTTCGTTGCCTCCTTCACCTTGGCTGCTGCCGCTGGCAGCGTCCCGGGAGCCGGCAACGGAGTTTTCAGCGTCAAATACCGCTACGCCGGTATGCAGCGCACTCTCAGTGACCTCAAAGCTCACGACGATCGCCGCCAGCTCCAAATTCTCGCCGGCGTGGATCTTCCGCTCGGTGGTACTGGCCGTCCCAACGGCGTCGGGTGCGTTTGGAATTCTCTACAATTTTCTTGGATTTCGCTTCATATGTCCGTTTCTCAATTTCAGGATTGAGTTTCAATTTGCGCTTTGTTTCCTTCTCAATTCTGTTCAATTTTCCTTGGGGAATTCCGCAGGCTTTACTATGCCAAGATTGGAATTGGGACGCCTTCGAACGATTACTATGTGCAAGTGGATACGGGAAGTGATATCATGTGGGTCAACTGTATTCAGTGCAAAGAGTGTCCTAGAACAAGTACACTTGGAGTATGCCTTTACAAATTCCCTCTTCTTCTGCCTAAGTTTGCTTCTTCCTTGCTCTGGGTTTCTGCTTAAGTTAGTCGCTTTTCCCTTTGGCAGATAGATCTCACTCTGTATGATATAAATGAGTCGGCTTCTGGGACCTTGGTTACCTGTGATCAAGAGTTTTGCTCGGAGGTTAATGGCGGCCCATTGTCAGGATGCACTGCAAATGTGACCTGTCCATATTTAGAGATATATGGGGATGGGAGCTCCACTGCAGGATACTTTGTCAAGGATGTTGTGCAGTATGACACAGTTTCTGGAGACCTGGAAACCGCCTCAGCAAATGGAAGCGTGATATTTGGGTAAGCTACTTAGCTTACTTCTGTTTATCTACTCCAATTGGAGAGTCAAGAGCTCTGAAGCTTAGCTAGCTGATCAGTCCTCGCTCGAATTTATAGTACTAGTTGTTTTAACTTGTTAATTGATAATAGCTTATGTGCTGTACACTTCTTGTATTCGGGGTTTCCATTTTCTTGTAGTTCTGCTTGTCCAATGTGTGTGACTGTTTTCTCTTTCATGTGCATCCAATGAGCTATAGGTGTCTCTATAGTTTTTCCTTTGCATTGTTCCATGTTGCTTCATTCATTCTTTCCTTTTGTGTATCTTATCTAGTTTCTTTTCTGAAATGTTCTTTATGTGTCTCTCGGTTTCCCTCCAAAATCTCTATCTTTGCTCATTTTCTTTGTTATTTTCAGTACATGGTTATGTCGTCTAGCTTTGTGGTTCTGGATGTTCTTTGACAAGACTAGATTTATCCATGATAGATGTGGTGCTAGACAATCAGGGGATCTGGGCTCATCTACTGAAGCAGCACTTGATGGGATACTTGGATTTGGAAAAGCCAATTCATCAATGATTTCTCAGTTGGCTAGTACTGGAAGAGTGAAAAAGATATTTGCTCACTGCTTGGATGGTGAAAACGGGGGTGGTATTTTTGCTATTGGGCATGTTGTGGAGCCACGAGTTAATACGACACCGATCATACAAGACCAGTGAGTGGTTACAGTTCCACTTAGCAAAACTTATCTTTGTTTGCCACTTCTAAAGTCTGGTTGCTTTTGGTAGTTGTTCTTTGATTTTGTCTTACATTCCCAGCTGCCATGGGTCTCTGTGAATGCAATTTAATATGAGAGGCTCTATCTTGATGCTAAAAAATGCAGGCCCCATTACAATGTCAATATGACAGCTGTTCAAGTTGGTCACGATATGCTAAACCTTTCAGCAGAGGTATTTGATGCTGGGGAGAAAAAGGGGGCAATCATTGATAGTGGTACTACACTGGCCTATCTCCCAGAAATGGTTTATACGCCTTTGGTAACCAAGGTAAGGGAATGAAAAAGGCTTGTACAATGCGGAGGTTCTAGTTTGTGTAATTTGCCTGACTCATTGATCTTGTTTCTTTCATAGATAATATCTGAGCAACCTAATCTAAGGGTTCAAACTGTACACGATGAATATACATGTTTTCAGTATTCTGGAAGGTAAATATAACTTGGCACAATATTTCTGGTTCTTCATACTTAGTCCATGAACTAGTTTGAGTTGGAAATGGACTGCATGGAAGAAATATGGTAAAATGTTTGTGATTTGTTGCTTACTAAGTCTTTCGATTAGTTTCAACTTCTCTTCTAGCTTGAATGCATCACCATTTTGATTTATCCATAATTGTCCTTCGCTAGAATTTTCCTCAATTTTGTTTCATATCCCATTGCAGTGTGGATGATGCATTTCCAAATGTGACTTTCCATTTTGAAAATTCACTCTTACTGAGGGTGTATCCACACGAATATCTGTTCCCTTTTGTAAGTATACCACTCTGTAAACTTGTGAAGGCATTTTTATCCTCTACCGTTTCTGGCTCTTTTCTATTCTGCCACTTGTAGAATCACTGTTGTTAGTATAGCTTCACCCAAAGGGTTCTGGCCAACCAGCAAACTCCACCACAGGACAGGGCTTCTAAGAAACTGGCATAATCCTTTAAATATAACCTGTAAACCGTGTTTAGGTTCTCAGCTCACTAATGAGCTCTTAATCGCTTACGACTTCAGATGGCTTTTCCATTTTATCCCCCTTGTTGATACTTTAACTTATGATATCTTCGTTACTGCCCGATCTCTTTGATACAAATCTAATACATGCAGGAGGGCTACTGGTGTCTTGGTTGGCAAAACAGTGGGCTGCAATCCAGGGATAGAAGGAACATGACTTTGTTAGGAGGTATAACGACTGCATCTAAACATTTCTATGTTATTGGGCTGTTACTATATTAGGATTAATCTCACAATTCTACAGCAAGCTGTGGGTTCAGATCCTTAGATGCCAATTTCCTTTGTTTTCCATCCCCAGTCTTCGTTACCCAAACATGATGCATACCCAAGTCCCCTAAAGGATCAGCAGCTACTGTCATTTACTGATTATGCATCTGCTGCATGATTATTTTCCAAATCATAGTTTGGTGTCAATTGTGATTATTCTTTATTCATGTACTTGCAGATTTAGTGCTCTCAAACAAACTAGTGTTGTACGATCTTGAAAACCAAGCCATTGGATGGACAGAGTATAATTGTGAGTCTATACTTCACTTCTCTTCCTTTCATTTTGGTTGACTCGTCTTTACTTACTCGAGTTTCCTGAGTATTGCTTTTAGTGTTACTTATTCCTTGTGTTCTGTGGTTGGTTTCAGGCTCGTCGACCATTACCGTGAAGGATGAAAAGACCGGAACAGTACATTTAGTGGGATCCCATACTATTCCATCCTCTGCATCCAATTTTCGTGCAGAATGGGCCGTAGTACTCTTGTTGCTAAGTACATTGCTGCTATAGCAAGTTCCCTTCTGGTACTGCTGCAACTTACACGAGACATTGCTGGTAATGCAAGATAAAGACAAACTTTCTACTGAGGAGATTTGATTAGATAAAGGTAGAAGATAGTGTTTTCTCCCACACCTTGACTTTGGGTAAATATTTTGTTCGTACAATGTAAGTTGTGGGGGGCTTTTATAGTGAGAGCTTACTACAGCTAGGCTTTGGTAATTAGTGTAAATAGAGTCAGGTTTGATCACATTGGCCTAGGAGGTCATTCTGGTGAACAAACTATCAGATCATTTGTATGTAGCTGGTGAATGCTTGATAGATAAATAGATCTCCTTTTCTCATCTACATCTTTGCCTTGACATTCTGCATACAAGGAACTTCGGTATAATTCGCTATCTAGTTTGGATTGGGTACGAGTTCCTCGAAATCGTTCGTGGCAATGATCCATATCCAGTAGCTATTCAGAACATGGCTCTCAAACAGGTTTTGTGCTGGCATGTCCATCTCTCACTTCCACCATCTTCTTTGTACGTTCGAAACGTTATGTTGAATGGTTTAGTTTCAGGGCGAGGGGTGAGAAAACAACAGCTCCTGACTATACTAAACAGGGTGGTTGAAGGGAAGTTCATGGTGAAAGTTGTGTGCATTTTGTGCTGGCATGTCCATCTCTCTCTTACCCATCCCAGTTACGCTACTATGCCCATGAGATGCGAGTGGCATTCAGAACGTGCCGACGCCTTTGGATCACCGATAGCAGGTTTGGAACCAACCATAAGGTTGATGCAATGTCACTCTTTCAGTGCATAAGATCCATCGGCTGCAAACCAGCAATAGGGCGATCTAAATGCAGCTGCAGATGCTAATCATCCCCAAGTCAATATAGTAGCCAGATTCCTATGCATAAGCACCAACTAAAGTGAAACCTAAAGCAGTATGAAGCTAAAAATATGAGTATTTGATGAAACAAACATCCAGACTTGTGTAAGTAAAAGGAAATGCTCTTTAGAAATGTGGAAGTCCAATCGCTGTAACAAGAAAGTTACTACAATGTCAACAACATATGGGAACAATAACATGGCCACTTAAGAAGAAGAACTGACGAGACAGCAGCCATGGTTGCAATCTGCACAAATCTTCCAATCCAAAGAGAATGAAGAAAGATGAAAACAACAAAGAAAGCTGAGGAGAACCTCCAAATTAAAAAGCAGAGGCCACAATCAAAATCTACAGATTTTCCCCCACCCCCAAATCAACAACCCATTCACTCCTCAGTCCTCGTTCGTGACAAAGAGATCAACGACAGTGACAAAACTCAAGAAAACTCAGCGACGGACTTCATAGATCATACAACAGACTTATTACCCTCCCAAAATCTACTACAAGTCCTAGAAAACAAAACAAATAAAAAAGATTTAGACTGGTTTGCCACCTACCCGACTGACCAAAAAAATTACTGAAATAGATGGAACCCTTCATCCCTCTGAAACTCAGCAACCCAAACACCCTTTACCTCCACATTCTCTTGTGTTTTCCTTTCTTCTTTTGGCTAGCAGATGAGAGAAACTTATTTACAGTACAAGGTGGAAATATCTCTGGACAAAATGGCCAGAGATACCACAAACAAATGAAAAAATTCAGGAAGCGCCTCAAAAAGGTGGCAACTCATATCCACAATTTCTAGCATATTGATGATCATCATATCTAGACAAGAGAGAGGATGTATGTAATCAGTCCATCGACGTTGATACCTTCTTGGCACTGGATGAGCCAAGGAAGAGGCAGACGGCAGCACAATCATCTGTTTTTGATGTGGGATACTTAGTCCTCCAAGCCCGATGAGCTAAGTCAACCAATGTTTGAGCTGCACTCGAATGTGGGACAGACCCCACTATCCCCACAACCTCATCATTTGTCAAAACATCCCATACACCATCAGTAGCCATTACAACAAACTCATCGTCATCTGTGATACGATGGTGTGAAATCTCAGGAACCGCAATCAAGCCAAAGTCCTTCAGGCAGAAATCACCAAAAGCACGGGCCATAGCCAGACCAGGTGAGTTGTTGTTCGGAAGCCAGATTCTAGCAACATCCGGTTCGCTTGGAAGAGCGAACACCCGTCCTTTGCATGATCTGATCCTCTCTGCTTCTCCTGAATGATAAAGCAGCACTCCAAATTTGATATTCATGTTCTTCCTTACAAACATTCTATATTTAGCACGGGCCATGTAAAAAAACTGCCAAAATAGGACAATAATCTAAACTAAAAAGAATCAATAAATTGTGGAACCACCTAATTATTCCCATCTTTCTTCATTTAAATATTTTTTCAATTCAATGAAAAAATATATATTTTGCGCACACTTCCACTTTTACTATTTACTTGGAAGGGAAGGGAAGGGAAGGGAATGCAAGAGAGACATACTTGGGAGAGAAGGTTTGAGATCTTCAGTCAACTGAACTGCAAAGAGGGAGTTGTTTTTATCTCTTGTACCCAACACAGCTCTTGAGTCGCCAACATTGCCAATAACAAGATCCCGCCCCTACAATGGCAGATGAGAGGGTCATGTTCATATCAACAGGAAGCTAAATCTGTGAATTTACAAAAAGGATGGAAAACGAGGGAAATGTGTGTTGATTGCTACCTGCTTGATCACAGTCACTGCTGTTGTCCCACTGCAGTAGCAATCAATATAAGGATGCACCTGCAGTTCTTTGTCCATAGCCTTGAAGGCCTTCAAAAATGAGTCTTTAAATGTCAAAAAAATGTCTGTCTGCACGTCCTTTTTCCCATTATCTAGGTTTTCCGTCGGCGATTCTGATTGAAATGAAATGAGTGAGCACTCTGCTAATGCATTCCTTCCAACAGTATTACCACTCATAAGGCCAAGCTCACCGCTGGTACAATCTAGTTCCCACTGTGCTCTCAGTTTTAAAGGCAGAGAGTCCCTCACTTTCTTCGCAACAAGATGACCACTGGGACCATGCCCATCAAAAACACCACAGAATATTGTGTCTTCATTGGGGCCGAAATTCTGAAAAGGCAGATACATCCGACATAAAAATTCTGAAACTAATTCAAGACTCACATTCTTCAACAGGTAAATTAGTAGATACACACCATGAAGTCAACCAATCACCAGAGAATAAAGCAAGAAGAAATGCAAATAAGCTCAAGTATCGTTATCACCAAATACACCGTACATGTACAAGCTTAGTAACTTTCTCCCCCATCCTTTTCGCACCGTATCAACAGAATCAAGTAGTCTAGCACCAAGCCAGGCTATATAGTTAACTGGGTTGCCACAATATGGATTACAGTTCCCTTCCATTCCACATCCCATCGAGTCAAGGAATGATGAGAAAATGTTTCCTAGTGAGGAAGGGATGTGGCAAACTTTCTTCCCAGTTAAGCACAGAGGACAAATTTACATGTTATGCAATTGACATAAAACAGATGCAAGCATAAGGAAAGGAAACAAGCCAGCATGATCATTACATGCCACCGCCAAAATAGCAATGACAAAAAAGTCGAAAATATGCAAATAGGTGATATCAATGCAATAAGATATAGGTGCGCAGCATCATGCTTATCAAAGTAGCCCACGGAAAGCCTCTCAAATGTCAATAATAAGATGTCAATCTTCCTTAGGAAAGCTTCTTGTTGGACCATTTACGAGGGATTCTGCTTATTTTCAACTGTTCCCGCCGTGATATGGCAAGAACTAGCATCTACTGCGTAATCATGAGTTGATCCATAACTTGGGAAAAGTTGCTGATCTGAAAGTTAAAACCTTTAGCGATCTATGCTAAATAATATCAGAACAGACATAGATCATAGATAAACTTGCAGTGAAAGCAAGTGGTCCAATCATCATTCTGCCAAAGAGGAAAGGTAACTTTAAAGGAAACCCAAAAACAATATCCAAACATTCTGCCCATAGCTACCAGCACCCAATTAGCATCTGCGATTACATTTGAGCATCCCACAAAAAATACCCAGGTAGAAGATTGATAAAGACCAGGGGAAAATGAGAGAAATGGAAGGCAAGCTGACCTCCCAGAAAATCATGGCATCCTGATTGACCCCTTTCTTCCCAGCCTTAGTAAACAGCGACGCAAATTCCGACGAGCTGTTCAAGAACAACCTCCCCGGGATCCTATGCAACCACAACTCCAGCTTCGAATCACTCCTCTTCATCATCGTCTGCCTCTTCTTCCTCCGCCTCGCCGCTTCCGCGTTGCTCCCGGAAGATTGCCGGGAGCCGCTGCCGCCGCCGCGAGAACCTTCATCGGTGAAGCACGACGTACCGAACGCCCTGGCTATGCTCATGAAACAATCCACGCCCATGGAACAGGCCGGATCCCTCCCGACCTTCTCCACCTGCATATCCGCCGTCCGGTTGTCAATCTCCTCCAGCTTATATCCCCCCGCCAATCTCAAATCTCCCGCGAACCTTCTTCCCAATTTCCCGATCACCACAACCACCACCTCCAAGTCACACAACCGAAAGGGAGAATCCGCCGCAGGCGAAGTGGAAATGAATAAGAATTGGATCCAATCCGGCAGAGGATATGATGATCCGCTAAAGAGGGAATGGATTGACGGCCACCGGTGGAGAGGAAATCGGATTCGCTTTTGAGGACGGAGAATTTTCCTTTGGCGTGTTTTTCCTTTTTTTGGGTGTAAAGTGGGAAGCTTTTTTTTTTTTTTTGTTCTGATTTGGGGATTGGAAGAAGTAGCGATTGGGGAAGATATTAAATAATATTAAAATAAATCATTTAATATTTAAACAAGGGAGGAATTGGACATGAATAGGATAGGATTTGCTGTGTAAATGGTTTTTTTATTTGTGGAATTATGGATAAGAATTAGGTTTTATTGTTTTGTTTTTTGGGGTTTTATTGGAGTTTTTTAAGGGAATTAGTTATGATCAATTCAACTAATTCATGATTAATCAATACGCTTATCTCGGCTAATCCTCTTTGAGATAAAACGATCTCGATATTAGACAAGGAAAATATACAATCAGCAGTTAATTACTATTATGAATCTGTTTTAGGGAATCGATTAAAATGAAAATCACCATATGTCGTGGGAGTGTAAAAAAAACATAGGTTTAGATTCAAGTAATCAAGTGGTTCTGATTTTAAGTATTAATGGTCACTTCTATATTACTTCGATAGATTGGTGATTAGTGATCACCGTCCATCGACAAAAATGTTAAGTATATTCAGCTTCTTTTTTATATAAATTTATGTAGAGTTGACGAAAGTCAAAATATTGTATTTGTAACTATAGTATATTTCTCTGAAAAACCCCAATATTGAAAAGTTTATCAACTTTTTTTTTATAATCAAAGTTTAATAGAAGACGAGAAAGCAATCTCGTATAAATAGGAATTATGGATTGGAAAAAAAGGGACAGTAGTAATCACCGTGGTTACTAAGAGCAAATTGGGTATGACAAAAAAATTATTAATTACATTTTTTAACAAATTACATTCTAGGAAGTTTCAAAAATATATTAATTACAATTTTCGCTCTCTTTCTCTCACTTCCACAATCTCCTGCCATATCTCTCTTCTTCTTTTTTTTCAATATTTTCCTTGTTTTCGTTCAGTCGAACTACTATTGTTGCAACAATAAAATAATATCAATCCATTAAAGAATATATCAATGCATAAAACATCAATACCATTCGTGAAATAAGAACACTACCATTTCACAAAACACTAATACCATTGCAGATTTATCAATATCAATACATGCAAATCAATACCATTACATGATAATCAATATCAATGCAAAAATAAAAATAAAATAATAACAATGTGAAAAACACTACCACTACAGAATAAGAAAACTACCATTTCACTAAAAGCAATACACTTACATGATAATCAATACCAATGCAGAAAAAAACAATACCAATGCGAAACAACACTACCATTACGAAAAAGTTACTACCAATGAGGAAAAAACAATACCAATGCAAAAAGACACTACCACTACAAAAAAAAATCACTACCAATGCGAAAAAAATCAAATCTAGGGTTTTTATTCATCCTACATTTTCCAGCCACAGTCGTTTCCCAGAGAGAGAGAGAGAGAGAGAGAGGAGAGTGTGAGAGAGAGCAGTGGGCGAGGGTAGCCGGAGTGGAGGGGTGGCCGCCGGCAGTGGGAGGTTGGCCGAGGGTGGTCGCCTTTGGAAGGACGGCCGCCGCCAACGGAGGAAGGGAACCACCAACAGGAGAGGCGTTGACGGAGATAGAGAATGGGGTTGGAGTAGGGTTTAATTATATAATATATAGAAATTAATTTGTTAAAGGATAAAAATCAGGTGTGGTATTTTTTTATTCTCAAAATTACCCTTAATCTAATCTTCATCGTCAAATTAAAATTAGGATGAAATAGAGATAATAAATGATGTAGATTTTAGTAGCCACGGTGATTACACATTGAGTAATCACCCTAACGCATTCCGGAAAAAGAGAAAACAAGGGGAAATTATGGAGTAAAAGTAATGGAAGTATGGAGCGATTAGCTCAGTGGGTCGATAGTCATTAGTCAATTAAAGTCATGGGCCGTTCTGTCAATTTGGGTTTTGTGGTCAATTAGTAGTTGGTTGATAGAGATTTGACTTCGTGTCTAACCGGATTAAGGCTACTAATGAATCGAGTGAAGTTGAGGTTTTATTTTTTTTGTTTAGACTCGTCTTTTTTTTTCCCCGAATCGAACGACCAACCGCTTCTAAACCGATCAACTCATTAACAACAACCCTAAACTGAAATTCAACTAGGGTTCGAGTCGAGTTTTTCTTTAATCGAACAATTTGTCAAACGACGAACCACTCCTCAACCAACTCCAGCTCATTAACAACCCTAAACTAAAACCCGACCAGAGTTCTAATCCGCGCCCCCTCATCGCTCTAAATCCTAACTTCGTCACTGCATCCAAACATGTGGGAAACCTCTGTCCACCGACGCAGCCCGCAGGGCCTTTCCTTTCCCCTCCATGGAAGTCCAATTCAGCCACCAGCAACCCACTTGGACTACAACAGCAACGATTCTTCTTCCTTCTTTCTTTCTTCTTCCCCGCTACTGTTCATGGCTGTGGCCATCGATCCTTGACCAGGTAGTAATATTATATACAAATATCAACTTCCAACTTGTTTGTTCTTTAGTCTTTTCACCACATGAATACTGCTGGCCTGCAAAAGTCGGATAAAACGTGGTCGAGTCTCTGTTCTGATCTGCTTGATCAGTTAGAGTAAAGACTTGGGTGAAGTCAAAACCATTGGAGGAGATGTCCCTTTTTGCTTGATGGTGAACTGCACCTAAACCAGTAGCCATCAGCTGTGTATTTATATGGTGAGCATTTAGTGGTAATTATAACAATGGACTAACCACTTCGACAAGAACTGAGACAGTGATACAACAATAATTTAGTAGGTTTACTGTGTGTGTACAGGTAGCGATCTCGCGCTATGGTGTTCACGAGTACATAGTGAGATTTTGTGATCGCTGAATTGAGGTGGTGACGATTTTGTAATTGCAACTGCTTTGATCTAATTATATGATTGTCCACGCCGTGCGTTCTCACAAGGCGTCTGTTAGCAAGATATCAAAATTGTATTCGTAGGAGACTGCTACTCATTTTTACCGTGGGTGGTTGAAAATTGAAAATTGACGGGACTAAAATGAGTAAGATACAATTTCTTAGAAAATGAGTGCTAAAAAGGTGCATTTACTTGATATTTCAATTAAAAAAGATTGAAAAAATATTCATAGTGTCATACAAGAACCAATATGAAAAGTTTGACTCATTGTGCCAAAACTAGATGAAATGTCCTTGGTTAGCTAAATAGAGACAACCTTAATGCATAACTTCAATAGTATAAGAGATCTTCGCATCCCAAATTTGTCGAATGAGCGTTTGAAATTGTAAAGATAAAAAAAAAACCCCTATTATACTATATCCTCCAAAACCTAAAGAGAGTAGCATTGCTACGGAGAAGATAACTTATCTGCAAGTATACGAGGCTCGTAATGCCAGTCAATTTCTTTAATGAGCAACCGAGACCTGTATATAGCCGCCATAAGAAAAATTTGGACAATTTCGACCAACAACAAGTAATGATTTAGGGGTCGTTTGCTTCAAGGATATGGTACATGGATTTGGTACCAAAAAATCAACTATCAAGGATTTAGGTACAATCCGTTGTTTGCTTGCACCTTTTTTGGAGACCAAATCCGTGGGGCCCACGAATTTTAAGGGTCCGAATCCGTGGACCCCACGGACTTATAAATCCCACATGTTGATGTGGGATTTGGAATATGGCATAAATCTTTGATGAGATTTTACCCATATACCCTCATGCACTTTTAATATTCCAAGGTTGCCCTCAAATTTAACTATTATACATTATAATTAACAATAAATGAATAATATAAACGTTCAATTAATGTGCAAACATGAGTTAGATTTTTTATATCATTTCTTGTGTTCTAGTTTTCTTTGACCTTTTCATGGAACGTGTAATTCTTTGTTCTCCCGATTCTAATATATGTTGTTATATGTCACTTTTGAAAAGGAGGACAAAGAATTGGTAATTGATTATGTTACGTTTAAAGTTAAAACGGAATTTTCTCGTTTATATTATTGTCCATGTGGCAACATTATGCTTATTAGTATGTATTGTCCTTGTTTTGTGTACATATCATAAACATGTCAAACATATATAAAATTATAGTAAGGTAATTTTGAAGTTTTGTCATTGTTTTGTGTACATATGATAAACATGTCAAACATATAGAAAATGGCAGTAATGTAATTTTTGACTTCAAGTAGTAAATCCCACACATTTAAATCCATGATTAAAACATCCCAAAAAACAAAGGATTGTTACAAATCCATGATGCCTCAAATCCTTGATAAATTTTTGGGTTTTTAAATTACAAAACCCTCATTTTTAAATCCATGAAGCAAACGACCCCTTAGTTCACGTCCTACCAACAATAGTTAACAATCCACTTCACCCTTTCACGGTTTCACCCACCAAGTTCTCCAAATGATCATTTTCCAAAACTAATTAGAACTTAGAAGAAGGGATGAGTAATGATTCGATTCACGGCTTGTCAAATTAACTAAATTAGATTCGACGAGAGTGATACGATTTCAATCCCAAATTTCTAACTCTTTTTAATTTTGAGTATAGCCAAAAGTAAATAACAAATAAATTCTGACCACACCAATGCAAGGTATCAAAAACATTTTTTTTATATTTGTTTTGGGATTCTTTCATTCAAATCGAATCTTGAAAGATTCGGTTCGTTTTCGACCCACTCACTAGCCGATACCCGGTTCGCCGGTTCAATGCTGTTTTCCCGCAGGAAATCTAGCTGTCGGTGGGAAACGAGTGGGCGGGTCCGAACCCGAGAGAGAATAGATTCCTGCAATTTCCAGGCTGTTTATGTCTGATCAAACCCCATCTCCACCGTCCATCATTTTCCGCGGCAAAATCTGTACCGTCGATCTTCACCAAACACTTCTCTCCTAAAAAAAAAACGCCATGGCCACGTTAGGCTGGAAAACGACCGTCGATCCAACACTCCCTTCGTTTAATCTTCCTTCCATCTCCTCCTTCCGGCTTCCACTCCTCACAGCATAGAAATCTCGAATTCGTCTCTTCAGATCCACTGTCGCATTCCCCCGTCTTCTGATTTCCGGAGGACGATTGAGTATGGCTGCTACTAATCGGAGCGTTGCGGCATTCTTGCTGCTGCTGATGCTTTCCGTGGTGAGTTTGACGGCGGTGGTTCGCGGCGACGATTCGGAGCCGGCGGTGGTGGTGAAGAAGGTGAAGGGAAAGAAGTACTGTACGAAAGGTTGGGAATGTAAGGCTGCTTCCGTTTACTGCTGCAACGAGACGATCTCCGATTTCTTCCAGACTTACCAGTTCGAGAACCTCTTCTCCAAGAGGAACAGCCCCGTCGCTCACGCCGTCGGATTCTGGGAGTACCGGTCCTTCATCCTGGCTTCCTCGCTCTACCAGCCGCTCGGGTTCTGCACCACCGGCGGGAAGCTCATGCAGATGAAGGAGCTCGCCGCTTTTCTTGCCCATGTCGGCAGCAAAACCACCTGTGAGTCAACCACCCTCCTTCAATATCGAACTCGTTCTGAATCTTCTGTTTTGCGTTAGATGGTTCGAATTCTTGGTCGTTTTTTCCCCTTCTGAATTGAGGGTTCAAATCGAGGATTAAGGGGATTGCAGTGTTGAATTCCTGTAATTGGAATCGGAATCATTACTGTGAATGTTTTGCCCTGTGAATTATGAGAATTGGCCATGGTTGAGATTGAGATGAGATACAAAGCTAATCAAGTTCTACAATGGCGTTGATGGTATTCTTCAGGTGGTTATGGAGTGGCGACAGGAGGGCCGTTAGCTTGGGGTCTATGCTACAATAAGGAAATGAGCCCTCAGCAGTCGTACTGTGACGATTACTTCAAGTACACCTACCCTTGTACACCTGGAGCTGATTACTATGGCCGTGGCGCCATTCCTATCTACTGGTATATACCATCCTTCCCTCCGTGATTGGGTTATTGCTGGTCTCCTGTTTTCTTTGAACTAAGCAACCTAGCAAAGATTTAGTGCAGTCAAAGGGTGTTGAGATAACTTATTTGAACTCTACTTCAGCTGGTTACAGCTGTGAATGATAACAAAAATAGAAGAGACTTGATGTGTCGGGTCAGGATTACCTAGAGTTGTATGCGTGTGTAAATGAATCATATTTCTTAAATTCTATGGATTCCTCTTGTTCCTTTCTCCCTTTCGTCAATCGAAAAGTGAGTTTATATGTATGAAGTGTAGAATGTGTAAATAAAATCGTTAGTCACTGCTGCTGATGATCTTTACACTGATTTATGTCCACAGGAACTATAACTACGGCAAGGTTGGACAAGGTATCAAGGCTGATTTGTTGAACCACCCAGAGTACATAGAGCAAAATGCTACCTTGGCTTTCCAGGCTGCCATTTGGATGTGGATGACACCTGCGAAGAAGTCACAGCCTTCGGCCCATGAAGTCTTTGTTGGCGACTGGAAGCCCACAAAGAACGACACCCTGTCCAAGCGCATTCCTGGGTTCGGTACAACAATGAACATTCTCTATGGCGACAATGTCTGTGGCCAAGGCGATATTGATCCCATGAACAACGTCATCTCCCATTACCTGTACTACCTCGACTTGATGGGGGTAGGCAGGGAGGAAGCAGGGCCTCATGAGTTCCTCTCTTGCGGTGAGCAGGTTGTATTCAACCCATCAGCAGCGAATCCCAGCCAATCCTCTTGAAGCTTTCTGTAATGGTTGTTCTATGGAAGCCGCCTACTTTCTTGCACTGATCACTTCTCATAAAATAATAGACAGGCGTGGCTATGATTCTCAACCACCTTAGCTTCCAGAGGTGTGGAATGTTCATTATTATCACTACCGTGTGTGTCTAGAGCCTCCTTGATTCATTTGTGTCTATAATATGTGTTTGGATGAGGTTTGAAGATTATGAATTTGTATGTACTATTTTGTTATATGTAGTTTCGAATGTTGTAATACCTTAAATTTGAATTTTTCAAGTTGTCTTGTTTCTTGTTCTATTGGGTTTTCCTAGTTTCAACCATTCTGTGATGCGGCGGACAGTGTGTTGGCTTTGGAAGTATATTGTCATTGGGATGAACTTATCTCTGCTGCTCCAATGACTCACTAAACCTTGTAATTTTGTGATTGCCAGCTAAGCTTGTCTTTCCTTGGCGGTTATCTGGTATATAATACATAAATATGCTATTCACAACATTGTACTTGTCGCTGGCATTTTTTGTTTGCTCTTGAGACTTCCTATAACAGCTAGGAATTGCCTTTCCATTGCAGCCTCCACTGTCCAGCTGCAGAATCATCTTGAACATAGTTGTTATTGGCTATGGAAGTGGGGTAGCACTGTAGCAATATCAAGTTTCCATTATTGTTTGGGAATGAATGTTACTGCTTACAGGACAAAGATGAGAGAAGGAAGATCACTCCGTTCCAGATCTCATCCTTTGGCAGAGGTCTTAATACCAACGGAATCACCTGGCTCCAGGGGCAGTAGCAAACATGTGGTCATTGTTATGGATGCATTGAAGGAGTTCTCCATGGAGCCTCTTCAATGGGCACTTGACTGGGTGATCGAGGCAGGATGTTCGGTTACCCTCCTTGGAGTCTTGCCTTGGATTCCCTTCCCCTGTAAGCCATCTTCTCTTGTCTAATCATCTATTTTGCTCTTGGAAAGTTGGAGATTTTGATTGCCAGGTTTGCTCTGAGGTTTGCAAACATTTGGTTAACCTGGTTTGCTTTCTCTTTTCGCTTGGGCTAGTTTCATGCAAGATAGGTTTAGATGTATGGAGGCATGTTCTTGAAGATATGCGAGGTCCTATGGGAGGGAAGAGTAGGGCGAGAAATGACCCGAAGAAACATCAGAAGATACGGGGGATAATGGAGCTTTGCAAACAGAAGCAGGTTCTGAAGTCTTAAACTTTTCACATATCAAATTCTTCTCAACTATCATTATTTGGCACTGGTCTTTTGTTTGATTTGTTGTTACTCTTGTGGTCATTGCTTAGGTGGTTCCTTTGATGAAAGTGGCAATGGGTCATCCGTTCAAGCTTGTGGTTCTTGAGCAAACTACAAGCCTTCATGCTACATTTGTGGTTCTTGACAGGTATTCTTGTTCCTGTTAGGCTGTCAATGATTTCACACTTCTACTTGTTTACCAGTGGCTACCCGATTTCAATTTTCGGATTAACCAACCTGTTGATATGGGGTAAACAGTTAAACAGTTGCTCAGTAACCATTCTAATATAACAACAGGTTCTGAGTTGTGTTACATATTGAATGGTTTACTGTTGCAAGCATACAACCGAAAATGGTAACATAAACCTTTTTTCAATCATAAATAAATTGGAAACGAGGAATTAACCCTGTTTTTCACCTTGTCCATGCCTGTCATTGAGCTCGGTATGGTCTCGTTGATTCCGGTTTATCATTAGGGTTAACGGTTTTGTTTATTGCCTTGATGATTTTGGGTAACTGTAATAAGTTTAATCGGTTGATTCAGAAATGGGTTTCCGGTTCGGTTAACCACAGCGAATCATTCAGCCAACTCTAACGTGCAAGTTAACAGAATCTGAAAAAAGCCGAAAACTGATGCAATTTGGATTGTAACATGATGGCAGGCATCTAAGGAGGTACAAAACGTTCTTTGAGGAGAGGCTGCCGAGCAGTGCGGTGATGATGAATCGACATGGAGGGGTAGATGTGATCAAAATGAAAGCCAGAACAGATGGGTTTGATTCGGCGGCTACCGGAGAATCTCCGGCCACCGTTCCCCCGACCCCGGAAGTTATTCTATCTGAGGAGCTGCTGGAACGGCTGAGGCGGCAGACGAGCATTTGACAATGACAGTGAAATTCAAGTGTGTTTTTATATATTGGAAGTACATCAGCTTGATCTACTGGTGTTTAGAGTTTGGATTTAACCGTAGTGAGACTCTATGTTTTGCAAGACTTAGACCTTCATCCCCCCTTCTTTTTTCTTCTCCTATCTCCCCTGACATGATCACGTTTGCATGGTGATAAAGGGGTCGTTTGCTTCATGGATTTATAAACGAGGGTTTTGTAATTTAAAAACCCAAGGATTTATCAAGGATTTGAGGCATCATGGATTTGTAACAATCCTTTGTTTGTTGGGATGTTTTTATCATGGATTTAAAGGTGTGGGATTTACTACTTGAAGTCAAAAATTACATTATTGCCATTTTCTATATGTTTGACATGTTTATGATATGTACACAAAACAAGGACAAAACTTCAAAATTACCTTACTATCATTTTCCATATGTTTGACATGTTTATGATATGTACACAAAACAAGGACAATACATACTAATAAGCATAATGTTGCCACATGGACAATAATAATAAACGAGAAAATTCCGTTTTAACTTTTAACGTAATGTTGCCACATGGACAATAATAATAAACGAGAAAATTCCGTTTTAACTTCTAACTCATGTTTGCACATTAATTGAACGTTTATATTATTCATTTATTGTTAATTATAATGTATAATAGTTAAATTTGAGGGCAACCTTGGAATATTAAAAGTGCATGAGGGTATATGGGTAAAATGTCATCAAGGATTTATGCCATATTCCAAATCCCACATCAACATGTGGGATTTATAAGTCCGTGGGGTCCACGGATTTTGACCCTTAAAATCCGTGGGCCCCACGGATTTGGTCTCTAAAAAAGGTGCAAGCAAACAACGGATTGTACCTAAATCCTTGATAGTTGGTTTTTTGGTACCAAATCCATGTACCAAATCCTTGAAGCAAACGACAAAGACTACGTTTTCGTTTGCTTATGGGATTTGTCGATTGCTTGTGGGATTTAGGTGATGTATTTGGCACCCAAATACAAAGTATTATGTATTTGATAGAAAAATATTGTTTGTTAGGTTATACAAATCCGTGAGGCCCACGAATTTTTAGTATTTTTTAGCTCCAAATCCTTGGACCCCACGTATTTGCAAATACCACATTTCATTTGATATTTGGTCATTGAAGGCAAGGATTTGAGACCCATAGTACAAAAAACTTCAAATTCATAATTAAAATCAACTAAACAAACAATGTTATCTTTCAAATACAAAATGAAAGAAATCCATTATAAATCCAAAGATTTTCAAAGGTGAAGCAACCAAAAGTGTATTGTCCATGGAAAGCTGCTGAGGTTGAGGACATATATGGGCCAGAGCTGCGATTGGGAATACCTCAGGGAAGAACCTGACAATCCAGACAAGAAAAGGAGGAAACGGATGAGCTTTGGATGGTGCTAAGAATCAAGTTCGATAGGGAAACAATCACAGAAAAGATGAGATTGGAAGCATTTAGACAACCTGAGATAAGTTTGAATGTGGAAACCAATCCTGAGATGGAAAAGAAGAGGAAAGATGAGAAACAAATCTATGAGAAGCAGAAACAAATATATAGTGTTGCAGTACATGAGAAACACCCACCCGATACATACCATGGGTCAGCAGAAGAAGCATGGAACCAAAGGGAAATCACAGCAAGCAGAAAGTTACTTTGGGAGCAAATGAGGGCCAGTGAGCAACAAGAACAAACGCCTGCAAAAGAATCGAAGTGAAGCTATTCAATATGACAAATCTGGCCCAAACTATTTTTTTTTGTTAATGTTGACCGACGTTGACCGTTAGTAGATCATAGAAAATGTAGTCAGCTTCTATCTGGTTTGGTCCATATTTGTCATATTGTATTGTTTAGGCCACAAATGACACAAAATGCATATAGTTTGGGCCAGATTTGTCATATTGAATAGTTTAGGCCACAAATGACACTTTTTGGATAGTTTCGGTTTCCTAGTGGAATTAGCCCTATAAAAGTATACAAACTAGACAAACAAACATTATAAAACTGTTGTTGTCGTCTACAAATTCTCGCCAGCGGCGGGAAAGCATCCAATGTCTCTCTCGTATACCCCAGAAATCAGCTCTCTTCTCTTATGAGATTGCATCCGCCTTTCAGTTTCGAGCGTCTTCTTGGAGAAAAAAGTTCTTCTCTAAGAGTTTCAATAGCAAGCGGCCGCCGGGGAGAATTCCGATGGCGCCACCGAGGAATACCGATGGGGAGAGATGGTTCCGCTAAGGCACAAATGGGCCAAGTTTATTTTTATTTTAATGGTTAAAGAAATAACTTGTGTAATTACTACATTGTCCTTCATTAAATATAATTAATTGAAGTTATTGGATTCTAATGAGGTTGAAGAGCCGAGATTGACTTAATCAAGTGATTAAGAGCCCTTCTTAGTCACCTCATCTTTGCCCGGAAAGTCTGCCTTCCACAACCTTTATATTTGTTTCCATTTCCATTAATTAATTTTAAATGTATTAGTCTTCAGTTGCATTTATTTTTATTCTGAAACAATACACCGAAGGTGTCGCAACTGCCCCTCGGAATTGGGGGGTCCGTCGCATGATGCTCGGAGTCGCCATTGACCTTAATTTGTAGCGGGTCGAACACTAATTGGACCGGTCTCGACCATAGGAACGAAACCGGGACTTGGTCTGTGAAATAATAGAGTTCTGGGTCTAGGAGTACGGTTACGTGTGGGGAAAGTGTATTCACACCCCACAACGCCCAAAATTGGTACTACTTAAATCGATAAATTTTTAAAGGAGTTGGGTGTATTATAATTTGCTCCTTATTTACGTATTTAATTATATGATTCGATTAATTAGGATCATATATTAAAGACTTGATCATGCGTCTATTGACGCAAAAACTCGAAAGTAAAGAAAAAGTTTTTGGTTAGTTGTACTCGAACCTATTAATTGCCTACGTAAACGAGTAGTCGAGATCAAAGTCCATGTAGTTCGATAAATTGATAGGTGTTGGAAAGAGGATCTTAACACGTTCCTAATCACGTCATATAATTCTGCCTCACAAGCGACAACCACAGGTATGAATCACATCCTTAAATCGTACCCAATTAAGTTACTTTTTGTTCTACTACATTGTTCTATTTTATTGCTATTACTTCCTAGGCTTTGAGTCTGCATGCATATTGATTTGCTACTGCTTTCATGGTAACCAACCTTCCATCTTCTATTTTGTCCATGAAAATCCAGGTAAGTTTTATAGTTAATGAAGTTGTTTGTTAGAATTTGGAGTCCGATGGAACAGAAGATGTTGCGTATGATTCTTATAACTGCTAGTATTTTCTACATATTAATTCTTCTATTATATCTGCGTTTATCTAATGATGCTTTCTTTCGTTGTGAAGTTTGCCCTACTTTATTTTATCACTAAACGAAATTAGTTCCTTTTGTTTCATGACTATTATGGGGGAAAAGACATGTCTACCACTCAGAAGTAAGAATTCCTAATTTGTGGATTGGGTCATAAACTTTGAGTTGTGAGAAGCAATTTAGGCACGACACCACTTGCTTTTCCTGTGGCATATTATTATTCGCTCCTATTCATAGTAGTGAGATTTTGTTAAATTCCTCATGCACCTATATGATATCCCAGCAAGTTAATTTTTAGAGTTATTGGTGGTTCATGTGTCAACTGATTATAGTTAATTGTTGCATACATGTAATTACTAGGATTGCACAGTAGAGGAATTCTCGAAGCAATCCTTTTGTTAATTGAAATTGGTTAGTCTCTTTCTTTTGTCATATCAACACGAGCCTGAAAGGATCAAGGAAAGCTGAGAAAGAAGAAGAATAAAGAAAGAGGAGGAGGAAAAACAAGAACAAGAAGGTATCAATGATTGACCTGATGATCATGACATGAGTTAGGAGTGTTTCAAATTTTGTGCTGTCGAGCATTGGTCTCAAATCTTTTCCTACATATTAAAATACCATGACTCATCTCTTTTGATTAACTAGATGTGAGCCCGTCCGTTGGACGGATAGATTTTGTCAACGGAATAAATAATAATAGTAATTTTTTGAAGAAATACATGTTTTATTTGATATCGTTTTAAAATTCTAAATTATTTGATTACTGAAAGACATGGTAACCCGATTTATTGACAAAGGTTCTTACGAGAAGTAAAAATAAAAACCATGCAAGGAAATTGGCTTCTAAAACTTAAGAAGACCACACTATTTGCTCCTCGCTGTTTAAACTACTGCAAATTTCATTTTGTGGAGTTTTTTTGTTATTGTTCTGCCATCAAAAGTATCATCATCTCCACAAATCACAATGCCTTAGTCTTCCTTAACGAAGCCTTTATCTTCACAATAGGCTCTTCCTTCTTCTTCTTCTTAATATGAATTTCACTGAAAGCCAATCTTTAATGGTCAAATGTATGAAAATACTAAACATTAATTTTCACGCAATAAAGTTTATTTCGTTCAAGTCGTAAATATTTTTTGAGATTTGTTCTTTCCCTTATAAGTAATCCAAATGCCAACACATAATTTGATAAACTAATAGATTGAAAACTTAATGACTAACACATAGGGGTATTTACAATTCTCTAATAGATGCATTTTTTATTATATAAAGAAAAAAATTCTTATTAGTTCTGAGTTATATGAATTAATTTATGAAATGTAATATGGCAAGCAATAAATGCTTGTAAGGTCCAACAATATGAGAATCATTATTTCGATGAATTATTTCTTCGGACAGAAGAAGATTATGTAAACACTTATTCGAAATAATTACAGTAATTGATCAAAATGGTCATATAAATTTGTTCCTATAACCAAAATGGTTACAAACGATTAAAACATAATAAAAATATCATGTATAAATAATGATATAACAAAATAAATATTTTACTTTATAAAAATACTTGTAAATCCTCTCATTAAGATTTCATGAGAACCATGTAAACTTTACGATATGTTACTCGAAGATATAAACAACAGGAGGAAGAATATAAAATTGAAAGGGTTTAATTAAAGGGTTAATACCTTATTTTGGTATGAACTATGACCATATAATCACCTTTGGCTCGTGGTTTCAGAAATTAATATCCTGGCATTAACTATGTAACATATAGACTCAATTGGTTCGACAGAGTGTTTGACCGTCAATTTGGATGGTCAATGCAGTTCATAGCTATATAGATCATGTTTCTTTGTTCATGAAACAAAGCGATGAAACATATAAAACAGGAAAGAATAGTTTAGCCACATAGTAATGATACTCAAATGTATATCCCTGATTGACTCTTCTAATATACTACTTTATTTACTCATTTATACTATATATGCAATTCCATCAAGAAAGCCAAGGACGAATGCTGCAAAACTAGTAGAACTGTCCGCACTTCAATCCCACCACAAATACTACGGGCTTTGATCGTGAAGTTGTCGAAGCTACCGTGGAGGAGTATTCGGATGATGGATTAGACCGTGCAGATAAACATTCAAAGATCAAAAAGCGGTGGCCGAGGAAAGAAAAAGTTCTAGTGATCAACGGTATGCTTGAAAAGAAGACATCAAAAAAGATTGTGGAAGGAAGGTCACTTGACTGATATTGGACGTATATCATTATTTATTTTGTTATATCATTATTTATACATGACATTTTTATTATGTTTTAATCGTTTGTAACCATTTTGGTTATAGGAACAAATTTATATGACCATTTTGATCAATTACTGTAATTATTTCGAGTAAGTATTTACATAATCTTCTTCTGTCCGAAGAAATAATTCATCGAAATAATGATTCTCATATTGTTGGACCTTACAAGCATTTATTGCTTTCCATATTACATTTCATAAATTAATTCATATAACTCAGAACTAATAAGAATTTTTTTCTTTATATAATAAAAAATGCATCTATTAGAGAATTGTAAATACCCCTATGTGTTAGTCATTAAGTTTTCAATCTATTAGTTTATCAAATTATGTGTTGGCATTTGGGTTACTTATAAGGGAAAGAACAAATCTCAAAAAATATTTACGACTTGAACGAAATAAACTTTATTGCGTGAAAATTAATGTTTAGTATTTTCATACATTTGACCATTAAAGATTGGCTTTCAGTGAAATTCATATTAAGAAGAAGAAGAAGGAAGAGCCTATTGTGAAGATAAAGGCTTCGTTAAGGAAGACTAAGGCATTGTGATTTGTGGAGATGATGATACTTTTGATGGCAGAACAATAACAAAAAACTCCACAAAATGAAATTTGCAGTAGGAGCAAATAGTGTGGTCTTCTTAAGTTTTAGAAGCCAATTTCCTTGCATGGTTTTTATTTTTACTTCTCGTAAGAACGTTTGTCAATAAATCGGGTTACCATGTCTTTCAGTAATCAAATAATTTAGAATTCTAAAACGATATCAAATAAAACATGTATTTCTTCAAAAAATTACTATTATTATTTATTCCGTTGACAAAATCCATCCGTCCAATGGACGGGCTCACATCTAGTTAATCAAAAGAGATGAGTCATGGTATTTTAATATGTAGGAAAAGATTTGAGACCAATGCTCGACAACACAAAATTTGACACACTCCTAACTCATGGCATGATCATCAGGTCAATCATTGATACCTTCTTGTTCTTGTTTTTCCTCCTCTTTCTTTATTCTTCTTCTTTCTCAGCTTTCCTTGATCCTTTCAGGCTCGTGTTGATATGACAAAAGAAAGAGACTAACCAATTTCAATTAACAAAAGGATTGCTTCGAGAATTCCTCTACTGTGCAATCCTAGTAATTACATGTATGCAACAATTAACTATAATCAGTTGACACATGAACCACCAATAACTCTAAAAATTAACTTGTTGGGATATCATATAGGTGCATGAGGAATTTAACAAAATCTCACTACTATGAATAGGAGCGAATAATAATATGCCACAGGAGGAGCAAGTGGTGTCGTGCCTAAATTGCTTCTCACAACTCAAAAGTTTATGACCCAATCCACAAATTAGGAATTCTTACTTCTGAGTGGTAGACATGTCTTTTCCCCCATAATAGTCATGAAACAAAAGGAACTAATTTCGTTTAGTGATAAAATAAAGTAGGGCAAACTTCGCAACGAAAGAAAGCATCATTAGATAAACGCATATATAATAGAAGAATTAATATGTAGAAAATACCAGCAGTTATAAGAATCATACGCAACATCCTCTGTTCCATTGGACTCCAAATTCTAACAAACAACTTCATTAACTATAAAACTTACCTGGATTTGCATGGACAAAATAGAAGATGGAAGGTTGGTTACCATGAAAGCAGTAGCAAATCAATATGCATGCAAACTCAAAGCCTAGGAAGTACTAGCAAGAAAATAGAACAATGTAGTAGAACAAAAAACAACTTAATTGTGTACGATTTAAGGATGTGATTCATACCTGTGGTTGCCGCTTGTGAGGCAGAATTATATGACGTGATTAGGAACGTGTTAAGATCCTCTTTCCAACACCTATCAATTTATCGAACTACATGGACTTTGATCTCGACTACTCGGTTACGTAGGCAATTAATAGGTTCGAGTACAACTAACCAAAAACTTTTTCTTTACTTTCGAGTTTTTGCGTCAATAGACGCATGATCAAGTCTTAATATATGATCCTAATTAATAGAATGGACTCCAAATCCTAATATATGATCAAGTCTTCTTTTCAAGCATACCGTTGATCACTAGAACTTTTTCTTTCCTCGGCCACCGCTTATTGATCTTTGAATGTTTATCCGCACAGTCTAATCCATCATCCGAATACTCCTCCACAAGAAAGCAAATAAGTACAAAGCAAATAAGATTTACCTTTTGATGTTCAGTAGTCTGGGTATGTTTTCCAGGTACATCAGGGGACGCTCGGAGCCGATCTGAGATTACCTGAGATCGTCGACGGGAACGCTCTCTCTGTCTCTGTTGCTGCAGCTGCTAGAAGCTTCCCGAAAGAAGATAGAATTGGAGCGCGCTGTATTTATAGGGTGATAGTCGGTTTGGTTGCGGTTTAACCGTACCAATTTTTCGGTCAGTCGAGGTGCCCGATACCTGCCTACGTGTCCGTGACTAGTCCGTCTAGCAGAAGCCGCACCGGCTGTGCTGATCGGTTAGCCGCAACCGCAAATGTCGATTTGGTTAGACTGCCAGCCGAGCCGATTAAATGAGTGGAGAAAAAAGAAAAAAAAAGGAGGAATTTAATGGGAGGAGAGCCGGAGACAAAGAGTAAGGGGAATAAATGGTTGCATAAAAAGGGCTAAATTGTAAGTTTGGTCACTCGAATTGCTACAAAATTTCACGTTTGGTCACTCGAATTCGTTTATTTTATTTGTAATCACTTAAATTAGTTGAACAGTTCAAGTTCAGTCACTCTCCGTTAACCTCCGTCAGACTCCGTTAGTGCCGTCAGTTAACTGCTGACATGGCTAACAGAGATGCCTAGTCACCCAATTTTAACCCAAGAAAAAAAACAGAAATTGACCCGCCACATCAGAAAAACATGTCACCTCACATAAACACAACCCAACCTAAAAAAAACCATTAACTCACCCAGAAATCGAACCCGTGACCCATCCAGACTATGACTTATTGACTTTCAACTTCTTCTTCATCTTCTTCATCCCTCTCTCTCAAGAAAATTAACCCCAAATTCCACAACGGCAAGCCTTCAAATTCAACCCCAATTCCTCCACCGATTCCCTCTCCTTCTCCACCACCTTCGTCTTTGCCATGGTCCCAGAATCGCCATCGACGGGCGGCCACGGCATCGCCTTCGTCATCTCCCCCACCACCGACTTCACCCACGCCGTCGCCAGCCAGCACCTGGGTCTCTTCAATTCCACCAACATGGGTAGCGAATCCAGCCACGTCGTCGTCGTCGAGCTCGACACGATGCGCAGCCCCGAGTTGCAGGACATCGACGACAACCACGTCGAGCTCGACCTCAACACCCTGATCTCCACTCCTTCTGATCTCTCCACATACCTCAACGAATCGATGTACGTCGGGTTCTCGTCGTCGACGAGCACCGTCACCAGCGCGCGGTACATTCTCGGGTGGAGCTTCGCCAAAGTGGAAGAAGAACCCCCACCGTTGGATCTCCGCCTTCTCCCCGTCTCTCCCCGGCCGAGCAAGCCGGTGAAGAAATTAGGCACCGCGCCGAAGGTCTTCCTCGTAAGTTTATCAATCTCTCTAGTCGCAATCGCCGTCGTAATTTTATCTATCTCTCTAGTCGCAATCGTCGACGAACATCACATCGGGTTTGCGAGGCAACCTGTGAAAGTCGGGGTCGGGTTTGTGGGAGATGAAGCCCCGGGCAAGTTATCGGTCGCGAATCTGGATCCGGCGGCGGGGGCTGCAGCAGGGAGATCGAGGAGAAATCCCCTCGGCGACGGTGGAAGCAGGGTATAGAGGAAGAAGAAGAAGGGTGGATGGGTCTCGGATTCGATTTCTGAGTGGGTTAATGGTTTTTTTTAGGTTGGGTGAGTTGGGTTGTGTTTATATGAGGTGACATGTTTTTCTGACGTGGCAGGTCAATTTCTGTTTTTTCTTGGGTTAAAATTGGGTGACTAGGCATCTCTATTAACCACGTCACCAGTTAACTGACGGCACTAACATAGTCTGACGGAGGTTAACGGAGAGTAACCGAACTTGGACTGTTCAACTAATTTAAGTGACTACGAATGGAATAAACGAATTCGAGTGACCAAACGTTAAATTTTGTAGCAATTCGAGTGACCAAAATTGCAATTTAGCCAGATTATTTATTAAACTTAATCCATTCATAATTTAGTATTTACATATTTTAGAAAAAAACTCCAAAAGTAGGAAAAAATCCCAAGTTACACATGTTTTTAAAAAAAATTCTCAAAATACACATGTTATGAAAAAAATTCCCAATCTACACATGTTTGGGCCTTCACCGTGGGAGAGAAAAACGGTGATTGCTTCACCGTGGGAGAGAAAAACGGTGAGTGCTTCACCGTGGGAGAGAAAAACGGTGATTGCTTCACCGCGTGAGAGCAAAACGGTGAAGCACTGACCTGCGTCCGAACTTTAAAACAACGTAACTTTGTGCTCGGTTATCCGATCGTAGCGAATTTTTTTTTGATTCCGCATAATTTTTCGAGATCTTGCAAGCCGCAAACCGCCGGAGGCGGTTTGGTCCCGCCTTCGTCTCGAAAAAATGTCGTTTGCTACCCCGAACGACCCTTTTTTCGATTTCGTCAAACTTTGAACGACCATAACTTTGTGCTCCACAATCTAAAAATCATGAATTTTTTTTTGATTCCGCATAACTTTTTAAGGACTACAATTTTTATCATAGACATAATTTCGGAATGCACTTGGATTCATGAAAAGGGAAGGTAAAGTTATTCCCAAAACCCCTTATATCCATAAATAATTCATTTTTTGAAAATTCTCTCCTACTAAAAATTGTAGTCCTTAAAAAGTTATGCGGAATCAAAAAAAAATTCATGATTTTTGGATTGTGGAGCACAAAGTTATGGTCGTTCAAAGTTTGACGAAATCGAAAAAAGGGTCGTTCGGGGTAGCAAACGACATTTTTTCGAGACGAAGGCGGGACCAAACCGCCTCCGGCGGTTTGCGGCTTGCAAGATCTCGAAAAATTATGCGGAATCAAAAAAAAATTCGCTACGATCGGATAACCGAGCACAAAGTTACGTTGTTTTAAAGTTTGGACGCAGGTCAGTGCTTCACCGTTTTGCTCTCACGCGGTGAAGCAATCACACGGTGAAGCACTCACCGTTTTTCTTTCCCACGGTGAAGCACTCACCGTTTTTCTCTCCCACGGTGAAGCAATCACCGCCCTTCTCTGACGCGGTGAAGGCCCAAACATGTGTAGATTGGGAAATTTTTTCATAACATGTGTATTTTGAAATTTTTTTTTAAAAACATGTGTAACTTGGGATTTTTTCCCCAAAAGTACCACTGTTTAAAAAAAAATCCAAAAATACCACCCAACCCCAAAAAATTCCAAAAATACCACTCTTTTTCAAAACAGCCAGCCCACCCAACGGTTTTCGTGCGGTGGGGGCGCGGGTTTCGATGCAAACCGCTGGGCTACAGGGCGGTTATGAAACTCGCTGGGTGGGGCGGCGGTTTTGGGCCAAACCGCCACCCCACCTAGCGGTTTGGTCCAAAAAAAAATGGTATTTTCGTGTAAACCGCAGGATGGGCCGGCGGTTTTAATAAAAAAGTGGTATTTTTGAAATTTTTTGGGGTTGAGTAGTATTTTTTTTTAATAGCGGTATTTTTGGAAAAGTCCCAGATTTTACTGGTAATTAGAAGAGGAAATTGTGAATGAGCTGAAATGAAATGAAACAGAAAATGGGAATCCACGACCTCAAAACTCAATCAAGCCAAGTTAAACCAAATCCATCCAAAAGCAAATCCTGAAGGAAACATTGGAGCTTTGGGCGAGTTATAGACTTTTATCATGGTGGTCGCTATCTGCGTTTCCCAAACTATAGCCACTCCTTAAAACCCAATCCAAATGCTCTGGCCTCCTGCAAGCGAGTAACCATGCCAATTTTCACCCTCTCTCACGGTGGAGGATCACTTGCCAGCCTCTCTTTTCTCCCCCAGCATCAGCTGTTCTTCAATGCCGACAACTTCTCCGCCCATTCTCCAGCAGTAATCCCGCCATTGTTGAGTCATTTGAGAAGTACCCACAAGCTCAGACAATCACTTCTCACTGTCAGAGCCGAAGACTCTAATGGGTCTCCCGCCGCCGCCACTACCAGCGAAGCTGTTCTTGAAGCAGCCTCAGCTGATGCTGCTAAGCTAGCTCGGGTGCTTTCCTGTCACAATTTTGCTTTGGGATGTTGATTTTGGGTTAAATTTTGCTCCTTTTCCTGTCTAACACATGTTTTCTACAAAGAAGTAGAGATCCGCTGATTGGACGGCGGCGAGAGAATTGAAGGAAAATGGGGCAATCCATGTTGGCAGGATTGAGAGTTCTAATGCTGGTGGTTTACTTGTACGCTTCCATTCTCTGATGGGTTTCCTTCCTTTCCCACAGTTGAGCCCTGCTCACTATTGTAAAGGTAACCAACCAACTAACTAGCTCATTTCACCATTCTAGTAAATACTACCTTTTAGTTCTGTTCTTCCCTCTCAACTGAGCATGAACGATTTCATTTATGTAGAGCCACACAAGACTATACATGAGATAGCCGAAGGAATGACCAATTCACTTATTAAAGTGAAGGTATGATCTTGCCTTTCCTTCTATCTTCAAATTGGTGCAACATCAGCTGGGACTTTTCTTGTTGATGACTTCATCGTTCATGGTTTGTTTGTAATTAGATTATTGCAGCAGACGAGGGGAACAGGAACTTGGTTTTCTCCGAAAGGGAAGCTACATGGGCGAAGTTCTCCAAAGGTATCAAAGTGGGGGATGTTTATGCGGGAAGAGTAGGGTTGGTGGAGGATTATGGTGCCTTTGTTCACTTGCGTTTCCCTGATGGTATGCCCATGTCATGTGTTCCATCGTTTACTTTGGATAAATGGCATATTACTATCCTTTTCTAAATGGGAATTCTTGACAATCTGAATACGATCTGAAAAATGGACTTCAGGTCTGCATCATCTCACTGGGCTAGTACATGTTTCGGAGGTGTCGTGGGATTTAGTTCGAGATGTAAGAGATGTCTTAACTGAAGGTCAAGAAGTGAGGGTCAAAGTCACTGAAATCGATTGGTAATAAGTTACATATGATCCTCCAAGTGCCGTTTCTCCCACTCAGAGACTAATATGCTGAAATATGGTTGCAGGCAGAGGTCAAGGATTGCATTGTCAATAAAACAGCTAGAAGAGGATCCTCTGCTTGAAACTCTGGATAAAGTAATCCCTCAGGTAAGTAGAAAGCAGAGAAGAAATGTCAGCTCATATTCCTTGAAGCACAAGTCAAAAGGATTCTGATCAGAAGTTTCATGGTTTCCTAGGATGATGGTTCAGTTGGCACTGATCCTAGTGGTGTTTATAACGGCATTAAAATTGAACCGCTTCCTGGACTCAGCGATATATTCAAGGAACTACTGCTCGAAGAAGGGTATGATAGCTTGCTCGCTTCTTCCCTTCATTGTTCTAGATGATACTGCACACAATGATTACTAGTCTTTTTTTTAATGATATTGTGAGCAGCATAGAAGACATAAGAATCAATAGACAAGGATTTGAGAAACGGGTAGTCTCACAGGACCTCCAACTTTGGCTCTCAAATGTGAGTCTTTTCGTCGTAGTCTCTCTTCTCTTCTTACCTTCTTGGTAGGTCTGATGAACTCATTCTTGTTTGGTGAATCCTTGAACAGGCAGTGCCCGTGGATAGAAAGTTTATTCTCCTGGCTCGTGCTGGTAGGCAGGTAAGCTATTTTCTGTATTAGTTCGAGTGTTCACCAAAACAGAGAAACCAAGAAATTAGTTGAAGGGAGTACTCAATTGATCCACACAAGCCTTCCTACCTCATGAATCATGATGAGATCTTGGTTGTGATACAGGTGCAGGAAATCCAATTGACTACAACACTTGATCAAGAAGGCATAAAAAAGGCGTTGCAACATGTTCTGGAACGGGTTCCATGAGAACATGTGACTGGTACTGGATGGATATATGCTTGATCACGAAGGTATCAAAGAGAATAGTACACCCATGGATTCATCTTCAATGGTGATATGTTTGACGAAAGGAGAGCCAACAAGGTTGATTATATGATGTATTGATTGTTCGTCAATTCCTTCAGTTGTGTATACAGCAAGTTTACGAACTAGTCACTGTGCCTTCTCTGTAATGTAGTTTTTTTGGTAGAGCATTTATGGGTGCACCAAACGTTTGTATACCTCAACTCAATTTATCACACAACAAAAAGAAACAAAAATTATACACCATTACTATATTATGCACACATACTCAAATCCTAACAATCTGGATAGTCCAGCAGCGCGAACTTCACGTGCAACCCAATCTTCCCGCCGTCGACCACTAGCTTACCGGCTGTCACCAACCAATGTCCCGGTGTGTCATGGGGACCGCGAACAATCTCAGCTGTCTCCACGTACTTGAGAAGCTTCCTCGAGCTCACTGGAACCGGAGGACCATCTGGATACACTCCAGAATTAAGTGCAGCCGGAGCAGCAGCCTGTTTGTCCTGGCCAGGTGGTGTTCGTTGAGTGAATGTGAATGTGGTGCTGATATTCGTGAGGATGCTCGTCTTGTGAGGCCCTTCTGGGACGGCTGCCCATTCGGTCTTCCGGATGCTGCAGTGGGGCAAGTGTGTGAACAACAGGCGCAAGTGGAGTACTGAGTTGGGCCATTTGCCTTTGCTGAGGAGCTGTGCACCGGTTACTACGAAAACTCCTCCATCATGGAGCCAGGTTGGGTCGTGCTTGACCACGGAAGTGCAGATCTTTGAGTATCTCTTCCACCTCACAGGTTCCAAGAATTGGGCGCTGGATGGATACTGGTCGGAGCCTTGCCATTGGCATGGTCTGGAGATGGAGGCAGTGTTGGATGATGCTGTGTTCATGAGGTTTGGAAGGCTTGAGAGATGCTGTATATGTATAGCCAGCTTATTGCATTTCTTCCCTTCTAGATACAAGCGCAACCCTACCACTGGTTTTTTGTCACTTGAAACCTGAATCATCGACATAAAGCAACATTTGGTAAAGATAAAGGGAACTCGTAGCATTTAAGCAGAAAATACGATCACAATTTTGCATGAAAACTAACCAAAACAGTCACAAAGCACAAAGCATAAGCAAATAGCTGTATTGTACCTGGGCAGAACTAACAAAAAGCCTGGGTCCCATAAAGCTGAACCGCAGAGATGGGGACGAGGCCTTCTTCCTTTGATGCCGTAGAGGTAACTCAGAGAACATAGGTGCCCACTGCTTTGGCACTTGGAACTCCAGAAAGTATTGTAGATCCTCTGGGGTAGGCTTGTCTGGACAGCAAGGGCAATAGCCAAGGTTAAGATGACGGTATGTAACTGTACTGACTACTGAGCGAGACAAAATTTAAGCCGAGAGATCTTCCAGAAGTTGGATTGAGAACATCCCTTCAGCACATAAGGACTTACATCGTAGATACAAGTTGATAGCATGACTAAGATAGCCACTGCCAGGGACCCCAGTAAGAAGAGAAGTAATTGGCACAAACTTAAAGAGGATTGCTTCTGGTTTTGCATGTACTGTTTGTAGCCAGTTAGAATGACTGTGAGAGAACACATCCCCTCCTCTTTTTGAACAAACAATGGTAAGCCCCTGTACAACAAGAAAATATAGATTGATATAAATAAACTTTTTCGATCATGTTCAGGAAATGAAGGTACCAATCCTAATCACTGATTGTTACCTCCTTGCTTGATGTTTCTGTTATGCTGGTCAGTTGCATGGTGTTTGACTGCAGAATTCTATTGAAAACCTCGGGTACCTGTAGATGTTCAATGTCAACCATCAATCATGCATACGAAATGATGTATAGAAGCTAAGTTTATCAATGAGATATTTGCAGAGAATTGGACCAATTACCTTTTGTTTGCCATCTCTCGCATTTCTCTGCATCAGTGATGGACTTCTTTTATCTGAAAAGAGAAAATCTCCAAGATCCTCCAAATGCTTTCTGATATCGGCAGGAGCAATCGTTGATGAATGTTTCTGTCTAACACAAATAACATCCTGACCTCCAATTGCCATCCCTACAATTATGTGCGTGCCATATGTACAAATGAACCTGCCTAATAAATTGATCAGAATTCAATTCAAGACAGCAACCAATTTCCCACCAACTTTGTGCAATAAAGAAGATCGCATCCCAGTCTAGTAAACGCTGCTAAATGGCAGCAATGTCCGACCGAGACATATGATTGAAGTATCCAAAGCTACCTGGATAACATAGCTGGATCCCAACGAGGCGGTACTGAATTCTTTACTTCATCTTGGAGCACCAGTGGAGATGCTGTTAGGTGCAAGTAGTACAAGGAGATGAAGTAACCATCAAAAGCAAGATACTTGGTGTCTGTGGCATCATGGAGCCAATCCCCACTCAAATCAAAGAGAGCATTGGTATAGCCAGATGGCACTTTTCCTGGTACTGAAGATCTCTGATTAAGCAGTTCTGACATCTGAAAGCAAAGAGAAACCAGTAAGCAGCAGCCTAGAGAACAGTAAAAGGCAGTGCATGATTGAACATGAAAATTGCACACCATGCTGCAAAATTTTCAGAACTACTGCTACTAGTCTACTACTACTTCAAAAGTAACCAGGTTTCGTGTTACTTGAACCCTCAAAGGAAAGGAAGGATCTTGAGAAGTCAAACAATCCCTTGCTTAAAAAAAGCATCATCAACCTAGTACCTTCCATCAGCCACTCTCTGATACTAAATTGCAACAAGACAAAGTATGAAAACAAAACTGGAAGAGTCTCTCAAACAGAGACAGCGTTCATACTCAACCACCTCATCCTATTCTGATCCCTCCCACGTACGGCAACAATAAGCACAGGGTGCCATTTAAACAATGGACAGAGATCTGTTAACAAGCATTAAACACATAGCTGAGCTGACATTCTTCTTCCCTCAATTCCGGGGAACATCCCATCTCACATCCTCCCATAAAGATAGCCCCTTTCATGATGAATATGCCATTCCTAGCGCTACCCATAACCTAAAAAGTTCTAATTCTCCTTGTAGCAGCAGTAGCAGCAACGGCAGATGGAGACAAGGAGGAGACCCTCCTAAGCAAAATTCAACCCCACTAGCCATCCACATAACCCAATTTTCAAAACTCCATACCAAGCTCGGCTTTGCAGCTGGATCGGAGAAAAGGAATGAGAAAAACGATACCTGATTGAACTCAAGGACGTCGGACTTGAACCGAATCCGGTCGCCTCTATCGACCCGAATGTCCTCGGAGACACCAGCAACGGTAACGCCGGCGCCGCCGGAGGGAATTACAATGTCCCTCTTGTTCCGGTCGTCGATCGCGACCAGCCTCCCGCCGGCGCTCTTGGCGAACTTCAGCCTGAAGTCGCTGCTGAGGTCGAAGCCTTTCCCCAGGGCCTCCACCGCCCTGAGCTCTATCGGCTTCTCGGCCGGCGGCAAGGGCACGGCCTCCATGGACATCGGAGCTTAGAGATTACTGCTTTATCTTTTCTTTGTCGACTATTCTGAGGATGGATGATGGGTAGTATGGAAGGAAGAGGAAGAAGAAGAAGAAGAAGAAGAAGGGAAGAAATGGTTGGAGTTGGGAATTTGGGTTCTTTATATGTAAAAAATGAAAAAAATGACTTTTGCCGGGCGACGACGGCACGGCAACGCAGAGAGGGAGAGAGAGAGAGGAGAGACAAGGTGGGGCCCATTTTCCGTTGACTGCGTGCAGCCTCCAGTGGTTGAAAGTCAACATTCAACAAATAAATCTGCTTGTTTACGGTTTACCTACTTCTTTTTATTTGATTTTTTTGTTTATTATCTGATTATTTAATCTCTAATTATTAAAAAATTAGATCATAAAAGATAAAAAAAAATATATATAAATGTTAACGATGCAATTGAATCAACCTTGAAATCTACGGTATAAAGAAGAGTATCAACCTTGAAAATCAAATAGAATTGAGAGGTTAACAATACAAGAAGGTCAATTACAAAAAAATAATCAAAGGGGTATTGGCAATTTGGCACGAGATATTAGGGAAATTAAATCATTGATCTCGCATTGTTCTTAATATTTATGTTATCTTCCTTTCCATTCTGTCAGCTTTTTGTAGATTATTTTCTATCTAATTGTTTTTATTTTATTTTTGAGTTAACTCCGACTTGACAAAAATCTGGACGAAAGTGTGTAGAAGAATTATAAAGTCGTAAATGTGAAAAAAAATTATATGTTCGCTACCATATCTGATGAGAAGCAATATAGATGAATTGATTGTTTCATTATGCGGGAAAAGAGGAGGAGCAAATACAAATAGGAAGTGTTAGAATATCAAAAAATCTCTTAAAATGTTACAAACAACCTAATGGACGCTACGACAACTACGATGATTGGCATGATAACGAGAAACCTAGCTAGTCTGACTAATTGGAACGCCACAGCAAAGAACTAACTACTTCAAATCGATTTGGTAACGACGTGAAACTCGTTAACTAACCTGAAACTAATCCCAATCTCATATGAATCGAGATGGAAATGGACGTGATAATCCCTAACATTATAAGCTCCAAAATTTTAGTTAGCTTTTCAGTTTCTATTTATAAATTTTTGGTACCGCATGTGCAATTGTACCGAGGAATTTCATGGGACTTAATAAGAGACTAATGTTTGACCTCTTTGGTCAAAATACGTTCACAGAGATTGTTCCAAACAGACACACCACACCAAGGAAAAATCCTCGCTACCTTCCAAAGTCAATCCTTCAAAAATTCCCAATTTCGATCTCCAGAAGAAGCCATCAATGAGCTCTCTCGCGCCATAAGTTTTCCAATAAATTAAAAGTTCGTCACAAGAAGAATCGATACGATCATACGATACGATACAAAGCCTAACAACAACATTCATAACATCAATCATACATCTGCGACAATTTAGCTTACACCAGATATATACAAAGAAAAAGAACAGCACACGCATGGCGGTGGAAATGGGAACTCTTTGGTCACGTTTCAGTACGAAATTTCGTGCCTTTGCGCGTAGGGCACACTGTGTACAGGCCAAATAGACTTTTCCGAGTCTATTTTTCCATCCTGCGCGGCCGGCAACTCGGCCAACTAACGGTGGAAAATTGGGCTGTCGTTATAACAGAACAGACGAATCTTGGCAACATCATCGTTCTGTTGAAAGCCAGGGGCGGCTCGTTTCAGTGGCTTAGAAATTAGAATAATGAGTTCGATTCAGAGACGTGGATATTTTATAAAAGTAGCGTACTTTTTTCCTTGGACAGGAACGAAAGATTAGTCGCCAAATTCCCCACTCACTCCACATAGTTTGGCCATGGCGGCTGCTGTTTCCAGCGATCGTAGCAGCAGGGCAATTACTGATCCTCTTCTGGGACAGGAGGAAGAAGACGGTTACTATGAGAACTGCCCAGGTTGTCGAGTGGATCGAATGAAACGGCAACAGACAAAAACTAATTACCTTCACTTGTCCTACATCTGGACTGTTTCTCTTTGCACCGGTATTGCCTTCCTCCTCATAGGGGTTTTGGTTCTTAGTTATTTAGGTTTTCAATTTTCTGTTACTTAGATGCCCTTTTGGAGAACTTGGCGAAAGGAAAGGTGGATGCTTTTGTACTTGGTTCTTTCCTCCATGGGTTTCAGCAGTTTGTTGGAACTGTGTTCTGACTTCTGAGTTTTGAACTTCATTTAGGGCCTACTAATTGACCCTTTTGAGCTGTGTTGATAGTGTGCACTTTTCTCCGTGCATGGTTTCCAAATATGAACTTGTTGCACTTTTGGTATGTTTTCAGCTCTGCCAATACAGTCGCTCTTTCCATTCATATACTTCATGGTATGTTGTTGTTGAACCCTTGTCAATCCTGCATGCTCATATAGTTGTTGAACCCTGAGAATCTGTGGTTGCATGAATGAAAATGAATCCTCTTTGGTCGGCTTCTGCTCCATTATGGTGACAGATAAAGGACTTCCACATTGCTGAGAAAGAGGAAGACATTGGTTACTATGCTGGATTTGTTGGTAATGTTTGGTTACTGTCCTTTTTATTACATTTACTTACTACACGTGTGCCTGCTTAGCTAATTGCTAATGACATGCTTATGTTTCTGCCTCAGGATCTTCATTTATGATTGGAAGAGCGCTGACATCGTTTCTTTGGGGGCGGGTAGCTGATCGATATGGTAGAAAACCTGTTATCTTAATAGGAACACTTTCGGTGTAAGCAGTTTCAACACCTTTTCATTGTTTAGGTTTACTTTCAGAGCCCATTTCATTCATCTGAACATGATTATTGTGTGTTGTTTGCATTTGGGATCTTGCAGGGTTATATTCAGTTCTCTCTTTGGCCTCAGCACAAGCTTTTGGATGGCTATTTCGATGAGGTTCCTTCTTGGTTGCTTCAATAGTCTACTTGGCATAATTAGGGTACTAACTCAAAACTGGCATTTGCACTATTTATTTCTGTTGATTTCAGATATATATACACTGCTGTCAAGTTTCCTGTTTGGTTGTTCCTCAGGCTTATGCTACTGAAGTGTGCAAAGATGAGCATAAAGCTCTGGCACTATCTATTGTAAGATGCGGTTGATTTCTGTAGCTTGTCATCTGCAGCATATCACTTGTATAGAAGTTCTTATATGAACTTGCCCCTATGTCAGGTCAGCACATCCAGGGGAGTAGGAATGATTATTGGCCCTGCTATTGGAGGTTTCTTTGCTCAGGTTCTTGACACATCTTAAGAATGATAGAATTCATACATTTCTCTAATCAGTTTGCTTGATTATGGAGCACATATACTGATCAATGCGACCGAATGATAAATCTGGTTTTTCTGTTACACCAGCCTGCTGACAAATATCCAAGTCTATTTCCCCAGAACTCTATCTTCAGGAGGTAATGTTTGTTCATATTGAAATCATATGTGCTTCAACTTTATGTAACAGTTGAACCTTTACATGAGACAGCTTGCAGGTTCCCATACTTCTTACCATGCCTTATAATATCAATCTATTCACTGGGAGTGTTCATAGCTTGTTGGTGGATCCCTGTAAGCTGCTTACTTCTTATGCCTAATGGTTACCTGCTCAAAGCTTGTGTGGGCTGCTATGGAATCTTGATAAATTATTTGTCATAATGAAGGAGACATTGCACATACATGGCAAAAAACTGAATGAAAGATGTGATTCACGAAACATCACGAGAGAAGACTCTGCCGAAGAGTCTACTGTGAAGGGTGATGTTGAAGAAGCGAGTAACATCAGAGAGCCCCGGAAAGCAAATCTGCTGCAAAATTGGCCCTTAATGTCCACCATCATCGTGTACTGTGTTTTCTCACTTCAGGAGATAGCTTACTCTGAAGTAAGTCATGGCAGTGCATTGAATTGAATCTATATGATCAAGCAGCAGTTCCTACTATTCTTGTAGTTGAATTTCAGATTCTGCATATGTATGCAGATATTTGCACTCTGGGCAGTTAGTGACAAGAGCTATGGAGGATTGAGCTTTTCGTCACAAGATGTTGGTGAAGTTCTGACCATTTCTGGTGCGTTTTACCATCACATGGTAGTTTCAAACACCCTTTGCACATTCATGTTAATGAGATTTTTGAGTTGACCTCATCGAATAACCTTGCTTGTGCTCTCAGGACTTGGTCTTTTGATGTTCCAGCTTCTTTTATACCCGCCGATGGAAAGGAAGCTCGGCCCTCTTATGGTCACGCGCCTGTCAGCAGTAATGTTCTTTGACCCACATCTTCTTCTTCACGTTCATGGTTTTGCAACCCTCTACGAGAAAACCAAGTTTATCGTTGCTTCTTCTTGTTATTTCAGGCAGTATCAATACCTTTGCTAGCATGCTTTCCGTTTATAGCAATGCTATCTGGATTAGTCCTTCACCTTGTAGTAAACCTTGCTTCCATCCTTAGGAACACACTTTCTGTAAGTGGTGCAAGAAACCTCTCCCTGGCTAAGTTGAAATATCACTACTACTCATACATCAATATCTTCTGGATTCTGATCCTGTTCTTGGGTTTTCAATGTTAGGTGTCTCTCGTTACTGGATTGTTCATATTGCAGAACGATGCTGTGGTACATTTTTATTGATTCCCGAGTCATTTAAGTAGGGCAGTGCGTTGGATGTCATTAGCTAACTTTGTTCCATGTTTCGAAATGTCTCTCGACGCTCAGGCGCAGAGTGAGAGGGCAGCTGCCAACGGGATTTCCCTCACTGCAATGTCTGTTTTCAAAGCATTTGGTCCTGCAGGTGGAGGTGCCCTGTAAGTCAAGAAATTGTTCGGATTACTTGTAACATGAAGGACTATATAACATCAATACCAAATGCATTTTCCATTATGGCACCATCGTTAGAATGATCAAGTAATAATTGAGCTGATTATGAATTCAGCATTAGCAACTAAACACCTTCCTCCTGTTGCAAATATGCAGCTTTTCCTGGGCACAAAAGCGACAAGTTGCCGCCTTTCTTCCAGGTATATACCGATAATCAACTTCTCAGACCGTTATGTTTGCGATCCTCCTATTTGACAAGCTGTAATCTTCATTCTTCACTGCAGGGGATCAAATGGTGTTCTTCGTCTTGAACTTGGTCCAAGGCATCGGGTTGATCCTCACTTTCAAGCCATTTCTAGCACAACCTAACCTGCCTTCTGTTGCAAGTAACTGATCCTATCGTATCATGGAAATGAGTTAGAAATGGAAGTGCCAAGTTCTTAGTTGGATCGGTAGCAATTGGCCTTTCTTGAAGCCTAAGCTTGCCTAATTCCCAGATACATTGGTATTTTCGCCATTGCCAAGCTGGGTCCATTCTCTTCATGGCAAATTGCAATGATTGCAGTTGCATTATAAACGTTTATGAAATGAATTATTATTGATGTTAGAATATGAATTGAATTTGATTTGGGCTTTGTTCGTGTGTTTTGTGGTTTGGGCATATTTTGTTTGGGTTTGTGTTTGGTACCTTTTTCTTGTATGTTTGGAAAATGTGCTTGGTTTTCTGTTTGAGATTAGGAGAAGAGTTCTATAAATACTCTTTACCACCCTAATCTGTAGCTAAGGTGACTCGGGTTAGTTTGTTTGGTTTGTCCGTTTCGGAATTTGGTTTGTAACATGTACTCTCCTCAAATCAGTGAAATTTGTTCTTCCCTGCCCGTGGATTAGCTAGCCCACATTGTGTTAGTGAACCACGTTAAATTCGTGTTTGTTGTGTTGATCACTTGATCTGGATTATCGTTTGCATGCTTTTGTTCTGACAAGTAGAATCCACACTATTGAAAATTCATTTATGAAAAATTGGTCTCCTCCGAACCCTAAAACCGTCGTTTCCCTCGAAGCCACGACAGTAAACCCGTCGTCGGCTAGCACGCGCGTTCCTTGTACAATCCCGGCGTCGAAGCCAGTGCGCCACGACTGCGTCACGTCGTCATCAAGTCATAGCTGCCTCTTCTGCAATCTTGTCGTCGACAAGTCGCGATCACGTTGTCGTTCCTTCTGAAAATCCGCCGTCACGGCTGCCTGGTCGCCATTTTCTCGTCAGATTTTCGTCGACGTCGGCCACCAGCTTCCCGTCGTCGTCGGCCTCAAGCTTCTCGTGCTCGGCGTGATGGACTAACCGAAAGCCCTTTTATTTGGTAAATATTTCCATTTTAAAATGTTGATAACTCGTTTGTTAATAATTGTTTTGGGTGATGATGATAGTAACGTTGCTTATAATGTTAATAACGCAAGGATAAAGATAAATAACAAATGTTAAAATGTTAATAATGTACGTTAGAAAGACAACAAAATGTTAATAACTTAGGTTAAAATGATAATAATGTATCTTAAAATGTTAGTAACGTAGAATAAAGGAAAGAATTTGTAATGTTAATAATGTAGTTTAATACATGTTGAAAGCGTAACAATTATTTGTTAATAACGTTGGTTAAAATGTTAATAACGTAAGGGAAACGATAGGTAACGAATGATAAAATGTTAGTAATGTGAGTTAGAGTGAGAACAAAATGTTAATAACGTTGGTTAAAATGATAATAACGTAGTTTAAAATGTTAATAACGTAGGTTAAAATGAAGCTCTTTTTTAATTTTATGGGTTAAAATGTTAATAACATAGGCCCGAATGATAAAAAAAATGTAGTTTAAAATGTTAATAATGTAAGTTATAACGAAATCAAATTTATATAACGAAAGTTAAAATGTTAATAATATAGATTTATATTATTGAAAGTATAACTAATAATTTGTTAAAATGTTAATATCATGTGTTAAAATGTTAATAATGTAGGTTAAAATGATAATAAAGAAAGTTAAAATGTTAATAATGTAGCTTAATATTATTGAAAGTGGGACAATATTTTGTTAAAATGCAGAAAGTTTAGTACATATTCAACGCTGCAGACCTGAATGAAGTACCTTGTGATGATAACTTGGACGAACAAGACAGTGGCAAAAACGTGAACGGAAGCGAAGATGAAATTACACTAGATAATGCGTAGTTGAAAGGTTAGTAGAGTTTTCTTTATATAGATTGTTAAAAACTCTGTCGGGTGATGACGTGATGTGTGGTGTTTGTCCATGTTTGAGAATTAGGAGTTGGTGATGATGGCAATGCGAATGATGGTTGTTCTGTACCAGTCATGGACTTTGCAATTGATCGGGATTCTATTAATCCAACAGGTAGGGGTTTTGTTTAAAAATCAATTGATATTGTTAACATGTATGTGAATTAATATTGATAGTGCGGGTACATCCGGTTGATAACTATTCTACTAATAACAAAAAGTTGCATCATTATTAACCAATCATTGATATTTCTGCAGCAATGGATATGGTTGATCCTACAAATGAATGAACATGGATAAAGCGTCGGTTTGTGTCTAGGGACCATGCTGAGTTGTTTTATAAAGAGTATGCACATCATAAAGGCTTTGACATGAGGAAGGAAGGCGCACCTGAAAGGAACACATAAGAAACGTTAATAACCGGGGAAAAACATTAATAATTAGAACGTTTTTGATTAAAGGCAACAAATTGACAAAATCAACATTAACATTATTACAAAAGCTGAATAATAACATTAATAATAGGACAACCATTTACCTCTCTACATGAAACCCTGACCCACACAAAGAAAAACTCTAAACCCATGCACTACCGAAACAAAGTTACCAAAGTCACCTTCAAGTTGCCGAGGAGAGAGCTTGGATCGACAACGACGAGGACGGGAACGACTACTATGCGGGTGACGCCTACCGTGAGTAAACCACCAGCAACCTACTGACGACGTTGCCGACCCTATTCATGCACAGAAAAACCCTAAAACCATGTATCAAACGAAAACCTAAACTACCAAAACAAACTACCTTTTGAGTATGTGAGCCTTGGAATGGAGTGACAACGGAAAAGGAGTTGGGGAGCCGACGACAGAGACGGCTGTCGGGAGACACCACAGAAGGGACGGCCAGAAATTTGAGATTGACGACAACGTGGAGAGAGAACCAGTTTGACTGGGAGGGAGAAAAATATACGGGTCGTGGGTTTGATTATTAGGATTAATTATTTGATCTTTTATATAATCTATAATTTCCTACATACCCTTAACAACTAATTAACTAATAAATCCTTCCTAACTACCTAAACTCATAGCAGCCAATCACAATGTTTTAAGATCCTTCTTGAGAAAGGAGGCTTAAGGACCTGAACTCAGGCCCCATGCTCCTTACCCTTGCCTGCAAAGTCACAAAACAAACAACCAAGCATGAAGAAATTAACCCTCAGTATATCAATATCCCCTGTTGATCTTCCGTCAAAATCACAATTGAGAACAAGCGCGCGAGTAAAAATTATATTCTAAATATTCATAATCAATAAATCCAAGTAAAATTATTCAACTTAAATCCTAAACTTATTCACAGCTTTGAATAAATCAATGTGAAAATAAATTCATATATACATGTAAAATTATTCAGATAAATCTGAGAATGGTAGGCAGATATTCAAAGAAATTCACAGAGCTCATTGCTGAACCACTGCAGCTAGCCAATACAGCTATTCCTCACAAAGATGAGCATTCATGGGCTTTATTAGAAAAGTAGATGATAAAAGGATGAAGCTAAGGTCTCACCTTCGCATTTAAGAGAAGGTATAATTCGTCTGAGTACTGGCAGAATAAGATTCAGTCCCCCACCACCATAAGGCTCCCGCCAGAAGATACTTTTCATAGGGCCTAGACATTAAGGATATAATGATACAGAATCAGAATACATCAATAGGCCAAGCATCAAATTAAACAAAAAGACACGAATCCACTATTAGTACAACTTATAATTAACCTTGGGGAGTAGGAGGAATCTCTGCCGCCATTTCATGCACTACAGCCTGCATCAGCTCTACGTTCTGCCCATCAATAGCTTCTCTATCACCTGTAAGAACATTCACAGAAGCTTGCAGAACATCATTTTCATTGTCAAAATTTGGAGAACCATGAACCAGCCTTCCTTCAGAAGCAATCTTTTTTATTTCCCTCTGCTTTTGGCTAATCATTTGAATCAGTAATGACACAGTTGCTTTTGAAATGACATGATGTATATAATCCTTGTACATGGTTGATTTCACAACACGATCCACACTGAAAAAAGAAAACAAATACACAACATTAAGTTGGTAAATCACCTAAATGATCAACATAGAAATTGAACCAGCGTGCAGCTCATGAACAGACAGCTATCTGATGGAGCAATTACACCAGCCACAACAGATATGAGAAGAGATATAACAGAAACGAGAAAATTAAAAAACACATACAGCATCCATGTGTGTATCATAGACAACTTAAATGAAGTTTAGCCTAAAAGAGAAGGCAAAGAGTTTGCAACCAAAACAAAATACTCAAGCAATTGACAAGATATGTATAATTCAATTGGTTATGATTAAAGTTTGCAAAATGCCTTCTCCGCAAAAGAGAACTTTCATCCTAGCTTTCTTGTTTCGTTAAGTAAACTCCTAAACTAAACAGACAAGCAAAAGCAGAAAAGAAGTAAATTTTTACAAGCAGAAGCAATCACCAATTATTGAGGAAGTGGAGGGATGGACATTCTGCATCATTGCTGCTCTCATGACAAAAGCTACTTCCTCCGCCCATGCCTTGCAACTGCTTGTACCTTGGAATTGGAGTAGCCCAACAAGAAAACCTAGGCAGGAACACCTGAAGATGATGGGCATCAGAGTTTAGCAAATAACGTGGGCTCTTCCCATCCCAAATCGCAGCACATCAAAGCATTCCTAGACTTATCAGCAACCCGACTGAAGAATACAAGTTCTGGCTTATGTGGATGCAGAAAAGGTTCACAACAGCGCTCAACGTCATATCTACGACGCAATGATGTCTTGTTCACCAACCCCTCACATTCTTTCCTCCAGGATTTACGGTCTTCTTCCAGTCTCCAGACGCTTGCACGAACAGGTAGAGTTCGATTTTCGAGTGCAATTACATGCAAGGCACCTTGTGAGTTGGAAATAAACCATGGCGCTTCCATAAGGAATGGAGAAACATCAATAGAAGTGGGAGGCATATCAAGGCAGAAAGGATTAAACCCAGCCACCAAATTAGGCATGTTATTGGCACGACTTGCACAATACTTCAAAAACAACTCCCCGTTGCATGAAATTACACTTCTTGGTCCAATTTTATCACAACTATCGAAGACAAAAGCCTCCTTGGACCATTCTCCAGACTCGGAACAAAACACGTCTAGCTTAATGGTATTTTCTACATGGGCTTGATATATACACACCACCCGGAAGCGATGCTCCGAATAAATAAAAGATTGATCATCTCCTAGATCAAGCTTAATACGAGCACGGGGTTCACAAACTAACCTTGCAGCCGGAGAGTCATAATACGCATACTTCCTAGGCGCTAAAGGAAGAGCGATCCACTGCTTCGAAAACGGATTGCAGACCAAGTATGCCCTGCTACTCTCCTCGCTCAGACGAGCTAGATCCAGGAACCCACATAAAACCAAGTCCTTGTTGCAATCCAAAACTCGAAGCCTGGATTGAACTCTACTGGGCATGGGGGGGAGAAAGCTGCGGATCATCGATAGAAGCTCGTATGGATTATCCGGTATAGGTGCGTGGTTCAGGCTCATGGTCTGGTGGTGAGAAACGAAAAGGCGGTTGAAGCCAGGGCTGGAGATCAGGGAGCACCACGGCTTGCAGACCAGTTTACACAGGCAGGCGACTCTAGGGTTGGGGAGGCGTATCAGAATCTCTTGGAGAAGATCGGCTGTGAGTTTGCTGATGGGAGGAGGAAGGTTTGCTAACTCTGAACTGATTCGTTGTCGTTTTCCAGAACGCCGACGGATCTGATCCAAATCCGAGATGCAGTTCTCGATCGCCATGGCGTAGAGAACAACGCCTGCGGCGGAGAAAGATTCGGTGGTAGGGGAGAGTTTGGAATTGCAACAGAGAATGCCCGATGGGTTTATAAGGCTAGGCGGCTGTTCCGTGTTCGGATAGGAAGGGTTTCCTTTCCTCCTCTGCGATAGGATTAGGGATGGTGGTGGGCGGGTTTGTCTAAACCATCTCATTCCCATGTTCAAATATCCAAACTCATACCTGCCTCATACCCATGCGGGGAAATATTTGGCAAACTCATTTCCATACCCATACCCGTGGGTTTCGGATACCCATGGGTAATATCCGTACCCGTACAATCAACATTATTATCCTAAAATTTACATGAAAAGTTTTAACTACAACTCTAAATGTACCTATTATATCACGAATTCAACAAAACACGATCATTTTCTTAATACGATTCAAAGAATATGATTCTAAAACATTCGTTAATACGTAATATAGAGTATAATATTTTTCAAATTATTATGTTCTAACTGTGATACATCTACTAAGAAATAATTAACCAACATAATCTTGTTGACAAGGGAGAAAGTGAAAGAGTGAAAGGAGAATTGAGAGAAATGAATTAGGTTTTGATTAAGGTGGTCACTCAATTTCATTTCTACTATTTATTTCCTCGAGTTATCCTCATCATCATTGATAGATTACAATTTGATCTACATATTTTTGTATATGTGAAGAAATTCTCTTGGTGGGGCGGATATGGGTATGGGTATGGGGCGGGGGAGGCTAAAATCATTCCCGCCCCATACCCATCAAACTTTTTGCGGGTTTTACCCATACCCGGTCAAAGCGGGGATTACCCGCGTTGACTGGGTCGGGGGCGGTCGGATACCTGCGGCCATGGGTTTGATTGCCATCCCTAGATAGGATGAAGGCCAAACCAAAACGAGAGGCCCATATACCTTTTTCAGTTTTTTTAATGGTTACTAGGTATGTAGGCAAGTAGGCAACGCTTCGCCGTGGTTGGGCTTTGCTATCGCAACCCAATAAATTACATAAAAGACCATACGGTAATTATAATTTGGCCAATGCTACGGTGTCACTATAAAAAGTGCGGCATCAGTGACACGGTTTGTGATTGGGCCACGTAAAACTGATGTGGTATAGGCTGGTTTAATTAAACCCAATCAAAATCATTGGCCCATTAGAAGGGGAGTGTATCCCATTAGTAACTCTACGTTGAGTAGGGCTGCAGATAGAGTTAGAAAATTACAACCCGACCCGAAACCTTTCAAAAAATAGAAATTTTTATGACCCGAACCCAATTGACCCGAACCCGATAACCCGTGTTTTTTTGAGTCGGGTTGGGTAAGTTAGCGGGTCGACCCGTTCCATTTTATATATCGCTCGCAAAATGATAAATTAACTCATAAATTGGTAAGATGTTTAAAAAAATTCACAAGGATTTGAATGACATGTTTGGAGTTTAAGGATAATCAAATATCATGTATTTCTTGTAGTAGTATATTACTCTTGTGATTGTTTTTTGATGATTTGCGCAATTTGTATTTCATTTCATCATCATGGGAGGATTTGTGAATATGTTAATTGACATATGTTAGGTAAACTATTGTCATGCATATGTGAAAATTTGTGTTCTTTAAGAAAATATGAAGCATGCTTGATATTGTTCTGAGAACGCTCATAACTCGAAATGACATGTGACCCGACCAGAAACCGAATGGGTTTGGTCAATATTTGACTCGAAATCAGCCAACTCAAAATGACTCGACCCGTAACTAGAGACCTCAACCCGAAGTTACCCAACCCGACCCGATTGCCAGATCTAGCTACAAACGAGCCAAGTCGAATAAAGTTTTTGCTTAGTTTGAGCTCGGCTCGTTTATAAATTTTTGCTTAGTCGTGAATAAAAATAATCTATCTCGAGCTCGACTCGATAGAGCTCGATCAATGCTCATTAGCACAACTTGTCAAGCTGAGTACAAGCTCTATTCAAGATGAGCTCAATTTGAAATCATTCTTGCTGAAAAATGAGTAAACATAAGAATTTAAATGATAAAAAGAAGATTAAAAACTAAAAATAATATCTAACTTCCATAATCCATACACATCGGTAGTAACAATATAATGTTCATGTTTAAAAGACTAATTAACCCTTCCACAAGCTCTAAACAACCAGCTCGCGAGTTTAGCTCAACAAGCAGTCGAGTCAAGCCAGCTCACGAGCTTATCAAGCTGAGCATGGTCTAGCTCAAGCTTGGCTCGTTTACTAACGACTTGACTTGTTAAATAACGAGTCGAGTGACGAATGAGTTTTTATCTATTCGAACGCCTAGTTGTACGGGAGCGACTTGACTCATTTGCAGTCCTATTGGTGAGTAATCCTGAGTAACCCAATCAGAATCTGTCACATCAACATCCCTCTCTCTTTTACGGAAAGCCTTTATTTTCCCTTTTAATCTTTAACGAACAATTTCTCTCTCGTAATAAGTCTTTTGCACACATTGGTCATATGAATTGTTCTCTTCAAAATGACATCCGCTTTGATATATTTTTGGAACAAAAAAAATGAGGCATTTTTTGATTGGTATTAAAATAAGAACATATCATATGGTGTGAAAGCATACCACAAGATACCACCCCCATACCAGGGTGGTATATGTGGTATTTTTTGTCCTGTATTTTTTTCACCCATAAAATTTTAGATCCTATATATCATGATGATCTCGTTCATTTTGTACAAATATTTTTAAAAAACAACTTAAAATGAAGAAGATACTATATGGTATGTAGTTGGTAATGAGATGTATGAAAAAAAATTCTAAGAAAATATTGAAAATGGATCTCATTTTGTAAAGCACAACAACTCATTTCATCTGTGCAAAACAAATCGAAATCCGAGTGAGAACGAACAAGATAAGAGCCAATTAAGAAAACTAGAGAAATAAAATGTCTTTAATTCTCCAATCTCCACCCTTATACCAAGGGTTATGCACCCTGACTTTAGCCCATTAGAAGTAGCCGAACCCAGCTACATAAACTAACAGGAAAGTCTCGAGGCGGATCAGGTGACTAGGGGGTGCTTAGTCACTTGACTAAACCCCTCCCCGCCCTTAGATCCACACCAATCTGACGGTTAAAAAGTGGGAAGGGCTTTTTAATTAATGTCAGGGGTAGTTTGGGTATTATGGAAAGTTATGAAGCATACAGACTGAAATCAGAAACATTATAAATATACAAACAATACATAATAGAATGACAAAACATACAAACAGATTTACAAACAATTCAAAACATACGAACTATACAAACACTATAAAGTAGATCGACAAACAATACAAATCATAAAAAATGGAAAAACAATCAGGTTGATTTGGAGGCTCCACTCCATCTCCATATAGAAAATGTATGAACTAATATCCAAGTCTGGTGAGTATCTAGATAGTACAGACTAGTATTCAAAATATCACAAACTAGTATCCAAATAGCAGATACCAACTAATATTCACAAACAACCAACTAGTATTCAATATGGATACTTTTATATGTTATCTGGATACTCTTATGTGTTATCTGGATACTAATTATGTGCTATATGGATACTATTCTGTGTTGTCTAGATATTAGTTTGTGAATTTGGGATAATAGTTGATTCATGGTGGATATCAGTTAGCAAACTTTGAATACTAGTATGTGTTCTCTAGATATTTTAGTACTTGAATACTAGTTCATGTATTTTAGATATCAATTAGTATCTGTTAACGTGTTCTCTAGATATTTTAGTACTTGAATACTAGTTCATGTATTTTAGATATCAATTAGTATCTGCTAACGAATATTCAAGTTAGCATATTAACTTTTTCCTGTGACCCACCAGACGGTAACTCCCCTTCTCTTTCGTTATCCATTTCCTGATTCATTCTCTCTCCTCCTCTGCGAAATCCAATTTCCATTTTTCCTCATTCCATCAATCAATAGATCGGGAAGGAAAATCTGTCGTTCCTCTCGTCTCCGGCTGTCCCGCGGATTCTGGTCTCCTCCGTCGTCTTCGTGGCAAATACCCAACTCACCATTGCTGATACTCGCTAGTTGAACTGATCCATTACAAGAACAGGGCGAGAAGAAACAGAGAAGAAGAAAAGGAAAAGACGCCATTTTTATTTCTCGTTTTCCCCCTCAGAGCCTGCGTACCATTGTTGTTATTATAATCGTATTCGGGTAGGTGGGTTTTGTACGCATTGGATGGTTGTTTAATGGGCCGATCCTAGATCTGTCCGTCGCCCAGAAAAGCGGCGTTTCCCCCCTTCTTTTGTCGCGGCCTCGCCGGCTTAAGGTCGTGTTCGAGTTACAAGGCAGATAGGATTTTAAAGGTTTTTGCTTATAGGAGGAAGAAGCGAATACAGTGCGAGAAGGAAGGAGAAATGGGAAATGCTAATGGGAGGGAGGAAGGGGGCGGAGAAGGTGCGGAAGAGGATGGATCCAATGGGGAATCGACGGTTATGCAGATGCATCCGGCGCCAGCACCGCCGCCGCCGAATCCAAGCCGCCCAGTTGGTCGAGTTGGTTCGACGGATTCTATGCAGCCAATCAATAACAGTAGCAGTCCACCGCATAGCCCAGCTCGCTCCGCCTCGCCTCTCTTGTTTGCTCCACAGGTTTTGTTTTTCCCCTTCTTCTTCTTTTGGAGTTTCTCTCTGTTTCTTTCATGTTTCCTAGTTAATTAATCCTTTCTTTTCTTACCTGTTATGTATGCTTGCCAATTTGTGTAACGCTTTAATTGGAGTTATGCGAGATAAATCAATGCCTGGGATTCTTATTCTTCATTGACTGCTATGTTTCTTTTTGATTGGCTTGGTCTTAGTGAACCAGAAATCTACCCTTTTGGCTCATTTGAATTGTAAGAAAATGGAAGGAAAGAAAAGTTTCTCTCTTTGTGAACAGTACTCACCTTACTGTTCTTGACGAGTCCTTTAATTGGTATATATATTCATACTATCAGTAAAGAACCTGGAGGCAGTTCCTACTTCAGAATCTTGCCCTACTACTTTATTCAGCTTGGTTGCTTTTCTGGAACTAGTTCATCATTTCAAAGTCTTCTATAATGGTTCTCTGAGAACAGTTCGTCCCTCTTTGACTTTTACTTTTTTCATGGTGGACTTTTTCATCTGTGTTGTTATTGGCCACTAGCTAATGAGCATGATCTGGATTTTGTGAATAGGTCCCTGTAGTACCATTACCAAGGCCTGATGGTTTCCCCCTTCAATTGTGGCGGAATGAACCTCAGCCCGTTGTTGATCAACCTTCTGTAAAGGCAATCCCAGTAATCATCACCTGGAACTATGGTGGTAATGAGGTTGCCGTGGAAGGATCGTGGGATAATTGGCAGTCAAGGTAGGGTTTCTTATTCGCTTCTGTTCCTAACTCCCTCTATCCCAGATCTCATAGGAGGCACAAGAGAACAACTCACGACCTTACTTATCTTTTCCCCCCTCCCGTTGCAGGAAGTTGATGCAAAGAACAGGAAAGGATCATTCTATTCTTCTCGTACTTCCATTAGGGATGTACCATTATAAGTTCATTGTTGATGGGGAGTGGAGATATACACCAGACCTTCCTTTTATAGCGGATGAGATGGGTTGCGTTTGTAATATTCTTGATGTTAATGTAAGTATCTTTATAAAGCCTTACACGCCTATTTTTAAAATTGTTGTCGAGTGATGCATAGTGAGCTACTGTAGACACTGCCATAAACATATTTACCAAAAGATTTCAGTACATTAAAGGATACATCTGATGACCTAAATGAACTTGTGATAGAATCAAGTCATGCTGTCTCTTTTCCAAAAGTGTTGGAACTTGGTGGGATACTCTGTATTTTCATTTGCCAAGTCTTGTTGGAACTCTAGCAGTCCGTCAGATCAGAATCACATGATGCAAAGCTAATGATGTTTGTTCGAAAGGCTATAGTTATGATCCCTTGTAGTTTCTAGGCCGTTTCGATCTGTTTGGGATCCTTCTTTTGTCAATATGTCAGTTGGCTATGTGAAACTCCACACTATGTAGCTTATTAGCAGTGGGTGTCATTTAGCTTTTTATGCTTGGGATCCCTTTATTTATCTTCTGTATAAGGATGTTGCTTGGAGATTGATCTAATAAGCCATAGTCTTTGACTTTCCCCTAAAGCTTAACCACATCATGTCACCCCATAAAATATGAAAAAGGTGAAATAAGAAACATATCTATGTTTCTCTTCGATTTGTTTCGTCTGATTGATTTATGTTGGTTTCCTAAGGACCATATCTTTGTCTCGCATCCTTGCAGGATTATGTACCAGAAAACCCAGAAAGTGTCTCCGAGTTTGAAGCTCCAGCATCACCTGACTCGAGTTATGGCCACACGTATCCATCTGAGGAAGAATTTGGGAAGGAGCCTGTTGTGGTTCCCCCCCAGGTGCATCTTACTGTCCTTGGTATGGAGAACCCAGTTGAACCTGCTTCATCATCTTCTTCACCTCCTCCTTCAAAGCCTCAGCATGTCGTGCTGAACCACCTCTTTATCGAAAAAGGATGGGCTGCTCAATCACTGGTTGGTCTCGGGCTGACCCATCGGTTCGAATCCAAATACGTCACTGTTGTCCTTTACAAGCCATTGAAAAGGTAGCACTCGCCATTCGGTTTCCCACGCTTTTGAACATGTAAAACCGAGACAGCTACTTTTTTGCTTGCTTACCTGGTTTTTGTGAAGGATATCTCTGTTCATAGTCTGCTGAACTTTTGCGCTTCTTGTGACCATGTTGTCGACTGCTGTGCTGTTTTCATTTGTTCAAGCATTTTGCTTTTGAAAGCATGTTTCCTGGAAGATGGTAACCCTTTTTGTGTAGAAAAAGAAGCATTGTAAAATTTGTAGTTACTTTGTAGCGGTTCTGAAATGGTGGGAGGCTAATGTCACCCATTAATGAGAGCTTGTGAAGGCTGGAGCTTGGCCCTCACATGAGATAATCATCTTACTACTAACCAAGTGATAGAAGATTTGGTGGAGACCCTGAATGTTTGAGAGAGGATAAGGCAGATTTTGAATTGTAATGGTGTCTCTTCTCCACGAATGTGTCTGTGTTTGAAATCAATACAACAACTTTTGGTGGTCACCTTGTTCCTTTTGGCACAGTGGAGAATAGCTTTTGTTTTTGCCTTTTTTTGTGGTGAGAGGAATTTGTGGTTTCACTTTGCCTGTGGGATGCTCTGATGATCCTTTTGTTGTGCTGATATTCCATGTCAATGTATGGTTTTTGTTCTCTGTATAAATTACACAACCATGGGCCATGTGAGCCCAGTCAGTTCATAGTCATCCCCCAGGATTCTGATTTATTTAATATGGGGAAAATGAGTCATCCATCATCTGGTTCGTTGTCTGCACTCTGCTGGCTCCTATATTTCTTGACAAATTGCAGAAAGGGGTCAGATTTTGGTCCCGTCCTAGTGCGATCTTTTCCCATTTTTCCTGCTGTCTTTTCTCCAACGGTTGCTTTCTAGTTTATGAGCTTCACTGCTACAAGCCCATATTTATCTTCAACCCACCTTGTAGGAAAGAACAAAATCACATTTGGTTAGTAGGGTTTTGTACCCCATGGTAATAAACAATACCATCTCTTCATCTTGATCCGATTTTCGCAACTCCGAAATTCAAATGTCTAGCGTGCGCGTTCCTGGTGGTCGTGCTTTGGATGACAACCAGATTGAGTTTCGATTAGTTGGGGATGTAACATTTTTTTTCTTTGATAAACTGTAGAAAGTCGGAAACATAAGTATAAGAAATGACCCGCATGTAAAATACGTATCCTTCTTTATAACGCCCATCCCTTCCTAATCGGTTCCCTTTCTTTCTCCATCATAATAAGCATGGTGATGTCCCGCCTATTAGGCTACCACATAGAGGAGAGATGGCACTCTCTTGATCACACACACAGAAATGCGATTCAAATGTAGTTCATCTTTTGGATCATTGAAAGAGAGCATTTTTCAGACACCCCAAGAACAACCAATTGCAATAACGGTTGAAAATATCATGACTAGGTGAAGTTTCATTTCACCCTTCAGCTGTCTTATGGTGTTTCGATTTCGTCTATCTGATTGCTTTCCTGTGGAAGAATTGTATTTTTGTCATCTTCCTTCAACCAGTCCGTTCTTGCCCCTCTTCTTCCGCTTGATTTCTTCCTGCATCATGATCTCATCCAGCTCTTTCTCTGGTACTCTTCTTCTGATCATAAACCTCGAGTCGAGAGACCCTCAAGAACAACCATTTGCAACAACGGTTGAAAAATATCATAACTAGGTGAAGCGAGATGTCGTCAGCGGGCTCCAGACGACATCAGCAGATATGTCCTCTGACCGAGAGATCAATGACATTGGTGGTGTCGGCACGAAAAAGGGGTAGATCCACTGTCCCTCCACAGTAAAGAGAACAACACCACTCCTTAATTCATTTCCCCCCACAAAAGTAACATTTTACATACACATTACATAAACACACACATCAAATGTACATAAAAATCCACACTATAAGACCCTCCTCCAACTCGCCCTCCCCCCAAACCCTAATTTCCTTCTCTCTTCATCCCCTCTAAATGGCATCCATTTTATTTTACAATTCGTGGTTTTACATTTTGCAGCCATTTTGTAAGCGGCCAATTGGCTTACTTGCTTGATGAGCATATAAAAGAAGACCTTCTTCATGCTTACTTTTGCCACAAGTTATGATTCAGAGGATTACACAGACCTTCCAGCAGATTTTTCTGAACTTGACCCTTTCGTGTTGCATGCTCTCGCTTCTCCTTGCCCTCCTTCTGCACCAACCAATACAACAAGAGTGGTTGTTGTTATTTACTCCAAATCAATAATGATGATGATAATAATAATAATAATGACAGAAATTTGGAAAGGGACTTGATAATGATAATAAAGAGTTTTGTAATTGCAACTTGCAAGTAAGTAACTAAAATATCATTTGACAAGTCAATCTTCGTTTGATTGTTTGTGTCCCAATCTTGACACCCGTCTCGATTGTCAATTCATGGAGAAAAAGAAAGACATTGTCAATTCATATATATGCATATGCCAAAAACACATGTAAGTGAGGTGAAGAGAAGAAAATGGGGACAGATTTAAGGATATGAATGATTTGGGCCACATCTTGTTGAGAGAAGAATCTCTTTAGAAAGATGAGAAATGGCAGGTGAAAAAGATCGATGAAGTTAGAATTTGTAGGAGAAAAAAAAATGAAAAATGATCTTTTAAACGAATAGAGAATGAGGAAAAAATTATATCGATTCTACTGGATAAGGAATAATGTTCATGTGGTGCTAAATTGTTGTTTTGTTTCTATAATGACGAGGTTCGGAAGTTATTAAACATGTTCTTGTTTGCTGCGCAGAAAAGACCCCAAAATTATAGGCAACAAATGCATTATTTTTTTTAAAGATTATACACGAAAACAAACTACCTTGTTCCGTCTTGTGATTAAACGAATCATAAAGTGTCAACTTTTGTTCTTCGCGTCGTCACGTTCAATTAGTTGACCTTTTATACTAGGCATAAGTAAGATATGTTGAAAAAGATATGGAATGAATTTGATATAAGGGGGAAAAAGAGGTTATAAAGATAGTGATAGTGGTGTTTTTGGGACTCATGCCATTTCCCTCTCACCCTCCAGTCAATTTATCGCACGCGACTTAGTTCAGAAAATGTGCATAAACCAATTGTCATTCCCAGATGCGCAGAGAGAAACGAGATTTAGTCGAAAAATGTGCATAAACCTATAGTCACTCCTGACGTGTGGAGAGAAACTATACGAGATTCGATAATATGTCAATCTGTGTCAAGCGAGGCCTCCGATGGCTTGAAAATACGTTGCAATTTGTCGCCGAATTTGGCTCCGTAACTCGGAACAGTTCACAGGGCAAAGGGGGAAACCTAAACCCATAAGGATACGAGTGACGGCAACCGGAGAAGGAAGGTGGACAACTAGGTCGTGGTTTCTGCCCTTTACCACCACTATACCAAGGCAAAGAAGGTTTTGAAACACCGAAAGGAAAGTTTTAAAAACCACTTCAAAAGAAGAAAAAAACGAGCAATTGACGAAGAGCTGGTGTGGGTGATGATAGACTTAAAACAGGGCTGGATGGATCAAACTGAAACAAAACAAACAAAAAAGAAAGAAGACCACAGATTTAGAGACTGTTTGTTTGAAAGAAAACCAAAGGAAGTGTGGCGAACAATTTGTACCAAGAGTCTCACCTATAATACAGGGAACCGAAGCGAACCCAACTGATGAAGATGAAGATAGAAACCCAACTCAACCATGATGTTTGAAGAGCTTCCAAATTTGAAAAGACTGTTAAAGAACACAGTGGAATTCGAAACAAAGTGCAAAAGAGGGGAGAGTGAAAATGTAGAAACCATTTTTAGAATACCCTCGGGGAGTAGAGAAGGAGATCAGCCTCGCCGCCGGCTAACATCAAGGAAGCATAGGGAAGAAAGAACCCCATTGCTACCACCTTCAGTGAAGGAGCAAAACCGAAACCGAAACCGAAACTGGTGGCTATCTGTCAAAACCAGATCAAAGACTCCAGAAAACCAGTAGCTACCAAATTAGACCAAAAACCCCACACCATTTACCCTGGAAGACCGGGCGTCTTCACAATCATTCATTCATATCATATGTCTAGTCCAACAGGCGCATTAAGGTGGGGTTAATCAAGACGAAAATCAGTTCCAAAAGCAGCAAGACCAGGAAAGAGAGAGATAATAGGACCAAAATAGAGTTCACAGTTTGGAAATATCAACAAAAATTAGTCAATCCATAAGCCAAAAAGCATCCAATTATCCCAATTGTTCTAGGTTCATGGTACCAAAACGATAAGCAAAAACATTATAACAGGAAGAAAAAAAAGCTAGCAACAAAGCCCAGACTACTAAACCGAGGGAACAGAGCAAACAAGTAGAGACCCAGCAAAGAGAAACTGAACACAGAAATAATGCAACCAAAGATAAAACCAGACCGATCAACCGGAACCAAACGCAATTGACATAAGAGTCCTAATGGTAAACTGGAAATTCTCATCATCAAACTTATCTGCCCTGTTCCCTTGCATTTCCTCCCCCCTTTTTCAAAATGCTTTTTTGGGTTTTTTTGTGATAAGAGTGTGGGAGTAGTAGGTAGTAGTCCTCACTTGGCCATCATGACTTTGACAAACTCCTCGTAGTTGATCTGGCCATCACCGTCCACATCAGCCTCACGGATCATCTCATCGACCTCCTCATCGGTAAGCTTCTCCCCGAGATTCGTCATCACGTGACGGAGCTCAGCTGCAGAGATGAAACCGTTCTGGTCCTTGTCGAACACCCTGAAGGCCTCCTTGAGCTCCTCCTCGGAGTCAGTGTCCTTCATCTTTCGGGCCATGAGGTTCAGGAACTCGGGGAAATCGATCGTGCCATTGCCATCAGCATCGACCTCGTTTATCATGTCCTGAAGCTCAGCTTCAGTTGGGTTCTGTCCCAGTGAACGCATCACTGTTCCGAGCTCCTTGGTGGTGATGCAACCTGTAATAAAACACATATAAGGATTATGATTGTGTTAAAACTCAAATAACTGACAGAGTTCATCACCTAATCAAATATAATTTTTCTATATAAAAGTTACACACCCAATTGAAGCAAGTAAATCAGAAGCCATCACCGCGAACAAGGATACCCTGTAAGGTCTAGCAGATTTATGAAATAAACCTCCAAGTCAACTCAGGATTGAAGTCTTAACCTAATGCTCTCTAGAGATTAATCGACTCCAAATGTCCATCTGTTACATCAGCAACATTCAAACCTCCCACCCAACACATTACTATCAAAACTACCTATGGACGAATCCATCATATCCATGTTAGCGTTCATTTTTAAAGTTCTCAACAGAGGATACCTCCGGACAGTGAATGAATGATTGGCTACAGAGGCTGTAATATCAAAACGCTAACCGTTGACCTAATCATTTGCATCTCGTGACGAACATATGCAACACAATTCCAATCACAGCCAACCTTCATTTCGGGATCCAGAGCGAAGGGAGACTACCATCGTGATAGTCTTGATGAAGGGAAAAAGCCGTATAAGTGAGTCAAGATCACGAAGAAACCCTAGGGGAGATAAGGCGGTAATTCGATCTAATCCAAATCCCAAATCCTAACAACACAAATCATTTCTATAACCAGAGAGAAGGAAGCCTAGCTAGGGATTCACATCTCAAATCAAACAATCAATCAACACAGCTAGAAACACCTCGTGGTTCAAAGCAGAACCATAAACGCGGGAAAATAGATCAGGCACGAGATCGACCAGCTAAAACACGGGAAAAACGAAGGCAAAACACGCAGACGAAGATCTAAGAAACACGGAAACTATGGAGCAAAGGACAACGGAGAGAAAGAAAAGAGAGAGGGATCTGAGAGGGAGACCATCGCCGTCCTTGTCGAATAGGCTGAAGGCCTCCTTGAACTCGGAGATCTGGTCGTCGGTGAGCTGATCGGCCATTGCTGTGCGGGAAGAGAGAAGGAAAATTCAGGCGAGAGAAGGGGCGACGGAGGAATAATCCCGGGGGAAGAAGAGTCTGTCTGTCTCGCTCTCTTTCTCTTTCTTTGTCTCTGGGTCTGCGCTTCGGCTTTTGTTTTTTTTTTTTTTTTTTGGTTTTTAGAGTTTTTCCTTTTGTTTTTTTGGCAAGGAGAGAGGTTTTTGATAATTGGGGAATTTTATGGTGTGGTGGAGGATTGTCCTCGAGTGTCGAGAGGGAAAATAAATAGGGAGGGAAAGAAGAAGAGCGAGGGAGAGAGAAGGCATGTTGGTGGGCCCAGACCCAGGCCAATTTGTAGAAACTCATGGGCCCCTGCTCCATACTCCGGGCTTCGGTCCGCCACATGGCCCATTTCCCTTTTTCTTTCTAATTATTAGTTCTTAACTTATTATTAACAATTAACACACTAGATCATAAAAAAAAAAACATTAACACAGTAGTATACTACAAGTTGTCTCTAATTGACAGCCATATATATTGATATTCATTAGAAATGCTCATTTGGATGGTCTGTTAAGTCATTTTGAATATTGTATAACACTTATTGTAACAAATTTATTAAAACAAAAAATTAGAAATATAGAAATAGAAATCTACTGTTTCTCTAACTAAACATACATAGTGATTTCTGTATCAAACACGTTTTTCTTTCGGTTTTCCATTCCATTGAGTCGGTAAGTGAACTAACAATTACCTGCCCTGTAACTTTGCGACTACGAGGAAACAACCAAAACACACGACGACTAAATAAATCAGGCGACAACAATCTTTATCAGCTCTCGAGCAACTTCCATACATCAATATTGGACGAAAATTGTTACGATATTTTCTTGAATTTTGTTAGATAACCGTTTACTAAACATACATGATACACGACAGAATTTAAACAACTTATGAACATAAATCTTACAAACTTTTTTTTTTTTTTTTTTTTGGAAAAGGAAGGAAAGGAATAATCTTTTCTTCACTTTAGATGCATTGCTCTCTGCTTGCATGGAATCGATACCAACATGTTTTACAGGGAATACCCTAAATGGAATCTTTTTCGTACCAAAACCTGAAAGGAAGCTTTCATTGGCCGAACCAAAACGAAAGGAAAAGGATTGCTTTAGCTTTTCCTTTTGTGAAGGTGTTGAGAAGTGGTTAGGGGAAAGGAAGAAGCCATTTGATTTAGCAGTCGACAGACAGGTCGATAGAGCACCTCAGGAACTTTTGCGTGTTAGTGGAGGATGTGAATTTATTCTCTTGTCATGGGAATCCTTCTGTTTCATCATTCATGTCTTTACAGATGTGAGCAGGAGTGGTAATATAGTAAGCATATATGTTAGTTTTATATTAGCTTAGGTACAAGTTAGGTTGGAGTGGTATGAGATATGTTTTGTGACGGGTCAAGGTCGTTCTTATATGTGATATGAAAAAGAACGACATGATTTTCAGGGTGTTGGTTGGAGAACTTCGGAAAGCGGGAAATGGGTTCAAAGCGAACGAGGAGATTGAATGCTACAAGAAATTATATGATAGAGAAGGAATTAGAAAAACATCTTTGAAAGAAATACGTGTAAATGTTGAATGAAATTCGGACAAAGAGAGCATGACAAGTCAAAGCAAGTCGGTGTTGAGTATCTTGCCCTATATTGATCACATATAAGACAATACACTCCCTAAACAAATGAATATTTACACCTTAAAAATCCTTATTTTGACGGAGATGATTAAATCGCATATCGAAATTGTCATCCACCCTCAAATGGTCATATTATTTGCACCTTTTGGTAATGCTTTAGCTCCTCAGAACAGGCAAACTAAATAAGGAACTTACTCAGCTCAAGATGAGAAAAAATAGATGGAGACTCCTTGCCAAGTTGTTTCTGAATTGTAGACTAGCTCAATAGACAAAAATGTTGCCCACTTATCTCTGCCTAGTTTTATACACACAAAAGAACATGTGGCAAATAAGGTCCTGTATGCTTACATCTTCTTCCAATCCTCAGAGATCCATTAACATCTCCACAAGAAGAAAATGTAGGCCACCTAGAAGGAGTTGTTACTCCGTCGCGACAGGTTCCAACGCTTTGTTTTCGGCATCAGCTGCTGCTGCTGCTATCTGGAAGTGAGGCTTGGAGGGGAACACGAAAACAGTAGATGCAGCGACCGAGGGCTGAAATGCAGCTGAATATCTAACTGAAGTCACAGTGACTCGAGGCAGCTGTTGCTTACCAGAACAGAGCGGCACGATTTTGTAAGAAACCACGTGTTCCGACTTTGGTAGTATGAAGGTGCTGTCAGTGTGAGATCCAGCGAGTACGAAGCTCTGTGCATCGCCCAACGAGAATTTGACCTCCTGCAGCAGCTTGGTCTGATTCTTGATCCTTAAAACGTATGCAAAAGGATCTCCGAGGATGGCATAAGGAGGGCATTCCTGTCTCACCACCAATGGCGGCAGCTCAATGTTTACGTCTGGAAGCTTATATTTAGTCAGCACACAAGCTTCTTGTGTCTCGGATTTCCTTCTCCATCTTAGAGCCACCGACCCTAGTACGAGACTTGATGATTCTACCTCAGGAACGATGGTGAAGACCTTTCTGAACTCTGCTCCTGGCATAAGATGAGAAATCCCTAACATATCTTCAGCTCCTCCACCTCCATGCTGAAGAGTATACAACCTTTCGTGGTCATCATCCATATCGATAGACATAGACTGCAACTCCAAGGGGACTTCAGAGCAGTTCTTAGTGCTAACAACTAGTACACTGGCTTCGTTCATAGGCAGGGAAGGTGACTGTTTGGAGAGTAACAGTGGGTACTTGTGGAATGGTAGCATGAATTGATGACTGATTACAATGCCGGTCTTTCCTTCTATCTGCAAGCTTTTGTGGACATGAACTTTCTGTGAGCTCAACTCGTTGACATCCGGAAAATATCCCAGTGAAACGAATAACATGATCGGTTTAGGTCGATTCCACTTGATTTCCAGCTTGCAGGACCATGATTCTCCATCTTTCAAAAATGGGACAGAGACCAAGCCGAAGGACTGCTGAATTTTCATGATTTTGCTGGAAGCTACCTGAGGGTCGTCCTCCGTCTCTGTTGAGGAGACTCCGAGAAGCTGAACGTGATGGCTGCTATCTGAGGAAAGTGGCTCAACTTCCCTGGGACTAAACAAGCCGCCACCTTTGACATCTACCAAATTGACTTTCAACTCTCCCGAGAACACAGAGTGACCCTTGGAGGTCACAGTGACAGGAACAAAAAAGCACTCTTCGACTAGTGCGGGTCCCGTGGCACCAAGAACAAGATCTACCTGGGGGTCTGCTTCCTCAACCTGGGCAGCCTTTTGGCCGGAAAATGCCAGAGCAGGATCCTTGGTAGGGAAAGTCTGAACACGATCTTCAAATCTCCAAAGAGGCAAATCATCCATCGAGGCGGGACTTTCAGCTCTGCAACAGATTGTCAGGAGGGATCTCATTTTTGCAACCACGTATATGCACTCCAACTTGCCACTTAGTTCTGCAATTTAAAATTATATTCACATTACCACCAATGAAACATCAGAGTGCAAGTAATTCAGAATGTAGAGAGGTGTAAGAAGTCCATTGATGTTTTATGCCAAGAAACGCCATACAGGTAGAGGTGGAATATCAACCCAACCCACCAACTAAAACAAACCTGATACAAACCCATTTGACCAATATCCATTGGGTTGGGTTGACGGATTTCTGAGAAATGGTTACTACCTAACCAATTCATGCCTAGCACTTGAGTACCTAAACATTAACATATCTACATGACATAGTTTCTTTATTTGGGTTTCCACAAGCAAGGGCCACAATAAAGCGTGGTGGTTAAACATTTTCAACTCGGATCTAGCACAAACTTGTACCCTCTGTATCAAAATATAAAGAGGTAAACTTGCATAAGAAAAGATATAACAAAGCAGTTGCCGGAAAATGAATTAGTTTAGGAATCAACAGTCGGTTGTGTTTGCGCATTCATACACTTTCAAGTCTATGAGTAATAAGCTGACCTGATTGGACCTCATATGTCAAGCGTAGCCACTTGTTTGTAACAAGTGACAGAGAAGGAGCACGTTCCACACGTCGACCCTGTCGTCCATCAGTCGATGCTGGTCTTTGAGAATTCATGATAATGAAATTACATTCTGATTGATTAAACTGGAGTTCTAATTGATCGATGTCCACATTCATAGGTAATTGGGACAGAAGTGATACGGTAATTAAAGCAGGCACACCAGGTTTGATTATCTGTTCATGAAAGGCAACTGAAGCGAGCAAGACAACTCGTAGTGGGCTGACAAGATCTATCTCAAGATGGAGAGGACCATTGCAAGCAGTTTGGAGATCCAAATTATCTCCAATTGATACGGATCCAACTTCTCCACTGACAAGAGAGAAAACCTCCTTGTGTATATTTTCTCTCTGAGCAAGACTTGGAGGACCAGCTGGGCCACAATCTTTAGAATCAAAAGATTGGACACTGGTATCAGATGATACGGGTAGTGCAGCCATTTCAAGAGAGTATTCCACAAATTCTTTTACCATGCCAGCTCTTCTAGCACACTCCCTGACGTAACCCAGGGCCTCCCACAATAAAGTCACCCATCCTTCCGATCTGTAAAGACTTGCAACATCATCTAGTAACTGTTTTGCATTTGTGAAGTCTGCCACAGTGTAATATTCCTTAGCCATCTGAAATGCACACAGAGAACCCATCCTCTTGGCCTTGATGCCGGAGAATGATTCATGAGATTTTTTAAGAAGAGCAATAATTTCAAAGGAATCTTGGAACCTTTTCCCTTCGGCAATGGAGTAACGGGTGTATTCCTCATCAGTGAGACTGCAAAAAGGATGACCATGTAGACAGTGAGCAAACTGGATAAGGTAGAGAGACCGGAACCTTTTAAAGTTTTTCATAACTTACGGTTGCATAGCTAATACATTCTCTTGCTCAAGCAGCCGAGAGAACTGACCAACATAAACTGAAGGCGCTACAGACTCAGCACTGCCATCAATACCACCAGCTGCTTCCTCACTTTGCTGTGCAAGTTCTAACGCATTTCTCTTCTCCTTCAGGTAGTTAGCTGCTAACTGTTTCAACAATAAATGTATGTTATTCAAAAACCTATAGTGCCAACCTAGACAAATGTGTGCAATAACAGCATTGCTTATCACGTGAGACTTCCAACATTCTCTTATTTGATTAACATACATCTTATGAACAATCCAAAGCAGAACACAGATCTGACAGTTCCCTAATCCGATTCTCCACAAATGTGACTCTATCTATGGAAGAGAAAAAGGATAGCTAAGGGTACATCACTGTGGAAGAGAATTGCGTCAGAAGCAAAATTGTGACCTCAGATAACTACAAAGTAATTCAGTTTGCATGATCTATCTCTCCATGTCACTGAAACTAAATTCTCTCTAGATGGAATTATTGGAAGGATTGAACATTCATTTTGGTTGTTTGTAATCTTTGCTTGTGTCTACGTCATTCGATATGTAGACCCATCAAGTGTACAAAGATCACAAATAAGACAGTATTCATTTTCAAATAAATAGCGAGGACATAAGCAGCACAAGGGATCTGCCAACCTGATAGTAATAAGCTGGCTGAAACTCCCACTCCGTCAACTTCTCAGCAGTATTTGAAGCAGGACCTGAAATGCTCTGAATGGCCTTTGAGCTTGTCTCTAGCAACTCAGCAAACACAAGAAACTGCCGGCTCATCCACTCCCAATGCATAAACACAACTCCTGGAGGCCCCACTAGATTTCTGTAGGAAGCATTATGCTTGCGGAACCATGCAATCGCGTCTGCTATCTTTCCTCCATGGAGTAACAAGGTTGATATTTTGAAATGGAACTGCTCTGCAACAATTTTTATCTCAACCAACCGTTGAATAACAGGTAATCTAGTTGAGGTTGACACCATCTGCATCAATGGGCAAAATCAGGAAAAGGAATAGGTGCCTAAGGTAATAATAGATAGCACAAGTACTTACACGACAAGATGGAAAGCATGAATTTAGAATAGGGGCATTCTGAAATCAAGAAATCACTACAGTAGTGTAAGAACTTCCAAATACCTGCCGCAATACGTGATATGAATCCTCATAAAACCTCAAAGCTTCAACCCAGTCCCTCCTAAACTCAGCATAGACAGCAACCTGACATTAAATCAATTAACAGTTGACACAAGAGAGTTCATATCCCAGAATCAGCATAGATAAGACCTACACTGGACATGTCAAAGCCAAAATAAAGAAGAAAACATTGTAGCTAACTGACCATACCCAAGAGTGGAATGCAGTCCAACATGCAGGGAATTAAAAACACGAAAGAAATGAAAAGCAATGGTCTTACCTTGAAACAATTACGAATGTTCAACTCAATGGAACTGAAGTTCTTCTTTTCCACGCGGGTCTTAATCCTTCGCCCTTCTTCTCTATAATATGTGGTTGCTAATTCAGCAAAAGTGCTTCCTAGCCTGCAGGAATAGCGATCAACTCAACTCAACTCAACTCAGACACCGGCAAACACAATTCGACTGCTAAACAAGATCAGAATAGAAGGATGCGAGCACAGAAGAGATAGTTACTTGTTAAGGGATTCCTTAAGTTGCAACTCATCACCAGAGTTGAAGAAAACAATGTGCTTAGCATCCAATTCAGCTCGCTTGCGGAGAGCAGCCATTCTATCTTCGCTAATGAGATCATCTGCCATAATATCCACAACCATCATCATCAACACCGTTCTTCATTTGATAAGAGTCTATGCAATCCAAATCCACAAGGTTCCCTTACCACTGGAAGAAGCAAAAAATGTAGCTGGCACAACAACAACCACCACTAGCTTGATGTTCTTCGACCGAATCACATTTCTGAAGGCACGCCATAAACGGGAATCAAAACGACTATCAAATCTTCATGAACAATGGACAGAACAAGTTAAATATGAAACGATTACGAACCTGAGATTTTCCAGGTCCGTGCAGACCTGAATCCACTGAGCTGGATCGCCAGAGATCTGTTCAGAATTGAAAAGAGCAGCGAGGACAGCAGGAACCTTAGTGCGATGCTTGAGCAACCAGTCCCTCTTGAGAATGCCGGGGGTGGGAGAGCTGGGATCGGAGGCGGACGCTGCTTTCCCATCGGAGCTTTTGTCGGAGAAAATCACGGAGATCTTTGAGAAGTCCGGCAAGGCGAGTGTATTGATTGGAGGCTGCTCGGAGTGGAGATGCGACGAGATGAGTGCGTGGAGCTCCGGACACCCGACCAGCGATATCAGAGTCACCGGTGGCGTCCGAAGCTCCTCCGGATACTCCTCCATTTTGATTCTTTTTCCTTTCTTCCCTTCGTTCGACGATATTCGCAAGACCGAGATTGATCTAGAGAATGAGAGCTTGAATTCGAATGCAAACAGGAAGTTCAAAGCTCAGTTACAGAGTTGCAGTTACCCCGCCGGAGAGAATTTCTGCTACTCTACCGAGTCGAGAGCAAACCTGGACCCGTGAAAATGAAGACGAACACTAGGATTATTACCTTTTTCATGCCTTAACTCTAATTATTTCTCCATACCAATCCTCAATGATTTTCTTTATATTGTTTTAGTCATCAATCTTTATACTCTTTTGTGGATGCTTTCATTGGGCTCATTGTAAGGCCCAAATAGAAAGCTCATGGAACGGCCCAAATAGCAGGCCGCAGTGAAGGGGAAAAGGCTTCAGGCTTTCCGCTTCTCTTTTTTGCCTTCCACGGTGGTGACGCGCGGCGGCGGGAGATGGTGGAGGTGGAGGGCGAATAACGTCAAAGCTGCGAAGAATGCCTCCGCTGATCTACAAGCCATCTTCCAGCGACTAACTCGAGATTTCAACGCCTCCCCAATTCAGCACTCTCCCAGGTACTACGCGGGTCCTATTGAATTCTCGAGCTTTTCTAAGATCACACATCGCAAAAGGAGGCTGCAGTTTCTCCTAACCAGTTTTCTCAGACTGGTAGTTGAAGGACAGTTCTAATTTGGTCGGCCAATTCGTTGCTTTCTTATCAGTTGCGGATCTGTGGTCAGCTACCACTTCAGGGCTTTGCGGTGGAAAGACGATTGATTGCTTTTCTTCTCTGGTACTCTCTTACTTGGTAGCTTCTTCATGCTTGATCCCGGTTCCAGCATTGCTGAATTGTTGAGCAGCTGATCATGGTATTGACCATTTGGATTTCTTCCATTATGTGTCCTTCCTGGATTTGTTCGTTATATATACTTGTGTTCAAATGGTTGCTGCGTTTCTGTTGTTCCAGAATTTCCTCATTGGAGCTTTCAAGCCACCCTGCAACATTTCAATCGTTTTTGCTGATAGAAGAACTCGAAAGCAGGTATCTTTCAGGTGCACTAATGTATTGAATTGGTGTTTGTAGTTGGTAGAGAAAATCCTCATCAAGGGAGTAGATTTTGCAATGAAATTGGTATAGATTTTGTGTCTCGTCATCCACCTTTACTTCTTGTTCCGAGAAGATGGATTTTGAACACAGTCGACGTTCCAGCTCTGAAGCTGCTGTCCTCTGGAATATTTTTTTAGTTAGCCATTTGGGCTGATCATTGGTGATACTCCAAACTTTTGTTAGGTTGCATTGAAGAAGGAAAATGGCCAGACAGTCATGGTTCCTCTCTACCAGAGTCAAGAAATCATTGCTGGAGAGGTTATTATAATCTGTTCATGTTTCTTTCCTTTTTAGTGTGCTGCTAACGACTTCCGCTAGAAGGTTGTTGTGGGGATTCAAACTTTCCTGTTGACTATTGTTATTTGGGATTTCCAGGTTGTTGTGGAACCTGGGCAAGGGAAGAAGGTTGAACACAATGGGATAAAAATTGAGTTGCTTGGCCAGATAGGTACAACAGTTCTTAGCCCTGATATTTGATGGGTTAATTTTGGCATAGAAGTCCTCTCAATTTCTAAGTTGTGCCTGAAATTTGCCTAAAGCTATTTGAGGCAGCTCAAACTTTGTTCATCTTTTTCATTTCTGTTCCTTCTCTTCTTCTTTATCCAATTGCGTATCCACTTTCTTCTCATTCATCGTTTTTCATGTTTCATTGCCTGATCCTCAAGTTACATAATGTGATTATATCAATGGTGAAGACTCCTTAAGTGACAGGCTAACAACTCAGCTATTGACAGTAACATCTTTTTTTGGTTATCTGCAGAACTATATTTTGACCGTGGAAACTTCTATGACTTTACTTCCCTTGGTGAGTAGTTGTTCCCATACATATCTTGGTAATAATAGACTATTGGATCCAGAGCATTTTCAAGTTTTATGTTCCATACCAATAGGTGGCAGACAAATATGAACTTATATGTCTTTGCTTCTCTTCATTATTCATTATTCGCCGCCATAGCAATGTAACAAGACTTGTAATTCTTTGTCCACATGATATGCTGTTAGCATTGTGAATGATTCAAGACTTAGCTCCATACTGAGCCAACTCCTTTCATTCTAATGCAGTGCGTGAACTTGACGTCCCTGGCGACTTGTTTGAAAAGAAATCATATCCCTTTGAATTTTCAACTGTGGAGATGCCGTATGAGTCTTACAGTGGAGTCAATGTGAGGCTTAGGTACGTATCAGTGTGAACTTAACTGGGTTTTCCATCTGATCTATTATATTCTAGTATGAAATCCTTGAATGATCCTGATTTTAATTACACACGTTTGCATTGATCATTTAGCTTCTGCTGATTGTAGCATTCTTTGGTGAGAAGTTTATTGGGGAAAACTTTTGTAACTGTCAAACAAGGTTGCCTAGCTCCCCCCTCCTTCTCTTAGAACCTATTCGGTTAGCTTATTAAAGTAACATAGGTGGTTCTTTCACAAATAAGCTTTTTCATGTAGCCGAACTGTCTACCAGACTTACTTTTGGCCTATCTTTGTAGTTTTTTTCTTTCTGCTATGACTTCATATTAAAACAGGAATAAATTTCTGAAAATTTATGAAACTTGAACTCAGAATTCTGATGAACTTTCAGGTATATATTGAAGGTGACTATCAGTCGAAACTATGTCAACAACATTGTTGAGTACCAGGATTTTGTGGTAAGTTGTTATACATCAGTAAGAAGTAAATTGAAACAACTTCATTGGTAATTTATGCCCTTCCATCTAATCCATTATCAGAACTTTGTTTCAAAATTCATAGAGAATACTGCTACAGCTATGGTTCCATAGAGAAGTCTGTTAAAACATGTAATATCTAGAAATTTTGTTTGCTTGTTCAACGAGAGAAGTAATATATAACTTGTGGGGGGCAGTCCTTTTGTTTCATATTTTTAATTTCTATTTAAAAATCTCAAATAACAGTTACTCGAGTATAACTGCATTGAGCTTGTTTTTCTCATTTGCTGGTCGTGAATTGTTAACCTGGACTAACCATCAACAGCTGATCATGATCTCTTTCTGTCAAATTTCTGCATTAGGTGAGGAATTACACTCCACAACCACCAGTCAACAACAGCATAAAGGTCAGCAAAGTTATCAGTCAAGTCCTTTTTGGTGCTTGCTCTGGCCTTCAAAGTTGTCAAATCCTTGTGAAAAGTTGGACATGTTTGTGCTGGATACTTGGTTGCACAAATATAATATTCTTCCCTCGGCGATTGTATTTAAATGACAACTCTTTGGCCCGTTGTGGTTATAATTTTTTCAGAAAGTTATCTTTCTCTTTTATGTCTCGCAATGTCATCAAAAGGCTTGTCTTGTAGATAACTGCTTATCATATCAGGCTTGGATAGGATATTTAATTGCATATTGGTGGTCCTTGTAGATGGAAGTTGGAATCGAGGATTGCCTTCACATAGAATTTGAATACAGCAAGAGCAAGTAAGTAACATGACTCATTCTTAGAGGTTTAGAACATCATTTGGCTCAAGTTTATCCCGATTACACTCCAGACTTGGTTGACTGAAATTTTCACAGGTACCATTTGAAGGATGTAATCCTTGGGAAAATCTATTTTCTTCTTGTGAGAATTAAGATTAAGAATATGGAGCTTGAAATCCGGCGTCGTGAGTCCACAGGATCAGGACCCAACACGTATGTTGAGACAGAGACGCTTGCCAAATATGAGTTGATGGATGGCGCCCCTGTGAGAGGTACATCAATGAAAAAAATTAGTGACAGCCAAATTGGAAGAGGTTTTTTCCCTTGATGGTCATCTTAAGTTCCTGTTTTCCCTATTGATAACTTTTCCTTGTGCAATTTTGTGATCTTAAAACAGGAGAATCGATTCCGGTCAGGCTGTTCCTAAGTCCATATGAGTTGACCCCAACATATCGAAACATCAACAACAAGTTCAGTGTCAAGTATTACTTGAATCTCGTTCTAGTTGATGAAGAAGATCGACGGTATTTCAAGCAGCAAGAGATCACTGTATATCGGCTTCTAGAAACTTCTTGATCCTCACTTATGCCAGGGTGTGTGACTGTGTTGACACTGGAAGAATGACACGGCCCTACAAACTTGTTTGCAGTCCATGAGATGTCTGAGAAACCTTGACTTGCACAGTAGTCTTGTTGTTCTTTAGTAGTGTTGTTTGTTTCGACACTTTGATTGGGCATGGTCTTTCGCTTGCTGCCATTTCTTAGAATCTGGTGATATGATGAGTTTAGTTTGTACCTGTGATTCTCGGCTGTAGCATGGTTGTTTATCATTTCTGTATATTGTGCACATCCCCTTGCATTTGCTCATTCCATATGCTGTTATGTTTGAACAATCCGTGTGGATGATCTATGGTATTGACATTGTGTTTCGAAGGTTTGAGATTTCCTTACTTTACTCACGCTCTGTTATGAATGGAAAGTGGGAAGTGTTATTCATGGAATACCCAATAGTATATGGTTGACCGAGTGTGAAGAGGAGATTAGGAAATAACTTTTCATGTAACTTTTAGTGGTTGGTGTAGTTAACGAATTGGTTGTGTTCTACTTCAGAGTGAGTCTTCCTCTATGAAGATCATGACTTGTCAAAGTCAGTTTTTGCTTGTTTGCTGAAGATCATGATACTCATTCACTCAGCATTCAAGCATTCAAAAGAAAAACCCCACTAGCTCATCCCTTCTCACATATGGCTGCAGACTATGGAACCATCCAGTAGAAGGCAACCACCAACACTCGACAAGCCAATGATCCCTCAACTCACTGCTTCAGTCGATGATGATTCTCGAACCTCGAATTACCATCTCGCTTCCCCCTTCAGCATTCCTTCCTCCATAGAAGCTGCTGCCATGCAAATTGCTAAAAACCTGAGTCCAAAGAGGAAGGTGGCCTTGATATACATGGTGATCATTACATTGCATCACTATATCTGCTTGTCTTGAGAACATTGCTTGGTTCTAGTTTTCTTCACATTGACAGCCACTACGCCGTTGGCTATAGATCATATGAGCCTATGGATCTGCGAAGATGTCGTGGTGGTGACTGATGATAAGGAGGCCAGAGAGTTTCTTTCAACTGTGCAACAGGAGTCACATGAAGGCAATGGGTAGTGTTATGATATCTTTGTTGGATTTCTGTGATGTTCTTTAATAAAGTTGACAGTCGTTCAACAAACAATTCTAGTTTTGTCTAAGGTGAAAGTTATTGAGCAGAGCACCCATGAAACTGAAGTAAATTTTTGCATTGACTCGTACTTTGAACTAGACCTAACATACTTCTTTATATCACTAGGGACACACTCATTGCAAACATTGATATACAATTTCACCCTCTCATACTCTTTCGAGTCTTTTCTGCTAGTTGAGCTTATATTCTTTAATTATTTGAGAGTAGTTTGTAGATAAGAATTTGATTTCCGACCATTCGCAAGCATATATAGTGCTTGTTGATAATAATAATGCTTCACATTACTCAAAATTAACAAATATGAATTTATAGAATCTGCAGCCTAGCCCCTTGGACAATGATTGATTTAAATGTCAATAAAAAAGGTAAAAGACTACCAAAATACAAGAAAATCTTTGATTTGTTTATCTCTCATGTTGATTGTAGCTTTTGATTTGACCCAATACTAAAATTTCACCAATTCACCTCAATACACTCATCAAAGCGGTTTCGTTTTCTTCCCCTGATTGCCTCCTCACAATGACATACTCCTCTCTCAACTTCTGAATGAAATTCTGGAGTGACATTTCAGGTTCAGGGTTACTCAATCTTAGTCCAACCGTCACCCCATTTGGGAGTAAGATCTTGAATTTGTACACCCGGTGTAAGTTGACCCCACCACCGTCTTTCCCATCCAGGTCCAGCTTCCTCTTAACAGTCTTCTTCAGCATCCTCTCTCCCTTATCTTAGCTGCAAACAAACTGCAAGGGAGAAAACATAAACAGACTTCAATCATCGGGGTCTCAAGCTTTCTTTCAACTAGTCTTTTGAAATCACAAAAACCCTCGTCTCTAGTCCCTCTTACTTCTTCAATTTCTTGTTTTATTGATGTTAATGTCTAAATCTTTTATGATTAGCACAATTGTCAAATCCAAATTAACTCTCACATAAGAGTCATAAGTGAAAGGAGTCAAAAATTGAATTGGACTCTCGTGGAAGCTATTTTAGTTTCCTCCAATTTCTTGTTGTGGTTGATGCTACTAACTAAATAAAATTCTTAATAAGGAGCACAGTTGTGAAATCAATATCAATCGCATTAGATGTGTTGATGAGGTCTCAACACAGTGTCTTGCCCGTACAAAGCAACTAAATTAATGTGTTGTTTGAACAACCTTGATGGATTTAGTCGAGTCTACTAAAAAATTCGATTGGTCCGGTCAATTTTACCAAGCTACGAGCCAAAAAAGTTGACTGAGACCATCGTTGCTTGACAAAAGAAACATGCAAAAAAGTTTATTTCGTTTGAGCCCTCCTACAATTCTTCTAACACAAAATTTCTTAGTGGTGGATAGGGCAAGCAACACAATGTTTGACACATATATAGGGCCAGACGACACGGAATTTGTTCAAATGGCTAGCAGCATGATAATTCCATGACTAGTCATGTGTTTGTTCAAATGACAAGCCTCGAAATAGAATAATATCATTGATTTTGCACTTCACCACTGATGATTGCTGGCACAAATTCATGCGCAAGAAGTATAGGTTCATGTGAAATGCTCTGAGGGTAGTACCTCTACACGCAAAATGTGCCCAGTAAGAGTAACTTAAGAAGAAACCAAATGCGACAAATTCAACATCCTTCGCCACTCCAGAATTCACACAGCCTTTGTTTCACATTAAATTAAATTGATACTTGGGTTGAATCAGATTGAATTTTATTTTATTTTTGAATTAATGGATTCTCTTTTAAAGAGAGAGAAAAGTGTAAACTGTAAACCAAATCAAAGCATAATGGCATAATTCGTAAAGCTGTTTCACATTAAATCAAATTGATCACTGTTGCATCTAAATTTGGATGTACACTTCTACTGTTCTACAGCAACTAAAGTTGAGGCAATGAATACAAGTTCCAGGCCAACGTTAACTTGACAGTTTGCAGACTATATCCATTGTCAAGATTCGAGAAACCACTTCGAGCGAAACTGCACATGACTTGTCTGCATTTCTTCACCATTGATCAGCAGAAAGGGAGGATGATAGTTTATGCATAACTCACACCTCTCCCATAATCCTTACATCACTTGGACTTGCCTTTGAATATGGCCTGTTTGTAGTACTTGAGTTCATTGATGCTTTCTCTGATATCATCTAGGGCTCTGTGTTTATTCCCCTTGGCAGGGGTTTTCTCATGTTCTGTAGAAGCGAAAGAGACCAAGTTGAGGAGTGAAACAGTCGGACTTCATAGTGCCCACAGTTATTTCTATTTGGTTAAACGCTAAGTGATGGCTGGTTTGCGATTACTTTTGCATTAGACATGAAAGAAGAAAGCACGATTGGTATTACCTTTGGGATACCACCGATAGCACAAAGACCTAACGCTGCTAACATCAACAATAACATGAGAGAAGAGGCTGGCCAGTTCTGGCATATACTTCTGAAAAAAGCACCAAAAAGAGATGGTTCAAGTCAAATCATCAGATGGGAACCGTAAGTGTTTGCGCAGTAAACATATGGAATAGCACACTTTTTTGGAAAACCAGAACCAAAGCAGCTATGACTTCAAGATAAAGATAAGAACAGATGCATATACAGCTCAGCAAGAGATAAGTGCAGTCATCAAGCCCCAATGTATACAAGTCACGAAACGGTATGGACAACAGATGGTGACTACAGCTTGTATACATACATACTGCACAAAGTGACTCTCGAGTAACGACAATCATGACGGAATATTAGTGAGCAAGAAATCATACCCTTAGAAATAGCAAATCCATATAGACAGAGTTGCCTGCTATCTGTGGCGTATATGTACCAACATGTTTCTTAACGAATTCTAGAACCTGCACAATTCAACCATCAACCACACAACAGAAGAGGGAAAATGCCAAGAATGATCAACCATACAAAGGAAGATGAAAGAAAGAAACCAGCTCAAGAAGGTAAACCTGCAATTCAGCTTCTCTTTCAGTAATCTTACTATGGATCACTCTCTCTGTCAAACCTAAAATCAAACTTTAACCAATCAATAAAAACAAACATGTACAAACTATGATGTCGTAAGTTATGAACTGATTGAACCTTCAAGTCATCAGCTATCTTACCACTATCACCATGATGAGTCTGACACCATTCATTCATCCGATCCAGACACTCTCTACTCTGATGGATGACTAACTCAGGACCCTAGACAGGAGATATACAATTCAAACACTAGAAGAAAGATAAACGTACTACTAATAATCCAAGGAAGAACAAAGCTGCAAACATACCTCTATTAATTTCATCATCTTTCCATCGGTAATGATACAAGCAATCTCGATTATTCTATCAACTTCAACATCCAGACCTGCATCACGGCAACAAAACCAAAAAGATCCACACTTTCCTCTGTTCACATTTCAGTGCTTAATCAACACACAAAATCCTTCTTGTCACCATGGAACTACATCACAGAATAAGACTACGCCTTCCCTGATCAATACAATTACTTCACAGGCAGAAAGTTCATGTTACAGTCTTACATCGAATAACTTGCATTACCAAGTTCAGTAAAAGAACATGAAACTGTACCAGTCATCTCCAATTCAATCCAGACAAGGGGCATTTTGTACTCCCCAGAAGGGTTTACCCTCTCTTGCTGATTCTCACCCTCTACCTTCTTCTTGCCATTTCCTGCAGAACAAAGATCAAGAACAGAAAGTAAGAACCCTTTAAACTCCAGGGCCGCACGAATAGAAATGGCGAGGGTAGGCACTGAGACGGGACGAAGAAGTGGGGGGGAGATGCCTGAGTTCTTGGTGGATAGGGACACAGAGGCAGCGGCATCGTCCTTTGATTGGTCGCCGTCGACGTCGAGCTCCAGAATCGAAAAGGCATTGGCGAGCCGATCCATGTTCCTCTTCTCCGTCTTCTGCAGCTTGGGATTTCTGGGTTCTGCTCTCGGATGGATGGAAGTGTGACGGGAAAGAGCTGGAAAGACGCTTTCCAATGGAAGTCCTAGCAAGGGAGAAGTCATGCTCGTTTACTCGGACCGAATCCTCAAACACTTGAAAATTCCCGGCATCCGGGGAAAACCGGTTTTAAGTTAAACCGAAATTTGCTTATGTATTCAATCCAACTCTTATCTTAAATCGACCCAATTCAGAACAAAATATAACAGGGGATACACTCTAATCAATCCAACACAATCTCGATTCGATCCGGTTAGTGAATCTCAGAACTTAGATTGCACATTGCACTTAGTGAATCTCAGAACTTACAACATCGCCTTAGTGAATTGTCCTGAGAGGACACACTAGAGAAACATTAAGCATATAGAAAGCTAGCTAAGCAACATCTCTCTTAACTTACAGATGATGCCAAACCCAGCGGGGAAAACCATAGATGTCCCTAAACCTTATCAAATTTGGCTAAAGCTAATTATACAAAAACCCAAAAGGAAGAAGGAGGCCAAAAAGAAAAAAGAATGAAGATATAGAACGGATGATACAACATAGCTCTTGGTACAATAATGACAGACTAGGGGCAAAGGCAAAAGCAGTGATTATACAGCGCTCTCTCCCTCTGCGCTTCACTTCGCTACTCGCATGTCGTTCTCATTCCTCAGTCTTCCACACCACATCGTCGAGGGATGTCGAGAGGTTCTTGTAGAACTGCAACATGAATGAGACCAAACCACAGCAGAAACTGTAAGAGTGACTGAGTGAGCAATAAAGTGCAATGTAACCCAATGAGATATGCCTGTTGTGGTGTTCCGTTGGCAGAACCAAGTTGATGATTATGATGGTATTACCTTGTGGAACTCTAAAGTGTCACCTTTTGCTTTCCGCACTTCCACCATGTGAAGAGAAGGTGCTACTTGGAATATCTGATAAGAGAAAAATGGGAACAAGTTAGCTCGATTCCAAGTGGCTGCCAGTTGGTTCTTCAGAGACCGGTATTATTCCTTTTTTTCTTTCTTTCTTTTCCAGGTGAGTAACATACCTCGGTTGCGATGTTAAGGTTTCCTTTTCGGCCTGCTTTCACATTCTCAAGCCTCATCTGAGAACAAAACATGACGGTAAGAAACTTAGCTCAATCATTTGCTTCAGCATACATTACAATAACTTTTTGTGCAGGGTATATATGAAATGTGTGATTTACCTTGTAGTTTTTCTTCTGGACATCAAAACCGAGAGGCTTCGCTGCTTCTTCAATCTTGTGGATGATCTCATTAGCTGAGCTCGTGGAAGTGAACCGTGTTTCCCTTTTGAACGTCGGCTGCAATGAAACCAAAGTATATCAGATAACCAGATGGCCCATTAAGCAACTAAAGATGCAGGTTTCCACTTTTCTACATCCATTTCTCCTGATACAGTAACATTTTCAATATGAGACCATAATCTCCTTATTGGCGAATCCTTCCAGTATCTAATAGCCATGAGGAGTGTCAAGCCATAGGACCAGTAATGGTTAGGCAATTTACCCTTAGCTTAGAAATTGAGTCAAACTTCCATTATGCGACTTCAACTTGGACTTGATAACTTGTAGCCTAAACTAATAATGGACATAGAAACATATGCTAAACTTAAAAAGGTGATAGTCAGAAAGGCCTCTGAGAATGCAAACCTGTTCAGTGTCCAGCAAATTCTCAAGATTCAGTCCTCTGGACATGGAAATCAAGTCAAACGCATTCATAACAGTCGGTTGTTCCTCCTTCTTCTCGGTTACATGGTGTTCCTGTTTCAACTTTATCAAGCTCATTAAGATATGCAAATGTACATAACACTTGTCCAAGAATATTGCAGGTTCTTTTTAGCAGCTTACTTCGGAGTCCTTAAATACAGCTTCAACATCATCCAAGCTGGGTTGCTGCTCTTTCTCCTCGAACACGGGAGGTTGATAATTTTTCCTAAACCATTCATCCTCCAAAATCTCGGATATTGTTATCCGCTGACACCAAGATAATGTACAGTAATGTAGTAAGGTAAAGGAATCGCTGACAAGATCATAACCTCAAGCAAATAGAGTCATATATAAGTACTTACAGTAAGTGGGTTTGGATTCAAAATTTTAGCAATTAATTGCATGGCAGGTAAAGACAGCCAAGGCGGGCAAGTAAACTCAGCAGCTGAAATCTGTTGACAAATACAATCAAAAGTAAGGTCCATAGACGTTTCAAAGAAACGAAAGAATATAGTTCCTTGAGATTTGTCAAAAAATGCTCACTTTTTTATACAGGTTCATAAGATTAGAGTCGTCAAAAGGCAAGTAGCCTGCTAGCAATACAAAGAGTATCACGCCACAGGACCACAAATCTGCAGTTGCTCCGTCATATCCTCTATCATTAAGAACCTGAACATCATTACAAGCATGACAGTCAAATGGCACATAACAAAATGTTATCAATGGAAAAACATAAAGATGTAAAGACATTTGCACAAGGACATTTCATTCACACCTCAGGAGCTACATAATTTGGTGTCCCACAAGTTGTATGAAGCAAGCCATCGTCCTGCCAAAAACGTTTTACATCAGATATATTAGACGTTGAGCAACCGGAGTACACCAACCAAAAAATGAAATCTTTTAGTTACCCTGACTTGCTGTGATAGTGCACTTAAACCAAAATCTGACACCTTGAGGTTCCCATATGCATCTAACAGAAGGTTTTCTGGCTGTTCCAGCACGAACAGTTCGAAAGGAGTGAGCTTGCAGAAAAATGATACAATAAAAAGTTGTGGGTGAGAACTAAACTTGCAAAGAGAGAGACGAAAACTTCAAAACACCTTAAGATCTCGGTGAAAGACACCCCTGCTATGACAATAATCAACTGCATTAATAAGTTGCTGGAAGTATCTCCTGGCTTCATCTTCCCTCATACGTCCATGATTCACCTGCATATCAATACTGCATCAGGATACTAATGAAGTGATATATGAGTTATAAGAAAAAAAACAAACTTCTAGTTACTGCAGACACTGTTTTCCAAACAATTTATGATCACGTTTATAAATTGCCATACTAAACAAAAAACTAAAAGTGTATCGACTTGAAACTCAGTGGCCCAGATCTTATCTGTGTTACAGATGATGAAAAACAGGTATTTGTAAACGTGCAAGTGTTACCAGAAGAAAAGACTTACAATTTTGTCGAAAAGCTCTCCTCCTGTCACAAACTCCATAACAATGAATATCTTAGTCTTGCTTCCCATCACCTGGAAACACCATTACAGGATATCTTACAGCACAAATGGGAACCAATCAAACTGCAAAGGACGGAGCTTGCATGAAGAATAACCCATTCCATCACAGTGTTTCCTCTCTCTTTGCTCTATCAATAGCCCTTTCCACAAAACTAAAAGACTACTAGCAAACTGGGGAAATGTTCCATATTGTTGGCATTTGACGATGTAAGCCAAATCAAATTTGCATTTATCAGGTCAACATACCAATCCAGAAGGGAAATAACAGAGCACCAAGATGGATACAAGTGTCAAACCTCATATAATCTAACCACATTTGGATGCTGTATGAGCTTCATTGTAGCTACCTCCCGCTTGATCTGCAAAAACATGTGCAGAAGAGTAAATGAAATGACTCAAACAGCGCACTGTCCTTTGATCACATAGTGAGTGCATGTGTCATGGATGGTTAAACATTAGTCATGGGGTGGTTTCTGTTCTTATTATGAGACCATTCAAACAATTGGAAAGCTGAAGGCAATCGATTCAACCTAAAAGCACTGAAAATAGAAAAAAGCACTACTGAAACTTGACCACCACACCTGTTCAGCCATCTTGTGCTTGAGAACCTTCTCTTTATCAAGTATTTTCAGAGCCACTGGTTCCCCTGTCTCGGAATTCCTTGCGAACTTCACCTTTGCAAATGTTCCTTCACCAATAGTTCTTCCCATTTCATACTTACCCACTCTACGCTTCACTTTAGGCTGATTCATTATGGATGGCCTATTCAGCTTCCTAATGCCTGAAGTATGAAACTCTTAAGAACTTCCTGCCATGTATGTCAAAGTGTAAGTGGCATACTAGACCACTTCTGCTAAAAATTAGTAGTGAGAAAGCATTAAACCGGTTCAATTATAAGGTTCTGCTATCTTTATGTAGCAAAAGCGTAAAGCTTCATAGCTTCCAAATATAGCTCAGAAGAAGAAAGAAGAAACAGTATTGAACCCCCTCAGTTTAGCTCAGAACAACATAGCCATGATGGATTTATAAGCAAGAAACAAACCGAAGTCATGAGAGAGATTACTCAAATAAGGCCAGTTCGCACCAGGCAATATTTCATATGACTCAGACATTACTATGCTAGAAGAAGAACCATTGCCATCAGATATCATTCAGGGAAAATAGATAGAAAGTGGAGCAACCAGAAGTAAGCTTAATTTCTGGCTTAACCAAATATTGCCACAAGAGGAACAGATCAGAGGAAGGCAGATGATCACATTCAAGACCAACCAAGAACCTGCTAAGGACTAACTTGGGGAAATGAAGAAAAGGGCACATGGAACAATCCCAACTGAAACAGAAAAAGGGAAGGCAACAGAAGAACAAGCACTACTGATGTAGTAGAGCTACATTAACCTTAAATCCAATAGCTGGAGATCAAATCAAATCAAATGAGCCAACTTCCTACAATAGTGGAACTCAAAAGCTTTTCAAGCCAGAAGAGAGAGATTGTAATGAAGCAGATGATAATCTCTATTTGCTTTTCGTTTTATATCCTTTTTTTTCTTCCACTCAACAGCATCTTCAATCTATCACCTTACGGGTGCTCATGAAAGAGTTGCAAATTAGGACAGGATTAGGAATAGTGCCAAAGTGAGCTACTTTCTAAAACATACCTACCCTTTCTTCTCCAAACTACCTCCTTCGCTAGAAACCCAAAAAGAGCACCTCTTTAATAATCCCAGAACTCAAAGAACCCGCAATTGAATATGGCAAATCCAGAACCTTTACATATAAGACCAGAAAACCCAGATGGCAACTTTATGCAGAAAAACCAACCACCAAGTTGGAGAGCAACTAGTGAAACTTCCAAAAATTATAAAAATGCAGACGAACCCTCTAGAAGAATTAAGGTGAACAAAGTTGAAAGCAACAGTTGAAGAAGAAGAAAGGGCGAGGACTGAATTAGAGGTCAGCAAGAAAAGAGTAAGAAAACAAATTGTAATTGAACAACTTCCATTGTACGCGTATGCATCACGTGGAAACATAAACTGCCCATTTGATTATTAACCTCAACAGAATCCTCATAAATTAATATATTCTTAAGAAATTGGGACATACCCTCTAGAGATATGAACATGGGGAAGAAGAAGCAGCCATAGTTAGAGATAAAGATGATTACTTTGAACAGGAAAAGACAGGGTCCGGCGCGGTTGTTGACGGAAAGAGGAGATATAGATAAGAACAGAGGGAGAAAAGGGAGTGCTGCTGAGTTGCCTGGAATGAATTTGGCGAGACAGAGAAACAGAGTGGGGGAAAATTTGGCCTCTGGATGAGCTAGAAGGATAGGCCTAAAAGGAAAGAAAAGGCAGAGATTCGTACAGTAGATGAAGCAGCTGATGAAGAGGAGAAATGGAGGGTGATGACATTGAAGGCGGTTATATAAATCTGTTTTACAGGATCAACATTCAACAGAAGAAAAAAAGAATTGCTTCCCTTTCTCCTCTTGATTTTTTCTTTTGTTTTCTTGTTCTTTTACAGCAGAGTAGGCAACAGCCAGCAAGCAAGCAGACAAACGTCTACGGCCTGCACCCTGCTTCCACATTTTCATCTAACCTTCCGCTCGTATTGATTGTTGGTACCATTTTTCGTATTATTGTTGCATTTCAATGATTGTTTATTCTTTGTATAATGTGGCTGACGGTTGTATGATGCAGCTAATGAACAATTTGAAAATGGTGAATCGAAGTGGAAGCAAACGCACATATCACTTGTCAAATTGAGTTCGTATCCATATTCTATTAGGAATCATAGACTTCTTAGAGCATGTTTGTAATTGCAAGGGATACAAAAGATCAGGAACAATACCTATAATTGCTACCCAAGAAAAGTTAAGGATTCAATAATTTATTATACAGTTTGTTGTGATTGTACAAGCCCCTTCATCATTTATGTCTAAATCATTAAGAGAAGGATACATGCAATGTACAATCTCGTTTATTGATTGCAAGTAGGATCTCACGAGAAAATAACATTGATATCGCATAACGGTTCATAATACTCAAATCAGCCTTGTTACTCGTCCAAATTAAAAAAAAAATAACTATACAATTCATAGATAAATTGAGTGTACTTTCGGAGCTTTGGTAACCTCGAGTCCAACTACTTCATAATACAGGCTCGTTTGCTTGTTGGATTTGAAAATGAGGGTTTTGAGTTTTCAAAACCTTTGGATTTATGATGGATTTGTTGCATTATGGATTTGGAAGAGTACATTGTTTGTGTAGTTTATTTTTGTCATAGATTCATGATGGATTTGTTCACATTTTGCCTTTCATTATCAAATCCCAAATGAAATGTGGGATTTGCAAATCCGTGGGGTCCACGGATTTGGATCTAAAAAATGGGTCCAAATCCTTGGGCCCCACGGATTTGTGTCCCTTAGCGAACAATGGACTTGTGCCAATTCCATTATGCTTGGGATTTGGGTACCAAATTCATCACTCAAATCCCACAAGCAAACGATACCGTACATCTATATATGTGAACAATATGTAGAAAATTTTTTGGAATCGGTTACATAATATTCTCGTGGTGGTCAGATCACTGTACAAGTTCTACAAATACCATATTCATGTGTGATTCTATATTCATATACAAATTCTTGCACATACTAGTTTCGCTATAGCTCGACTCGATAACAACACTCTAATAAAGGGATCTAAAGGTGTCATTTACTCTTAGGGTTATAATTTTAACTATCAAAACCTCAGTCCTCTATAAATAAACATTCGGTAACAATCACTCTCCCTCTATTTATTGAACAGTCTCCCATTATATTTGGTTTTACAGAAAAGAACCTCATCATGAATTGAAATTTGCATATTATGTCCAAGTTGATGTCGTGTATGGAACAAATAACACTCCCAAATTTAAGACCACAACGTTGTTTATGTATGTATTAGAAGTATAACATTTAATGGTAGATAAGGAGATGATCATAGATCATTAGTGAAGGAAAAGGGAATTTCCAACCAACGGGGATATGTTAATTTATGATGATAACGATGTAATTTTGGCGGACAAGGATTTGGTTCAGTGGTGACACAACCGATCTCGAATCTTAAGGTTTTCAGACCTAGCGAATAAACCAAACATATAGCACCTTTATCAAAAGATAAAGATGTAACTTAGTTCACTATTTATATGAAAATTAAGGAAGCCCATATATAATTAGAGGTGTGCATGATCTAGTTGAGTTTGGAATCCAATAATAGTTCGATGAATGTAATGTGAGGATCACAATCGAATTAAAATTATGTCTAACTTTATTTAAATTTCCTCTTTTTCGATTTGATCTGTCTATTCAATTCTCACGACCCAATGAGATCGAAAGAAAAGAAGAAAAATCATTAACTTTAAGAATCGAAACTAAATAGAATCAAACATCGATTCCATCCGTTATTGAATTCCATTTGATTTGGTATGTATGCATGCATCGAATCGTTACCTTCACCTATACATAATTGGTCAAAGTATATATCCCTAACCTAGCTAACTTATCTCATAGGATGCCATCAAAGGGAGAAGAACTAATGAAGAATACGCAAACCGAAGGATATTAAATAATAATGTTGGATTATGAATTAGTTGGTTTTGGTTACTAAAAATGGGCATAGATCCAATACGAAGATTTGCAGACGACAAGTCGTACTATTTGACACGGTGACGAAAGGTGAAAGGATATTCGTTTGATATATCCTTCTTCCACACCTTCCTTTCAATCCTCTCAAATATTCTTCTTCTATGTGCAAATTGCAATCAAATGCCAATTTAACTCTTCTTCTTTTAACCTGTTTTAGAATGTCATTTTAAAAGTTAACGTTGGTTTTGGCTATAGATCTCGTTGAATCGTTTCATCATCATCATCATCGTTTTGTGGAAGCGTAATTATCATCTCTCACAATCGACTTAATTAGAGCAAAGATTGATGATAGTGATAGCATCATTATATTTGCGGTCGGAGTATGTTAGAGATCAATATTATATTTGTTTCATAAATTAAGTTTATGAATTGTATATAGTGAGAATATATATATATTACTGTAATATATCATCCGCTCTTTTTCCCACCTACTAGTATTAAGAGGTAAATGAAAAGTGATATAAGCTTATGAAAAAACAAGGTGCGAAGATGTCGAGAGCATGCCAAAAGTCACTGGTGGCTCGACCTTGCTAGTCTAATGACTATTCCTGTCGGACTTGAAGCTCAACCACTATTATTTTCTCCGAGGAAATGTTAAAGAGAGAACACAACATCATCGGAAAAAACATAAAGAAAACAACATCATTCCCCTTTATAACCACAAACCCCTCCAGCACCTACCTATATATCAACCAAGCTCCAAAAATCAAATGAACGGTATCTCTAAAACAGGCATCGAAAAAAGCTTAACATGTTACTTTATGAATCGATGGACAACCCAAGTAACGCCTCGAGGAACAACCCTAAACTCTACACCGAAGGAGGCTAGCTAGCTGGAACACTCTTTTAAGAACTAGTGAATTGGATACACACACTAATTCTTTTATGGGAGGAGTGGAAAACGGACCATGAAAACAGAGCAAGGTACATGAAAACCCCATAAAAACAAATGTGACCAAACAGAATCATCAATACGTAGGGGGGAAGAACTGTATCTGGTGGTTGCACAAGGTCCACCACAGAAAGAAAGAGAGAGAGAAACAGAGGCGCCATAACCATTCAATACTGAAAGAAACAGAGATCGAAGAGAAGAATAATATTGGGAGAGGATTTGGGACCAACCAATGCATCAGTTAAAGAAGCCCCAATCATAAATTGGAGTTTACTCCATCCAGTACTTCATCCCTGTCCTTGCGAATCCAAAATCTCAACGAGAAACAAACAAATAACTTTTTGCAAAAGATGGAGCTATAGTATAATATCTAAATGCCACTCAAAACGCCAACAGAGGAAAATGGCTCTGTTTTTCTGTGGCCCAGCAAGCTCGATTTGTGTCTGTTTTCATGATCTCTCTCTCTCTCTAGTCTTTACTTCCATGGCCCAGCTAGCTAGCTAGCTGCTTCAACTGCCGAATATATTGCAACCTCCTCGTTGCATCTCAGCCACACTTCCCACTTGATCGACGTGTATGGCATCATCGCCACCAGATCTGCTCCAGGATTGTATTAAACAAACGGAATTGACAGGTGAATCATCAAGATCATATTCAGGCGACATGAATGACTCTGGTTATGATCTGTTTTCATAGTGGATCTTACAACTCGTAATATTTGAGGTGTTTATGTAATGCATTTAAATATTACGACTTTGCTACGATGGCATGCATGTCATGGTAACATGTACTTTACGATCGATCTTATATAGGATTAGGTCAACCTAATTTGTTGTTTCAGTGTAAAAACAGTTTCATGGTGCCTACTTTGGAGATTCATATCTTACAATTGGCTAGATGGAAAATAGAGATTAATGGCTTGTTTTGAAGCTGAAGTTTTCCTCTACACATTAAAGTACTTGGGAGCTCTATAGGAAGTCCAGAAGACCATTTTTGAACCTGATCAAAAGGCTATGTCAAAACTGGGAAACTGCCTGAAAATGGCCAAGCATGGGAACGTGTTTGTGAAGCCTACTTTGGAGCTCAATTTGAGAAGCATGGATGTGATTCGAGGCCAGGGGCTTCTACCACGTTAAATTAGGTATGTTTGTCCACAAAGGAAAGACATTGGATGAAAGATTGGATATCTCTAAGGCTTCAAACAAAAGTCTCGAAGTTGCTACAAAGGTTGTTTTCTGACAGCTTGCTTGTGCTCGAAGTCTGCCAGAAAATTAAAAAAAGTAGTCAAAATGGATCTTGTTAGATTTCTTTTATATTAAATAATATAATTTTATAATTTATTTTACTTTTAAAATAATATAAATGAAATAAAATTATATTTTTTGAATAAAATTAAAATATGGTAAGCATATAATCTTGTATTTTCAAATCGGAGCTTCTGCCTTTACGTTATACAAAAGCGCTTTTCGACTTTTCAAAAGCCGAGATTTTATAGCCGTTTTGCCCTGTTTCAGCTTTTGAAGCTGAAAAACACTTCTAAAAGCCGGACCAAACATAGGCAATGACTTTTTTTCATTATCCGTACTAAACCAAACTAAAGCGGTCACACCATTAACCGTGCACCCACTTACTCGATCGGACCAACGGTTTAAACCGGTTGACAACCAACCAAGTAACAAAAGTAACGCAACGCGTACAACAATAAAGCCAATGATCCCTACTACAAATCACAAGATTACACCATCGCACGGCGATCGCCGACGTAACTATCCTTCAACTGGTCTCGATCTCTCCGCCCATGACGATCGAGAACTGCATCATCTCGGATATGGATCCGACGCCAACCGAATTATCCCGTCAGAGTTCTCCGATCAGCAAGCTCGGCAACGATCTTCTTCAAGAGATTCTGATACGCCTCCCAAACCCTAGAGTCGCCTGCCTGTGTAAACTCGTCTGCAAGCCGTGGAGCTCCCTGATCTCCGGCCCTCGCTTCAACCGCCTCTTCGTTTCTCACCACCAGACCGCCACGAGCCTGAACCGCGCGCCTATGCCGGACGATCCATTCGAGCTTCAGTCGATGATCTGCAGCTTCCTCCCTCCCGTGCCCACAACAGTTCGAAACAGTCTCCGAGTTTTGGATTGCAACAAGGACTTGGTTTTATGCGGGTTCTGGGATCTCGATTGCCGGAGCGGTGAAAGCAGCAGGTCGTACTTGGTCTGCAATCCGTTCACGAAGCAGTGGATCGCCCTTCCTTTGGCGCCCATATAAGCATTACCCTCATTACGAAATCGCGGGTTTCGAGGTTAGTTTGCGAACCCCGTATCTCTGTCGAGCTTGATCTAGGAGATCAAGCTCGATATGCCTCCTGCTTCCATCGACGTTTCTGCGTTCCACGCGAAACCTCGATGGTTTATTTCCAACTCACGAGGTGGTGCGTTGCACGTAATCGCGCTCGAGAGCGAAACCCTGCTGCTGCCCGCTCGTGCGAGCGTCTGGAGGCTGGGAGAAGACCGTAAATCTTGGAGGAAACAATGCGAGGGGTTGATGATGAACAAGACATCATCATCAACCTCGTCGTCGTGCCGTAACTACTCGAACTATGAATTAGCCGATGAGGGATGTTTCGAGCCTTTTCTCCATCCACACAAGCCGGGACTTGTATTCTTCAGCCGGGTTGCTCGTGACTACATGAATGACATGATGTGCTGCGATCTGGGAAGGGAATCAGAGGTCGAGTTGTTTGCTGCACTAGAACGGTGGGATGATGTCCGTCACCTTCAGGTGTTCCAGCCTAGGGTTTCTTGTTGTTGGGCTACTCCATTAATAATCCCAAGGTGCAAGCAGCAGCCGTTTCAAGGCGTGTGCGGTACTGGAAGTAGCGGCTTTTGGGCTGAGAGCATGTGCTGCAGCAGTGAAGCTGCTGCAGAATGTCCATCCCTCCACTTCCTCAATAATTGGTGATTGCTTTGCTTGCTTGCTTCTCTGCCTGTAAAAATTCAGACTTTCTTTAAGCTGCTTTTGCCTGCCTCTCTAGGGGTGGGCAAACGGTTCGGTAAACCCGAACCGAACCGAAATTGAATTAAATCGAACTGAAACCGGATTAATACTGTTCAGTTCGGAATTCGGAAGGAAAATATGGATAGTTCGGAAAATCG